TATTTAATACAAATTTCTCCTCTCGTTGTGCGTAAATTCAAATAAGTCACGTAATTTTAATATCAAATATCTTTACAATATTTTATTAAACATTTAATTATATGAATATTGTTTTTTTATATCAACTGTAATAAAATTGATATTTTTAAAAAATATATATTTAAAAAACGATTTTCTTTAAATTCTATTTTATAGATATTATTATTTAATTCTAAAATATATAATCTTCCGTCTCAATTTTTTATGAAAACTTTTTGTTTTTGATTATAATATATTATTTTTTTGGGGGGGAATTTTAAATTTTCTTTATTTTTATCATTTAAAATATCTCTAAATTATCTTTAAAAGAAGATCAAATAAATTTATTAAAGGAAATAATAATAATATTAATATATTATTAAAAAAAGATTATTTTATCAATAGAATTTTTAAAAATAGAATTCTAATTATAAAATTCTTTTTTTATTCTCTAAAAAATCAAATTTTATGATAATATTTAAAATTATATTTATTAAAAGAATACACTTATTTTTGATATTCAAATATAAGTTTTTTTTATTAATATTCTTAATATTTTTTTTATTTTTTCTTTTATATTTATAAAATAATAATAAAAATAAAATAAAATTATTATAGTTCTAAAAAAAGAAATTTATTTTACTAAATAATCTTTTTATTAAAATTAAAATTACAATATTATTTATTTTCATATTATTTTTATTTATTTTTGTATATTTTATTAAAATTATTTTGATAATATAGAATCAATTTTTTTGATCAAGTATATTTTCATTTATTAAAATTATTATTTTTAATTCTTTTATATAAAGATTAATATTTTATTCTATATAATAAATAGAAGAATAATTTTTAATTTGTTTTATAATAATTAAAAATATAATTTAATAAATTTTTTTTAATAATATATTATAAAAAAGAAAACAATAATAAAACATATAATTTATTATAGTTAAAATTTTATAAAAGTTATTAATAATTTATTTATTTTGATATTATAAGAAATATTCATTATTTATATTTTTATAATTTATATTAAAAAAATATATCTCAATAATAAATATTGAATTTAGAAAATTTATTAAATTATTAAATAAAATCCTATTTATTATTATTATCATTCAAAATATTTTTACATTATAAAAAATTATTTTATTATTTTTTTTAAAAAAAAATCAAACATATCTTTTAAAAATATTATATTTAAAAAAACTGATTTTTGAATTATTTTTCGAATCTAAATAATTGAATTAAATACTTTTTAATAAAATATATCTTTCTTTTTAATAATTATTAAAAATTTACATATTTCTTTTTTAAAAACATTTTATCTTATTTATAAATATAAAATAAAATTTATAAGAAAATTTAATAAAAGAATTAAAAAAAGATCTTTACAAAAAATAACAAAACTTTATTTTAATAATACTATAATTTTCTTTTATAAATTGAAATAATATATAAACAAAAATAAAAGTAGTAAATAGAATGTTACGAGGTAACAGCTGATCTGTCCATACGAGCTCGGGCCGTCTGGAAAAGCAAATAGATTCACATATAAAACTATATGGCAATTGACTCATGTGGTCTCCCCATTATAAGCAAGCATAGACATCGAATCTGATCGAAGGCACGTGATCAAGGATTCCCATTGAGTTGAGGAATCCCATTATGGCGGGAATTATTCCCACCTTGATGGGACGATAAAGGGCAATGGGATGTATAGTACGAAGGTCTATATAACTGGAAAGAGTTTCCTTATTGTAGAGCTTCGTGCTCAAGATCAATCATTTAGTATACTCTACTATTAGTTACGAATTGTATATCATTATTATCATTACTTAAGTCCCTGCTTAACGCCTAGTTATAAACCACCTCGAGAGCCTAGAGCACTTCCACGTGATCTAGACAGCAAACCTCGTAACGTAGAATTATATTATTTATTAGAATAAAAAATAAATCATTGTTAATTGTGACGGAAACCCCTGCTTTCCTCCCACCCTTATTATATAAGAAACCTCAGGTACATTAACCATGTCCACACATAATACGATTACTCGGGATTAGTATACAATTTAGATGGCCTGAGGATCAGATCCGGACAAGTACTAGGTATCAATGGTTATCGGTAAAGTAAGATCATTGGAGGGCTAAATATGACTTCTTTTTGCCTAGCCATTGCGGCTAGGCCATTCATTTGGGTATATATAGAGTAGCTATCCCCATCTACAGGTGCCCTTCACCTGTAGATTCTAAGTTAAATACAATTGCTGGTCTATAAACACCCTTTTGATCACATTAATATTGATTTAAATAATTTTATTTCATATATTTTTAATATCAAAATTATTGGAATATAAATTCTTTTCTAATAAGTAATTAAAATATTTCTAAATAATAATCTTTAAATAATTGAATCTGTTAAAGTGAATGGTTCCTGCGTAGCACGTGCACAGGGCACTAGTCCTATTAGGACTAGATTGAGAAGCTCTCTGTAAGAGAGCTTCGCACTTCCGTAGAACTTAGAAGAGAGATTAACCTACTAGACCAATATTACCTCAGTTCTGCCCTATCAGCTTCCCACTATTCCCTGTGTGAGGTCATTCCTTTTAACAGAATCTATATTAATAACATTTTCATCTTAATAATTTAATATTTCAAAAAAAAAAAGATTTTATAATTATTTTAATTAATCTTTAATGTTATTTTGAATATTACAAAGACATAAAATCAAAATAAAATAATTATTAAAATATTCAAATATTAAAGATAATAAAATGTTACGAGGTTTGCCGTCTAGATCACGTGGAAGTGCTCTAGGCTCTCGAGGTGGTTTATAACTAGGCGTCAAGCAGGGACTTAAAGTAATGACAATAATGATATGCAATTCGTAACTAGTAGTAGAGTATACTAAATGATTGATCTTGAGCACGAAGTTCTATACAAAGGAAATCCATCTTGATCATATAGTCCTTGTGCCTATGGTTAACTAGGAATCGTCGTTCCTGGTTGTTCCTAGGAACATTTCGTTCCTCACCGTTCCATCACATGTTTTATGGTCATGTGACATACTAATCGTTTTGGACGTAACAAGGTGGTTTATAACTAGGCGTCAAGCAGGGACTTAAGTAATGACAAATAATGATATACAATTCGTAACTAATAGTAGAGTATACTAAATGATTGATCTTGATCACGAAGCTCTACAAATGGAAATCTATCCTTTATATAGAACTTCATACTCTACTGTATTCGATCCCCTAGATCACTCACGTGATTTCAATCAGAACATATGTCTGTGTTTGCTGAAGGTGGGGAGACTCTATAAGTCAATTGCCATACAATTTTGTATGCGAATCGACTTGCTTTTCTACAGGGTCCAAGCTCATATGGACATGTTGACTGTTACTTCGTAACAATTTATTCTTTCATTAATTATTATAAAGTATAAAATTGATTATAATAATATAATATTCAAATAACTCAGAATTTAATATAACAGATTAGGTTTTTTTTAAAAAAAATATAATTAATAATATCCGATTAAGATTTTCTTATTTACTTTTAGATTTGAGTATTGATATTCACTTTTCAAACATGATTTGTAACAAAATCAAGAGCTGCAAGGGAATGATGATGGATACGAAAGCCTGTGCTGACTATTTTAGAATTTTCGGAGGAAGAATTATGTGTCTCGTCAGGGTGATAATATATGGAAATACCTGACTGAATTGGCGGGATTGATGACGCTCTTGTACGCATTAAGTCTAGTACTCTACTTTCGGGCCAACCCCCCTTTTGGGCCACTTTCCTTACCAAAAATGACAACAGTCAATATTTATAAGTGAAATGGTGGTTTGTGGTATAAAGGGGTCGGCCAAAAAGGGGGTGGCCCGAAAGTAGGGTTATACGCCAAGCTCAAGATCCAACTAATTCGACTATCAGCCAAATCCAATTCTCGAGCAGAATGATTCTGTAGCCCGGTCAACAAATGGGAGGGAATATCCATAGATGCTTTTCGCCCCTTCTAGAGATACATTGTTGGATGCATATGGCTGTTAAGGAAGAGCTCAACATGGTAGATATCTTTTAGCTTCAATAATATTTGAGAACTGATACTATAAATTTGAAGAAAATACTAAACACTAGAACTGCTCAATTGAAATACCACATAAATGGCATAGGTGTGTCATAGTAGCATTAAAATATCGTTCGCCCAACAGATCTGAACCATACGTACTTACAGATCTTTGAATGGAGCCTCCTTCTTGCCATTTCCATACTTCCTAACAGCTTCCTTTCCAGCAGTGCTATCATTCTTGAAGGCTGCAACCTCATCATTACTCATATGTTTTGCAACTTGATCTGTTGCCATTTCTTGAAAGAGAACCCTACACCCTCATGGCTGTAGTCTTTATCATTGGCTTGATCTTTGTGATATTTGACTCGTATGAAATCGCTGTGAACGGTCTCGGGGTCGAGAGACAGAGTAACAAGTGTATTGATTGTAGCCGTTTTTGGAATAATTTTGAAGGTCCACGACTGTCCCAGGTTAGAGTGATTATTTAGAATCAATCAACAGACTTCGTGATGAATATCAATACCTGTTCATTTTTGAACTAAATAACCTCGTCATCACTTCTCACAATTTGATACCCCTCGTTCTTGCTATCCTTAAACAACTTTGGGAGCGCAAACCATTGCCCGGCCATCTTGTACCGATCGTTGGCGTAAACGAATTGGTCATCATATACGCAGTCGGGCGTATATCTTTTGATACGTTCGATGGTAGATAGATAGCTATAAAGAGCAATTATGTCGTCGACGAGTGCTTGGCGAGCGGGAGACAAGGGTAAAGATTTGGAAAGATTGGGGTGCCAGTCTTCAGTTGAAGAGACTTGGCGAACTTCAAAGCTCTCTCTGGGGCTCGCTGTACTTGCCATGGCCGTGCGTGTAGAGATGAGTGAATTAGTATTTCTGAGTGGTTTTTGTGGGAGTATTCTGGTAGTGATCACGGGATAAAATATTGTATAGAAAGGACGCAGGAAGAAAGGATTTCTGGACCACAGTTACCTAGGACGTGTAGAGCTTACTTATACGCACGTATAATAATGAATAATGACGCCAATATGCTGTAGGAGACTACGCAGAAAGGCAGGTGCGATGTGGCGAGAGTGTGTTTCTCCAGGCCCATTCGGATCTGTCAATTCTTTGACCTTTGGTAGATACTTTGTAGAAAAGACAAAATACATTTCAATAGTAGAAACTTGGACGTCTTGACGTAGTCCATTTATTGGGATGCGGGGTATGTGTATGTAATTATTAGCAATGTGGCGTTTCTCACACTCATAGCATATCTTCAGAGCTTCAAAAATACGAGTAGCTATAGCGCAACGGACAGATAAAATCCTGAACACTCACGCCATTCACGCCGTAGTACATGAATTTAAGAACTGCTCGATTTTCAAATCCTGATTAGAACACTGAAGGTGTTCTTAAGTCTCAAGTAGAGGGACGAGAGTATAATGGGACAGGGCAGCGATGGTCATGAAAAAGTCGCGGGGGCTTCCTGCTGTGCACTATCTGAGTGTGTAGTTGAGCTTTTCCTTTGATGAGGAGAAGTTCACGTCGGGGCTCGAGCAATTTGGCTTTGGTCAATGATCTTGTGTTAGAACTTAGCACAGATTCAGTTGCTGCAGTGGAATAGCTAGTATCTTTCTTGACATGGTGATAGAGGAAAAAATGAATTTGACCGGAACCTTTTGAACTTCTAGTCTCACCTAGTATTTCAGTCAACAACCGTGCTTGATGAATATTGAGGAAAGTTGAGAGATATGTAATGTACCAGTTCAATTTTGATACTGTCAATTGATCTAAACCCATCTTTGTTTCCACGCCGCGCATAACTTCCCGTCATCTGTCACGTTTCCCAGGCCCTTGAAGGAAACGAACAACATGAAGAAACAAGGAATCAAAGGAAATCATAGTTTTCTTTGTTGGATTCCACTCATCGCAGAATCTAGTTTACAAAATTTCATAATTGTGCATTGCCCCAAATTTGCAGTTGCATCACATCCAGTACAACTCCTCCGCTGCTTACCCGCCCCTTCGCTTGATTTTGCATTTCCTTTGTCGTGCAAACACAAACACGATAAAAATATCTGTTTCCATACGAGGAGAATGTTGGGCTGACACATTGTCCCAATTTCCCGAGCTCGCCTGCGTTGAGCACCAATGAAATATAACTGAGTCGTCAATCATTTTCATGTCGATTACAAATATCAACATCACGTCGTTATGACGACGTATAGCTTTGCGGTTCGCTTGAATTTCTCCTAGCTGCTAAGACGTGATTTGATTATGAAATTCCTACGACTAAACGGTGAATCCTAGTGCTTTGCTTCAGCCTTCCTGCCTCTATACATCGGGGTATATTGGTAGCAATATCTCGAAAGATGAAAGTGCTCAACTTGCTACGCTGTAGCATGCACCACTTCTTATCAAGTAAGGCAAGTATACTTGTGTCCCCAGGCACATTCGATTGGATGTTCGAGTTGACATCCTAATAGTCTATAATTATTAGTGTTGTCGCAACAGTTGAATTGGCTAGAAAATAAATTACCTCTCCTTAAATGGATATCTGGCCTCACGCAGTGTTATGCACCTCTATTCTCATCTTCCTTCCTTAGATAATTCTTGTTTGAACCAGCAACGGCTACAGTAAGAGAAAGAAGAAAAATAAGTGAGAAAACTTCACGCAATCCCTTGCCCCTACGATTGGACATAGTATACTCTTCAAAGACTTTGAAGCCTTAGATTCGTATGTATATTTTGTCTGATAGATAAACCACCCTAATCTGATGCCAGTGTTTTCTGTGCGATATCGTTTGTGAATGTTGAACTTTATATGATATACAACATAATATACGTTGTCTACTAAAACACACGATATCGTCTTTCCTATCTCATTCTGAGACCCAAGTAGAGGTGTTGAACGTTTTGTAAATCAATCATAAATAAAGATTGAACCACTGCCACGGATCGACTTCCGTGGAGGCTTTCGAAATTAATAGGAAGAACTCTGAATCGGACCGGAACCAATGGCTGTCGTGGGCCAAATTTGAGCTGCCGTCAACAGTTTTCGTGTACTAATCATTTTAAGAAGATGGTTAGTTCTATTTGGAGCAGTTTGACCTATCTATGAGAGCAATATGATATTGCTGGCATTACTTCTAGAATATCATGTGGAATTTCAATCGACTTAACGAGAATCTTGTCGAACTTCGAAGCAGGCAATTTAGTTTTTCAAATCCGAATACGATAAGATGGATCTCCCTGGAGATGGGTCTAGCTGCGCCGACCAGCTTTGCGAAGACTCCGAGGATTTGCTTGGTGTTCGGGATTTGAAATGGCTCTAATTGTGGAGTAGTGCGTTTGCGCATTTCGCAGGAACGACATGACATGATATGACAAGACATAACTTTAACATGATCTTCTTACCTAAGACTGCGGCGTGGATAATTCGCAGATGCAACAATTTGTGATTCCACTGTCATGTATCGGAGTACTGCATACCTGCCATTTGGCTACCAGACTCTTCATTCGTCGTTCACTAGATCACTACAAGAAGATCTACTCTGTACTTCAACTAGCCCTACCCGGAATACAGAATAGACAAGGCTGATATGATAAGCCCAAGGAGATAGAGAGAATTCCTCAGCATATATATTTTATATGTAAATACCATCCATATATAGCTTGACTATAGTTAGATCAAATCGATTGTGAATTTACTACTACTGCTACTACTACTATAGCTTGAGAGAACCATTCATTGAATAGATGAGAATGGTTAATTCATTAATTGCAAGGACCCCGAGTTATCCTCAAGGACCTCGGGAGTATAAGACTTACAAAGAATTTGGTCCAGCATATAAAGGACATGGCTTGAAAAGAATTAATTACCCAAATAGGTTTGGAGCTTAGTTGAATATCATTTAACTGACCAATTATCAATTCCTTATTCCTAATAATTGTCGGACGGGAAAAGTTTAATACAATGCCGAAGTAATTGATTTATTTGTTTAGTCAACGAATGTTCTTGTTGTACCCGCTTTCCCGCTTCCTGTCCCTGGCAACATTTTGTAACTCTACAGAGTACTGGTAATCCCTTCCGTTTGTTCTTCCTCTAAAATCGAAATCTTTCTTTACTAAATATTCTCTCATTCGTCGTAGTCTGCTTCTTCAAAGGACATTTTAAGACTCCTCCCAGCTCAAATTTCTCGGATCGTGCTCAATCCATCTGAATAAATAACATTTATATCATGGAAGCAGTACTCAAAGGGCGGGCAATGTGCCCATTTCTTCAAAAGACCTCCCCGGCAACTCTCCGATCCCTCTCTACATCCGCCCGTCCTCATGCCTCTCCATGTGGCGGAAGTATGTCGAATCTGCAGACTATTGCAGGTCGCTGTCCAGTCATGGGCAAAGCTCTTGCTATCCAGACTGCAAAGGCCGGAAAGGCCGGGTTTGGTGGCGTTGCTACCATGAGGGCCATTCGAGCCTTTTCCGGCAAAGTTAGCACTGGAAAAGCAAAGCTTCATACCAGCCGATCCCACGAAGCAAGGGCTGTCGAAGATACTGTGTTCGGCCGTGAAAGCGGTATGTATTTCTTTTGAATCCACTCCATTATTCAAGTCGAGTCACATTCTTACAGAAGGTGAATAGTGCCATTTCAACACATCAAGCAAACGCGTCAGCCAACCCAAGCTAGTCGCCATGAACAATCTAAGGGCGGCAAGTTCGATTATGAAGGCTTTTACAATGCGGAATTGGACAAGAAGCACAAGGATAAGTCCTACCGCTATTTCAACAACATCAACCGTTTGGCCAAGGAATTCCCCCGGGCTCACATGGCCAACAAGAACGAAAAGGTGACGGTATGGTGCTCGAACGACTATCTTGGAATGGGCCGGAATCCGCAAGTCCTAAAGACGATGCATGAAACTCTTGATGAGTATGGTGCTGGTGCTGGCGGGACCAGAAATATATCCGGTCACAATCAACATGCGGTTGGTCTTGAGGCCTCAATTGCGAAACTTCATGCTAAGGATGCTGCGCTTGTTTTCACTTCGTGCTATGTTGCGAACGATGCGACTCTTGCGACACTTGGTAGCAAGCTGCCTGATTGTGTCATTTTATCCGATTCATTGAATCATGCATCTATGATTCAGGGTATTAGACATTCTGGCGCGAAGAAAATTGTCTTCAAACACAATGATTTGGAAGATTTAGAGGCCAAGTTGGCATCTCTTCCGCGTGAGGTCCCTAAGATCATTGCATTTGAATCGGTGTACAGCATGTGCGGCTCAATTGGCCCAATCGAAGGAATATGCGATTTAGCCGAGAAATACGGCGCCCTTACCTTTCTCGATGAAGTCCACGCTGTTGGCATGTATGGACCACACGGAGCTGGTGTCGCAGAACATCTAGACTATGAAGCCCATCTTGCAGGTCGTCCCCAAGGTACCATCATGGACCGCGTGGACATCATCACTGGAACTTTAGGCAAAGCATACGGCTGTGTTGGTGGCTATATCGCCGGATCTCATAAGATGGTCGACGCCATCCGATCCCTTGCTCCTGGTTTCATTTTCACCACCTCTCTCCCGCCCGCGACCATGGCCGGTGCACAAACTGCCATAGAATATCAATCGCAATACCAAGGTGACCGGCGTCTCCAACAGCTCCATACACGAGCTGTCAAAGACTCACTGAGTGAGCGCGATATACCCGTCATCCCAAATCCATCTCACATCATCCCTGTCTTAGTTGGAAATGCGGAGCTTGCCAAACGTGCATCTGATATGCTGCTTGACGTCCACGGTATCTATGTGCAATCCATTAATTATCCCACTGTTCCAGTTGGTCAGGAGCGTCTTCGTATCACTCCGACACCAGGCCATGTTCGCGAATATCGTGAGCATCTTGTTAACGCCATTGATTCTGTATTCACAGAACTTGGCATTAAACGAACCTCCGAATGGGCCGCTCAAGGTGGCTTTATTGGTGTAGGCGAAGCTGGTCGCGAGGTTCCAGAACCTCTTTGGACCGACGAACAGCTTGGTGTTGATCAAGCTGTCAAGGAGATGAAGGCCGCTGGCCCGGTGGGTGTTATGGAGGCGCTTTTGGAGCGGGAGGCCAAAGAAATAGCCAAGTCTGTCAGTGCTGCGGCTTAATAGTGTTTTCTTTCACGCACGGTACACCTTTCACTTGCAAGATTTGTGGCCGAAGCGAGATGGAGGATTGGATGGATAGATGCTCCTCGGACCCAAAACCACGATCTTTTTGAGCATACAATAATCTAGACGATAGTTGTGATGATGGAATGGAGAGCTGCTGATATCACTGAAAGTTATGCGCACTTTGGCTATTTATTTATATTGGTAGCGATAGCTATTTCCGCGGAATTGATTGAATCTATGCTGACAAACTTGGTCGTACATTACATACTGAAGATCTTATACATGTTGATATGACCTAGTGAATGACAGTGGCATTGTGATATTGGAAACTGGAACGGCCCAACCAATGTTTTGTAGAGAAAACTAACACTATTGTCATGTCACATCATTGGGCAAGGAAGATAGATAGTGTTGCTCATCACACATTGTAGATAGATGTTATTACTCACGTTGCTCATATTTTTGGCGACTAAGTAGGATGATTCTGAAGTCAAGGCGAACGGGAACACATGTTTGTATTGATAGAGTATTTTGCTATTCTTCCAGCAAGCCTGCTTTTACGGCGACTCCCACAAAGTCCATTTCCAGATTCCTGATGATGCCCAGGAAACAAGACAGCAACTCCTATATCCACCGGCCAGGCCAAGGTGAATTTGGGTTGACTTATCTGTTGGTACCATCTGTAGATGTTCCTTGTAATCATGTGAACACCACCGTGTACACATATAGTCAAACAATTGAATCTAGATGTCCATGACCGATTCATGTATTGATGACTGTCTAGATATGTGTGCTATCTGAGTTCTCCCATATCTAGCCCGGAACAGGACAGGACAGGATACATGGAATTCTTCCTGAATTACCGCAGCCAAAGAAAATACCATACAATACAAAAAAAAAACCGTCAACTCCTGTACTATGCCTATGCCATCTATTAGTGTAGCGGAGCCATAATGAGCAAATGCAATGTGTATGCCAAGAAACAAATCCAAGTTCAAGTCCAAGAAAATGTCCAAAGGTAGAGCAAAGCCACCGATGATAAGCAATGCGAGAAAGCTAGCCATTCAATGGTAGCGAGGCGCATGAGAGGTATGCAAGCCAAAAAAGAAAACAAAAATCAGTAACAAGAAGGGGTATAATATAAATTTCTGTTGGTTCGGTTGGGGTCATTGTCGTCATCGGTGTATTTTTGGGGTCATTTCGGAATTCATGGTGATGTCCTGGTAGATAAACCAGCTTCCTCAAGACGGCCATGGTAATATGTTTCCTTCCAATTATCCATCTCATAAGCCGGACCCAGCAGGAAACAGGCCTCCACATATGTCCAGCGCGCCATCGACTGCTCCCTCCAGATGACTAACCCTGTCTTTCAAACTCTTATTTTCAGCTCTCAATAAGCCCACAGTGTCCCACGCCATCGATGTTCCCTGGCCACTACAATTTGAACATGTATTTGTAGGACTCGATTCGCTGGAGCCAATGCCTAAGATTTTCCTGAAGGCTGATGTTTGGGGCTTGGGTTTTGTTGGAATTACTATTGTAGGGTTATTGGTGAATTGAGCATCCCTTTGAAGTGCACCAACACGCCCAAAAGATGAAGGGATGTCAGGAGTACTGTCTCTTGTACTGTCTCTGGTCATGACAGTTGAGACTGTAAGTGTGGGACTCCTGCTTCTCGAGAAGACACTCTCTCCCCCACCACTTGCCATATCATCATCACTTTCCCCACTCAAATCAGTACTACCTGCACTTTTCCTCCATTTAGCCCTTATGTCTGGTGGAATCCCTAGGTCTTCTTCCCCAACCGTAGAACAATAGCTTGCACGATATGCTATCCTCGCTGCTTCTTCCGTCCTCTTTATCTGAGCGATATGCTGATCTCTCTGTTCCACACGAGCCTGTTTTTCTACGGCGAGTTGGGTTACCAGGTCCTCCATAGCAGTGTCTTGTTCATTAAACTTCTTAGCCATATCTTCAAGTTGAAGTTTAAGATGTTCGGCGCGGATTTTGGCTTCTTCGAGTTCTTCTCCTTGTGCATCTTTCTCGGCTTTCATTTCATGGTATTGGATTGTGCGAAGTTTGTATACGGTTTGGAGTTTTAATAAGAGACCTTCGGCGTTGCTTTGAAGGTTCTTGAAGGCAGCAGGCGAAAAAGGATCAGCTGCGCCGAGTGGAAATAATGACGAGTGGATGTCAAGTGTGAGATATTCGTCGCTATCCGGATCTGAGGGTAGTTCGATCGCTTTGGCAGGAGCTTTCGGGGAGGAAAAGAAGCCGAACATTGAGCCGCCGGTTGATTTCGCAGGAGTAGAGTTGAGTTCGACGACAGGGAGAGTACCCTTTCTCTCGAGCTTTGGATTCGGCGACGGTTCTCTCGCAGCTGGCATTTTCGAGACCAATCCATCTTGTTCTAATCCTGCAGCTTCCGAAGGCGACGAACCCCCAAACCAACCGCTTCTCCCTCCCCTTGATCTTTCGGGAATCCTTGTTCGACCACCCTTATCTCCAGTCAAGGACGCCATGTATTCGAGATGTTGATCCTCCTTCGTTGGAGAATTCTCGGCCGATCTGTGTAGGCTTGGGTTATTTTGACGCGTACTCCAAGAAGGTAATAGTTGCGTAAGAGAGCGTTGATGTGTTCGAGGTCGTCGCGAAGGAGCTCTCTCTTCATCCAAGGACCCTGGGCTGTTTCCTGAAGCGAGGGCTACAGTTGCAGGTAAGAGAACAGAGTCTTTGGTTCTGTTCTGATTTGTTCCTCCGGATAGCTCATGTGCAGATTGGGTTTCCACCCATACTTTGTTTAATGGTGAGGCCGTTCGAGATGTATCTGGGGTTAAGGAATGTGTTCGTCGATGTGTCTGGGGCTGGACCTTGCCCTGTGCTGGCAGCACAGGAGATTGGAGATTTGGCATAATGAAATGCTCGGCATAAAGTTGTCTCGGATGCTCTTTCCGTTTCTATTACTTCAGCTCTTTTGGATTGGTACCGAGTGTCGTGGCTTTCATGAAATACCTAGGTAATTATGGATAATAAAATATCCTTGTCCCCTTCCTTCTTCATGCGAGGGCGAGGATGGCTTTACTGATGTGCCAAAGGGATCATTTGAGGATGGATTCGTCAGCATTCAGAATGGATTTACGGGTGTGCCGTCACGAGACAATATCGAGGTAGGGAATGTATGTTTCGAACAATCCCACCCCGTGCAGTGTACAGGATGTCGTTTCTGCACGGAGTATTGAATATTTCCTCTGGGTGCAGGGACTAATAAATATGCTGGCAAGATTTCTGGATTCCTAGACTCCGTGGACCGTTGGGTAGAGGTACTGTAATAGTGGGTGGGTAGTAGTAGAGTGGGGTTATCTGAAGCCGTATTTTGAAGAATGCAGGCGTTGATCATAGGATGTTTTTGGGTTTGAAGTTATCGCTGTGGTGGATGTGATGGATGTGATATGATGTTGTAGTCAAGCACAAATACAGATACCCAAGAAGCAAAAAGCAGTAATAGATTGTTATTCAGTGGAAGGTTACAAGTATCATCATCAAGATATGATATATTCATAAAAATAAAAATAAAATAAATAGAGGAAAATAGCTGAGCTGGATAGCTGAACTGGATACCAATGCATCTTGTATGTATGTACTCGGCACAAAATGAGGGTGGTTGGTTGTGGTTGGTTGGTTGGTTGTCTTGTGGAATGTAGAGTGGATTGAGTGTGAGAGAAAGAGAGAGAGTGAGAGTGAGTGAGTGGGTGCTTGACTGATAAAAGTAATAAGTGACAAGTACCGACTCCCGAGTACGTGAGTAAGTGAATAAATGAGTGAGTGATTGATTGTGCGAGAGTGTACTGACCACAGACTACCCCGTCCATTCAACCATCCATCCACTTTACTGTGCTGCGCATATTGCGGACCATGGAAAAATGGAAATGACCAGAGGCTGGTGAATCCACAACCAAGATATTGTAATTATTAGGTATCTATCTACCTAGGTAGGTAAGTATACGTACAGGTATATTAATTACTCTGCACTGTTGATGACTTGACTTGACATCATAATAATGACAATAATGACAATAATGTATAAAGATTCAATACTTTATATGTATTGATCACTTACTTCCCTTTCCCTTTTCCTTCTGCTCTTTCTTTACCTTTATCTTTCTTTACCTTACTTCTTCTTTACCTTGATCTTCTCTCTCTACTTCTCCTCCTTTTAAAAATATCTGGTTACTTTTATTTTAATGCAATCAATCAAGACTCTCCCTTTCATCCATCCATCATTCCTCGGGTGTTTGGGAAAGTCCGTTCTTCTCCCAAATTAATATTGGAAATCAAACAAATCAATGAATTGACTGATCCCCTGCCAAATTTACATTACCAGATTATCATCATCTCTGACCATATGGTTTCGTGGTTTTTATATCCACTTTCTAAATGTGCTTTGAAAAATAGCTACTCAGAGTCGTATGCCATTCAATCACCAAGAAATCCTACAATCTTCACGTACCGCAACACACACAGTACAATAGTAGTACAATAGCGGTACACTGCACACTGCACACACTACTACTCAGCTCACACAAACGTGTAGATGGTCATTCTGATCCCGCCTCATTGGGTCGATCCTGCAGGACTCAACTGAGATATGCAACAAAAAGCTGCAAGAATCTGGCAAAGCAAGAATTCCAAGTAGCCCACGGGATGTAGTTGAGCCAATCAACTCGGGTTTTACGTCCGAGTTACATCCAGTCCCGAGATATTTTACTCGTGAGTCGGTACTCCGTAGGTACTTTACCAATATGACTTTTGACCTGTCTTCCCATTCCTGTCCTTGTCGCATGCAAAGACTTACATACGCAATACGCATCGGCCGGCCTCTCTCTCCCTCTCTCCCAGCCAATCTAATTTCTCTTCCCTTTCATCCAACCCTCCTAAAAATAGTCTTCACCACGACCAATGTAGTAAAGCGCTTCTCTTTTATGCAGGACTGAAAACCTAAAAACTACCATCATCGTCAAGACATGCAACAAATATCCAACAGCGTCACTCCAGATATGCAACAAATCATTTAGTCATTATGCATAGTCATGTGATTTCATCTTTTCTTCTTCCCCATTCCTCGTGTTTATCTTATCTATGACACCAGAACCAACGCCCGAATGATTAGTATATATAGTCGAAAGAAAAGAAAAGAAAAGAAAGTAAAGCAAGGGATGATATGAGCACCACCAGATGATCAAACACGTGCAGATTCTGTGCTGGAAGTTTTTGTTGCAAGTCTCAAAATGGGTGTTTGCATAATCGGGAAAGAAAACCTGCATAATCTCGGGCGGAAAGTGTTAATAAATGTTGACCGTACCACCAAGAAAATGTTGCCGTGTTCGTCCGATGTTTCTCATGGATGTTTGGATGGAACAATGAATGTTTGGCAATCACCGCCAAGAAATAAAATATATCGAGGACGTGCGTGTAAATTAGATATTCCCAGCCAGCTGATGCTAGCTCATGATATCTGAAGACGTCTAGTACAAGAGCACAAGTATGTAGCACAGGGAGGTAGTAGCACTTACCAGACCTACACGACTCTGACGTTTCAAAATGAGGTCTTGCAGGTCTCCAACTTGTGGGATGCTCGAAACCACAAGTAAATATAGATGCTTCCATCATTCATTTGTGAATACCTCGTATCAAGCATGTATGCCGACTTCTACATACTCTATCTAAGTTTCAATCTTCAATTTATAAACATGAAAGATGAGTTGACGAAGTCTCGTGGACCTGCACCGCAACCATTCCCTCGATTCGGGCTAGAAAACACATTGCCGTAAGCCCAAAGGATTCAATGCGAAAGAAAAGCGCTAGTGATTACCAGAATGCTCAATACATGCCGCCCAAATTCGCCGCTACCATATGCTTGTGGATATCTAGAAACACAAATACCACCCTCTCCTACCCCAAACATCAATCTTGCCGCTGTCTTCAATAGAAGATTATTGAGAGAACCAGCCTCAGGGATCGTGAAGCATTGAGACTAAGCGCTTTTTCCTGACCCATTAACCACCAACGGTGACTTCGGAGTTGCCTTTCTCTTGGCATCCGCCGCTACCATGGCCACTGCAGCTACCACGCTTTCCCTGACAGTTGCCCTCTTCCTCTCTTCCATCGTTCCATCCTCAGCACTCTTCCCTTCCTTTGACCTCTGCAGACTCTTTCCCCCATGGCCAGGTGCCACAATGTTTGATTTCGAATGTTTGGTGTCCTGTGAAGATACCTGTGATTTCGGTTGCCCTCTGTCCCTCAATTGTAGGATGGAAGCAGAAGCACTGCCGGTGGGTCTCATGGGGCTTTGTCTGGGCTCTGCCCCTTCTTTTGCAAGCTTTACCCGTAGATTTCTTCCCTTGAAGTCTACCCCGTCAAGCATATCTACTATCGCTCGAGCCATACTACATGTCTCGAAGCTGAGAAATGCATGGGATTTTTGCCTGCCATCTGGATGTTTCTCGATTTTCATACTGCACAAAGCAGCAAGAGGGTTTTCAGCCGATGAAGTATCCAGAAATTTGGCTTTGATTCCTGCGTGTATGAGATTTCTCAAATCAGTGGTAGACGCATGGTGAGGGATTTGGGTGACAATGACTTTGCTTTTAACAATGGACATGGTGTCGTATTGTTCGGCAATCGGCAGAAAAGGGGGTGAAGATGTAAAGGTTTGGAGAGGTGATGTAAACATGGGCGTGCTTGGCACCACATCGCCAGCATATAATATGGGATCAAAGGTTGGTGGTAATGGTGCATTTGGATAGATCCCAACACTTCGAATCTGTTGGATCTGAATTTGTTAGGTTGTATCATGGCAAAGGTAATGAGATCCGCTATTCATACCTGAGTTATACCTCGATCATTAAAAGTAGTCGATATCGAAGTGGTGGTTGAGGTGCCATTTGCTGCAGGTGTCATTTGGTAAAAAGACATCTGTTGAATGGGCCCTGAGCGTGCTGATGACACTGAAGGTATTGGTGCTGGAGGTGTAGGATCGCTTGTGGTGCTTTCGCAGGAATATTGCGCTGTCCATGGCATTGCAAGATCTCGCACTTGGATAGATTCCGTTTCATTGCGGCCATCTGCGCACAAAGCACGATTATCCATCATTCCACCTTGCAGATACTCTGTGTAATTCTGTTAGCAAGATCTCTTCATAAAAGGTGAACTTACGGAGCGCCTTGAGGAAGTCTTCCCTTCCACGGACCGTCACCCAACCACAGGTAGATTCAGGATATACTTGTGCATGTTCAACTGCAAGGCAATGTCCCGTACAATCTTGGTTACGTGCGAAGTCCTTTAATCTTTGCCATGTACATGACCATGGGAGGTTACTAACCAGAATATAGTACAAGCCAGTAACATTACCAGGTAGAACTTGAGGCATGATGTTTGGTACGAAAGTCTGACTACATTAAAGCAATGAATGAATGTTAAGACAGATCTAATATTGGATAATCAAATCGTAGGCTACAAGCCTTTTATGGAGCTTTGAGCTATAGGATATATGTACTAGGTAGGTTGGATGAGTCTTTTATGAAAGCCTCAAGTTTCAATAACCAACCAAGATACTCTAGGCATACAACGCATAAGGTCAGATAAAAAAAAGACATGGATTAAATTGGAGACTTAGCTACGGCATAGGGAAGCTGCGCATAAAGCAGTTGAAAGCTTCAACGGTCGGTGTGAGAACTATACTAAGGCCTTTGGGTTACAAGAAAAGCAAACGGTTATATGCAGGGCTAGATGACTATTCATGTGTAAAATGCATATTTGCCACCCCGCTATTTGCCCACGGCTTTTCCCAGAGTAAAGAAGAAAAAAAAATCCGAGACCCATGAAAATCAAGCTGTGTAACGTATGGTTGGTCTCAAAAAAGGTAAAAATTCTAGATTCCAAAGTTGATTCAGATACCCCACAACCACAATCTGCCTGCTATCTATGCGTGTAGCCTAGTCTCCCGAATATATTCCCTGTGACTTATTCGTGACTGGGGAAAGAGCGTTAGGATGCCATGATCTTGAATATAGAATTCGATATCAAACTCGACCGCCTTCGTCGAGCTATGCCCCCATGCACTTTGCAGAATATGGTTTTTGTAAAGTAATAGTGGCTTAAATTACCACCATGAACCAAGGGGGGCGGTCAAACTACTCTAATATGGAGAAGTTGCAAATGCCATTCGACCGAAAAAGAGAAGTTAGCTATATGACCTGTCAGATTCTAATAGTCAATCTGGAACAACGCCGCCAAATCCGACCACTGGGTAGTTCCGGCATGAAAAAACACCCCAACCTATTTTTTATGACCAACCCAGAAACCGATTTCGCGGATACTGATTCGGATTATCCAGATCCAGCGAGATATTAGAAGCGAAATGTAGTGATTTCCAAAACCGTTCCTTTCTCTCGGAAAAGGCGTTCCGGAGACATTGGCCCATTAAGCTCATATACATGCCAACTATTCTAGAATTTCCCTCTTGTTCAGCGGGGTGATGTGTAGCTGAGAAGCCTTTGTGTAACTAAAGGCCTATGATCGGTGTCTAGGATTTATTACAACTCAACGGGCCAAGCAAGATAGAGCGATTGCAATTTAAACCACCAACCCGGGTTAAGACTGAGATTTGTATGCAGCGTGGTGCATGAATACAGGGCAGAGCAACACCACGACAGCAGCAGTAACCGTACAGAAATAGACACACTGGCTGAAAAACCCAGATGCACAGCACGGTTGGCCATATGAGTCACAAATGTAAACTGTTTATTTTACTTGAATCATCTCGGAAAAATCGAAACGCGATATCCGCGAAAGTAGAGAAACAAATGATATTTACTCCTAATAGAGACATAGGATTTTGGCGATCGATCATTTTCAGATCGCAAAGATCCCTTCTCAAGTCTGTGAGGGGGCAACCCGCTTTACTTTTCAAACAGAAGATCTTTGAATTAACACCTATATAGAATATGTACGCAGATGCAACATCAACACCACCCAACACAGTGATTCACCGGCTGTTTGCCAATGCGACATTCCCAAGGCGGATCCGTTTTCTAATCATGCAGAACATATCGAGTTCATGTCGCAGTTGGCATTTTCCCCCGCATTTCCATCCAGTCGTATAGCATAGCTTAAATTATGGTAGGGTTGAGGTTTAGGAAATATGCCTATCGATATCAATCAATCGGGTGTAAGCCTGGTTGCCCGGAATGACTTGAAATAGTGAGGAAAGTTACAGCCTCCAATGAGAACGCCCAGAAGGACTAGAAGGGCCGTCTTCAGAGCTTTCCGAACCAAGAACCAATCGCTCTGGTACTCAATCATTGGGACATTATCTTTCACCAGCCTGGGGGATATTGACACCATCTGAATATGCTACACAATTCGCGTAGTATGATTCAGTTGAATTTGTGATAAAATATCGATTGTTGAGGAACTTGCGGACAACAATATCATTTGAAAGCTCCATAGAATTTCGATCTTTGGGACAACTAGGAACTTAATACAATAATAATCGCCATACCTGTGAGTTGGCGTTTTTGGACCATGTGAATGTCCCATAATAGCGTCTCGATCGTCAAGTCAACAGCATTTGTTCAGTGCCGAATTATGCGAAATACCATAAAGAGGAGGCTAACGATAAACATTTAGTACGCTAGTAGTACAAGTGAAACAAAAGCCTAATTATTTCACAAGCTGAAAAGAATCCATTCTACGTAATGCTCATTGAAGAAGAATGGGAAATTGAGAAGAAGGTGTGTAATACACAACATACAAGGACAAGGGGACAACGAAGAGACCGACACCAATCAAATTCAACTCGCGCCTGCGCCTGCGCCACAAAATTGCCCAAATTTCAAAAACAAGGAACCCTCCTATCAAATCTTCAGTCTATGTTCGATAGCTTTGTGCGACATATGAAACGACGGGAGTAGGGAAGCTATAAGCAACATAATCGTTGATGGAAGAGATAGTGGTGACGATGGAGCTAGTACTGCTAGTGGTCGAGTGTGAAGATGAGCTAGGACTGCTAGTGGTAGAAGAAGAGCTGCTCAAGACGGAAGTTGTTCTTACGCTACTGGCTGGAAATACATGGCCACTACCGTCAATGCTTCCAGTTGGTCTGAAGGAATCTGACGAGTGTGGGAAGCCGGAGCTGCGGATGCTGTATGATGGCTTAAAGCTGCCGGATGGCTTGAGAGCGCTTGATGAATGTGCCAATCCTGTTCCTGTCTCGGTGTGATGCAGTCTAGTTCCACTGCTGGTAGTTGTATTCGATCCACCAGTAGGAAAAGGTACCTTTGGTGAACCAGAGCCGCTAATGCCCAAGTCAGAATGCGTGGATGTGGGACGGCCGCTGCCCGTTCCTCTAATCTTGCCGGTTGAATATGATGTGCCGGTTGGTGCATGGCTTGTGGTAGTCTTCTTGCTTTTGGCAGCAGATATGAATTCGTCATATTGCGTCCCCGACTTAGGGTTGATGGCAAATACCATGCCTGACTCACATTCGCTATTTTGGCGACTAGGATAACATTAGTGGAAGATATTGCACCTGCAAAGGGCCGAAATACCTGAAGAAAAATAGTGGGTTCCTGGCGTTTGTGACGGGGAAATCAACAAATGTGGTCATGTTCTTCGCCAAGATGGGCTTGAATCCAGAATCATACACACCATTCATAACGCAAGGGGCCGTGACATCACAAGAAGTGACAGTGTGATTTGTGGGGTAGAACTTAAATCGTACAGTATCTCCTTTCTTCGCATCAATATATTGGGGCGAGAAGGAGAGAGTACCGTTTTGACCAACTGAGACGACGTGTATTGGCTTCAATGGCTTTCCGGTTCCAGTGGGTTTGTGTGAGCCGCTAGCTCCTGTTCTGATACTGCCTGTTGGGTAGATAAGGTGACTTCCATTTCTATAAGAGTAAGGTGCCGCGGTAGGTTTACTGGTAAATGATGGCTCACGGGTCTTAGTTCTAACTAGACTTTCCGAATGTGTAGGTGGTAAGCTAGGAGTCGAAGTGGCGCTTGCGATCTTGGTTATTGTTACAGTGCTAGCCTCACCATAAACATCTATTGTGACATCAACAGTGATGACCTGAACCACAATGATTTCTCCATCTGAACCGTAAACAACCTCCGTGCATTCATAAGTTGACGCACCGGTAGGGCAAACCTGGACTGTGGATACCCCTGATATCACGTTCACCTGTGTAACTGCTCCAATCGCGTCAGCTGAGGGCAGAGATGTAATCTGTGCTCCTGGAAGCGATACTGTTCCACTGAGAATAGGGGTAGAAGTCTTAAAAAACTTCAAAGATGATGAACTAGATCCGGAAGCCCCTTCAATTACTGTCCCTATATTGTTGACCGTGATGGTTTGAGCAGGTGCTGTGATAGTAATTGGTATGGCAGTAGCTCCGCCCTCAAGTGTGACTGTCTGATATACCGTTGTTCCGAACCTCTCTCCGTAATCTCCAAGAGTGACGGTAGAAGTTACGACCGAAGGTTCTTTGACAGTTATAGTAGTGGGCTGATAGACAGTAGTCGTGACAGGCGAGCAATTAGTATTCGAAGATGCAGCCCCGATCCCAGAAAGGAGAGACAAAGCAGCTGGTCGTAAAAATTTCATAGTGGGAATGTGAACAGGAAATGTTAAAAGCACTTAAAAAAAACTCAAGGAATGAAGGATGAACTGGTAAAGATAGCAAAGGGAAGAAGCTTCCCACGAAAAGAAATTTCGACAGAAGAAAAAAGAAAAAAAATATAGAAACACTGGCTCAACGTTGAAGTTGTAGCAACGGTCCGCACGGCTTATTATAAGAGTAAGTCTAATGGTATCATGACTGAAAGGAAGTGCCACAGCATAGATTTTATGGCTTCAAAATCCCATGCTGCACGAACCATGCTGTTATTATGGAAAGGTTACACTCAATAGGTAGGATTGACGGTAGCTGTTGATAACTTGAACACAGAGTAACCGAGATTTTCAAGCTGCGCTTCAATCTAGAGAACTACGTTGCCAACAGGACGACCAAAGGGCTGGGTAAATTTCGTAAATCTGAGTTGCGGCGCCAATGGTGTGGAAATTTGCTCTTCAATTTTGCTTCTGAAAGGATTTAGGATTTGTAGTGAGAACCAAATTGTGTAGCATTGAAGGATTCGACTTCCCAATCCAGATGACAGATAGTAAGCGTTTCTCGAAAATAGTGACACGTCAGCCACTCACATATGATCATATTGAAAATAGAATGATTATGCATAACTATTAGTTCGTGAGTCATGAAACGGTTCAATCAAATGTTCACTCTTCCTGCGAGACACAAGAACACAGGTATCGTGACTTTCTTGACACTTTCGTCTCCTGCGAGAAATATCAGTAAGGGGCAAGAAAATCAGCTTCGCGCCTCACCCGAGAGCGATACATGATGATGGTAAATCCCATGTTTGTTGGGGGAGAATATGGCCGTTGCTTTCCAGAGATGAAAATTAGGTAAATCGTCCTTTCATGCCATCTCTGCTTCACTATTATTTACTTTTCGCAATCGGAAATCCCCTCTACCCATGTGCCACTCTCTCCCCCCTCTTTCCTCACCACTCTCAACCCCTCAACTCGCATGCCCTTATCCACAGCCTTACACATATCGTAGATCGTCAATGCCGCCGTTGAAGCGGCTGTAAGTGCCTCCATTTCGACGCCCGTTTTCCCATCGCATGACACACTGGCCGTAACTTCCACGCTCCCAAATTTATTGAGAGGACCATCTTCTGAAACAGATGACGGCCATTTATATCCATCGCCTTGTCCTGTGCCAGACCATGGAATTGAAGTCTTTGAAGCGGAAGATGAAGATCCTGTGCCTGTCCCATCCTCGTGCGAGATTTGTAGGTCAATGTTGACATGTGTAATTGCAATTGGATGGCATAGAGGTATCAAATCAGAAGTTCTCTTGGCAGCCATGATGCCTGCGACACGAGCGATTCCTAGTACATCGCCTTTCTTGGCTCGATTATCACGGATGAGTGGAATTGCTACATTATTGGAAAAGTGAATACTGCAGACAGCAACTGCAGTTCTTTTGGTAGACTGTTTAGAGGAGATCGAAACCATATGTGCATCACCCGATTGTGTAAGATGAGTAAGCTTGTGCACTCCCGATGGGATTGAACTTGACAGGGTGTTTGTCGAAGACTCTTCTACGCCACTGGTGGTATTGTTGACTTGAGCCGGGGTAGATTTGCTGGAGTACAGGCGTGCAGAATGAGTAGATATATATGGTAGAAGATTCAAAGGGATTTGGTGGAATCGACGTGAGGGCCTACTTTCAAAGATTTGAGTGAGTGCCTTCGGACCACGATAGTGTTTGTCATCTAGATAAGATGTCAGTGTTGACTACGCATCATACTGCAGAAACGCCACATCATCTTATTTGCAGCTATCTATATTTCAAGATATTGATTAAATACATCAGGGTATTAAAAAGACACCAGAACGCAAATAATTTCATGCTATCGCATCGCTCACATATCTCGATGGAAAATGAAACCTACCCACCTATTAGGATCATGGGTCTGTTCTTCATATTTTCCAATTCGCCCATGCCGGCGTGCTTTTCCTTCTTCCGACTCACAGCCATTCCAATGACCTCTAGCAACTCTCTCTCGTTAGAAGAGCTTCCTAGAGGGCTATGGGCATCTCCAAGATTCTGTCTCCTACCCATTTCTATCTGCTTCATCGCTTCAAAAGCTTGCTCATCAATGGGATGATTGCCATTGGATTTCCTCAGAATATCTCTTAGGGATACTTCAGCATTGCCAAATAAGCATACCTTCAAGTTGCCATCACTCGTAATGCGCAATCTATTGCAAGTACCACAAAAGTTGTGAGTCATGCTTGTAATGAATCCCATTTTCCCCACGAATCCAGGAATCTCATAGGTCTTGCTTGTGTCATTCTTGTGGTCTGCTACCTTTCGAAGTGTAGGATACTTGTGCCGTATGATATCAAGCATTTCCTTGTAGCTCAACATTTTACCTTGGCTCCACTTGTTGCCATCAAATGGCATATATTCGATGAATCTAACTTCGACATCTTTATCTCGACCTAATTCGACGAATGGTATTATTTCTCTTTCATTGACCCCACGCATTACCACGCAATTGATCTTGAGTTTTATACCAGCGCCCAATTTGTTCATGTGTAGTATCTTGTCTATACTTTTCATCACAGCTTCAAAGCCTTTCCTTCGAGTCATAATCTGGAACTGCCATGGATCCAAAGTATCCAAACTTAAGTTGATCCCAGTCAACCCTGCTTCCACCATGCTATCCAATTTCCTTGCAAGGTTTAGCCCATTTGTGGTGAGACAGAGCTCGCGCAGACCATGGGATCGCAAAGCTCCAATCTGTTGCATAAGAGGCACGATATCGCGACGAACAGTCGGCTCACCACCGGTAAGGCGGATCTTTGAAACACCTTGGGAAACAAATATAGTCGATAGGAGCACGATTTCTGGGGTTGTAAGAAGATCTGGCTGTGGCGATTGTGGGACTCCCTCTTCTGGCATACAATACAAGCATCGCAGATTGCACTTTTCTGTAATCGAAATTCGAAGATAATCGTGTTGTCTTTGGAACTTATCGGTAAGAAAGGAGGAGAAGGGCTTGGCATTTTTGAGTACGTCCTTTCTGTTTGATGATCTGCTAACTGGTTCAGTGTTTTCGTGCAAAGGCAATTCATGCCCAGGGAGCTCTTGGATCGGTAACGCGGCAGTCGATATTGCTCTGTGTATTTTCCAGGACAAGTTGGGCTTGCCACCCTTAAGTACACTTTCTCGAAAAGCTCTTTTCAAAGACAACATCTTGTAGAAAGGAGGGTATGCTTTGTTGGAGGTATCTTGGAAGAAAAGAGACGATACGTCCTGTCAAAATAGGTGTCTTGAGCTTCCAATATCCAGCGGCGCAAAGGCAATTGAGTGCTCTTCGATCATTTCGAACACGAGTAATCTTATTGCCTCATCTCTCTGAGTATTGAATTGGAAAGTTATGCTTCCTTATCGTCACGATGACACATTGTCTCAATTCTTAAAGAGTTTGCGAAAGAAAAGATATTGGTTTGTAATTGTAAGAGTGGTGGAGGTTCTCTACGGTTGGGAACTGGAGGGGCAGCAGCGGGCCAGTCCGTACTATTCATTGTTCATTTCATTCGCCGATTTCTCCGAGTGGCCGGATTGATAATACTTACTGTGTGGATTACTCATCAAAAGCTTATCGTTATCGGCCCAGCTAGTAACCGTTCTGGGCTTTTCCGGAGATCTGCTATCTATAGCTTTGTGCCTATCCAGTCCCTAAAGCCGCCCGTAGAGATCTAGAAACCAACAATGCAGCTTGGGACTCACCTAGCTATCAGAACCTTGGAAAACCATCCATAATGCAATTTTCCCGCCCTTTTAAATGTAAGTTTTTGGGCGGAATCCTCTCAGCTCGTGAGGGGCATAAAGCTGATGTATATATATCTTAGCATCAAATCAATCTCTTCCAAGTCCCAATGGCGCATATATTGCGACTATTCTGCCATCGAGGCTCCATATCAGAGAGACGCGGTCCCTTGAGATAATACGCACTATATCACTTCCATCTGAGCTCACAGCATCAGTAACATCCTTTATATGGTCATCTTCTTCCAATCGCTTACTTCTGGCGTCTGCAGATGTCATACGCGTACTCTCTCCTACCGACAAATACTTCTCTGCAACAATTAACAGCCCGACCTCTGGAACTACGAAAACGACCTTCATTTCATTTGGAGGAACCGATGATGAAGTCTGCGTCTTTTCAGAATTCGGACTAAAGTTGACTATATTCAATCTCAGTACTTCGAAATCGGTGGACATCAGCTCACCGAAGCTATTCACTCCCGGTACCGCGGCAAAAGGATTCTCACATCGTCCGCGATCTGGAAATCTAGCTCTTTTGACCAGATCTGGTGGTAAAGATGTAATTAGTATACACAAACCAGGAAGCCTGGAAGTTACAAGATCATGGTCACCAGAAACAATTGACGCTCAAGGAATAATGTGGAGCCCAGATGGAAAATGGATAATGATATGGGAAGCTGCCAGCCAAGGTCACAAATTACTGGTCTATACTGCTGATGGCCATTTGTATAAAGCCTGGAGTGGTCCCACGCCGACCTGTGAGGAGGATAAGGATATCGCTTTAGGTGCCGGAATAAAATCCATCGAATGGAGTCAGACGGGGACACATGTTGCTATTTCAGATTATAGTCGAAGAATAGTGTTGTTCGCTGCCCCGGCTTTCTCAGAATCTATGATTTTGTCACACGTACTTTCTGTAAACCCTACAGATACTCTACACGTACGTCAACCCATCTCCAACCCAAACACAGCTATTTCTGACTGCTTAGATCTGGATTGAGCGCATATTGCCAACTCCCCATGGTGGTTTCACTCGAGAATTCGTTCGAGCGAAACAACCTACATCACCCCCAACAGCAAGTGCTATTCCAACCGCAGATTCAAAGACCGGCACTAGCATGATGGCATTCGACATATCTGGCACACTATTAGCAACCAAGATTGAGGAAATGCCATCCGCAGTTTGGGTCTGGGATGTAAGGTCTCGGTCACTCAGAGCACTACTGATAATGCACGCCCCTATAGCTCGGGTAATCTTTCATCCTAGTATCAACGAGCTTCTTTTGATTAGATGCGAGGGTGAAGAAAACAAAGGCCGCGTGCAACTATTCGATCCATCTTGGATTACTCCAAGAATTATTAGTTTTGGGGCGCAGCTGCCAGAGGGTAAGATCATTGGAAAATCGATCATCAGATGGCTCAATGTTGTCTCTGCATTACCATGTATTTTTTTCAGCGACTCGCAAGACTGCATTCTCATGTCATTATCACAAGCAAATGATGCGGAAATGGTCCCTTGGCATGCTTCTGAAGCAAGAGAAGTCGATATATACGGCCAAACAAAGGAGTCACCTTTGAACCTCGGTGGAGTTGAGGGCAACAGACCCTTTGGACGCTCAAACACTGACAGTATCGCCGACAAGGATAACTCATATTTAGAAATGAGCGAAGGTAGCGAGGAGCTTGACGATACCTTCCATTTTCGCAAGGCCGAACATCCGTGAGTCGCGGTGAACTATTTCATCAATATGCCATGCCATTTCGTGAAAGGAATATAGGAATATACCTCTTCACCGCGAGCGGTCACTAACTCCACAACTATTTGATGAGAACTACCATAAGAGAAGATTCGATGCGCCTAGTATGATTGTATTTCTATGTGGATTCAAAGACAGTGAGTTGCCCATGTTTGTATGATTTATTGTGTTGTCTTCGAAGCTCCTTCTGCATCTTTCTCAACTCGATTTTGTGACCTTGTATCAAACAACTGTTGTACTATTTTATCATTGATCCATAAGAACGCTAGAAACATAGAAAGTGATGAGTAAAGCGAGCCGTGGTTAAGAGTAACGAGCGAAGGGATTCAAACTGCTCAATGAGTTCTCTGTGTTCTCCTTTTTATCCACCCCACAATCTACTCCACAAAGGGCGGAGCAGGGTGACGAGTTTGAATTCGAATCAAATCTTAGCCGAAGCTTCGGATTCGTCTACCGAGGAAGCTATTGGTCGTAATTAGCAGTACCGCGTGCACTTGTTTCAATATACAGTTATTTTTACATGCAGTTATTACTACATACTTATTTTTACATACACTCATTTCTACACACTCTTATCTCTAAATACACTTATTTCTACATACTCTTATCTCTACACACTCGACTACTCAGCATCAAAAGTAAGCCTGCGTTGAACCAGCCTTTTCAGGGGTACGACAATGGACTCCATGGACCCATGGATGTGCACTGAATGTATGGATGGCTTCCATTTTTCCACAGTGATTCTGGAAAGTAGCTCACCATGGCTCTAGAGTGGAGATTATGCAACAATTAAATCTTTGGGTGGGGAGAGAGCTTGTTTTTCGCGCACGATCTCCAAAATTACTCCATAATAATTATCTTCGGCGAATAGCGATACTGGTACCACATGGAACAACCGATAGAAATCACCGTTTGTTCATTCAATCACAATCGGCTGTTGATTTATCTGTTGGCAACAAGATACATCATACCTCATACATTATCCAACTACGGTATACCTTCTTCTATGATACCTCAACGATCAAAGATCAAAGCATATTGATCCTAATGCACCTAGAATGTTTTCAAATACTCGACATTGGGAAAGCCGGGGAGTATACGCATAGCGCTAATAGCCAAGTAAACAAATAACTTGGCCGATCCAGTCCCCAATGCAATCCCTTATCCAAGCTATTGCTCCAGGAAGTTGAAGTTACCATTATGTAGAAACCCTGCTTGAGCCCCCTGAAGGACCCTTCAGACCCGGGTTTGAGACTTCTGATGGGGACGCTGCACAATTTCGATGTCTTTTCAAACAACGTTGTCCATTGCGTTGGCCCAAGTGTCTGGAGCATATTAACTTCTTTACTAGCTGTTCGCAATTGTCCCATATTCTAAACTCCCTCATCCTCCTCCTCCTCCTCCTCATCTTCTTCCCTCATCTTCCCTCTGCGCAAACTTGGATCCTTCATCACCTTTGGGTCATCTCAGAAAAGATGGCTTCCATCATGGAGAATGCTTCGATTGAGTCTGCAGCTGCAGTCGCCGTCAACCATCCCTACTATCCACTTGAGATGGAAATAGGGAGTTATCTTGCAAACGAATGGACTGTACCTGCTCTTCTGAGCATGTTTTTCGGTGCTTGCGCTGTGTTGTCGATATGTACTCGCACTTTTGTTGCCAGATCATATCCCCGCCTGCCAAGCAGTGAGAAGGCTGCCATATGGTGGTTAGTATTATGTAGGTCTTTCCTATCAGTATTGTTACACTCCCTCCTAACTTCGGTTCTAGCTGGCGCGATCCACCTCTTCTTCGAAGGTATGCGACTCCGAATCAATTTATAAAGAGCGATGGCTAATCGTAGCCTTCCAGGATATTTCTCGCTCCATCACACTCAAATTATCAAAGATCAACAATTGTTGGGACAACTGTGGAAGGAATATGCGCTGAGTGACAGTCGATATTTGACATCCGATCCCTTTGTCCTTTGCATGGAAACAGTGACAGCAGTAGGTCAATTGCGAGCCCTCCTCATATTGGCCAAAATACTTATGGCTTCCCGTACAGTTTCTATGGGGACCTATGTGCTTCGTCGTTGCGGCCTTCATTGCGACTGGCCACCCACTTCGACACCCACTACAAATTATCGTGACTGTAGGACAGATATACGGACTTGTTCTCTATTATGCCACCCATACTTTTGATTACTATCACAAAGAAGTCATTTATTCTAGACCTGAATTTTTGTACTTTTGGTTCTACTATTTCTTCATGAATTTCCTCTGGATGATCTTCCCGGGCAGTAAGTCAAACCTCCCTTTACCAAACTACAAGCGCTAATTGTTTTATCCCACAGTGCTCCTGGTTGACTCCGTACGTACCATCGCGCGCACCTTCACAGAGCTGGACAAGGTCAACAACACTAGGAGCATGAATAGTTTCGCAAAGAAAGGTCAATGATTGGTGGAAGGGCATGGTTGGAGTTGGATAGAAGCAGTAAATACAGACATGTCACTCGTGTTTTCACAACATACGTGCTACGGCCTATTCTTTCGTGGGGAAGATGGAGGGAGGGTTATAGATTCCAAGACTATCTATAGTTAGATGACAGGATATACAGACTGCTGCCGAGAAAACAATTCATGCATGTTGGAGAAGAGTGCACATGTCGGTCGAAAGGAATCTGGGCCTTCATCCGCATATATATAAAATTCCTAGAGTGAAGTATAATCGGTAGAAACATTCTTTCATTAGATTTTATTTTCCTAACATGCTTCTGTAATTTACATCGTTGGTACGTCGTTAGAAAGGGACCGGGGGATCTATATGCCAATGACAATGCAAGAGGAGACTGGAATGATGATTTCCTCTTGAGTAAGCCACTTGCAGAGGAATTATATATTTCAATTTTGAGAAAATATTTGAGATACTTTCTATATAATACATCATGCCAAACATGCCATCTTTATCAAATCACGACATTTCAGCGTGGCCGACCAAAACACTGAAATCTTTCTCCAGCAAAACATGAACCATTGTCATGGCTCAAAATTCTCTTTCTTTTTGTATGAGATAAATACTATTACATTATGATTATTTTTCCTATTGAGAATACAACACTGCGAATCGAGCAGTGCCTATCTCGTTCCGTCAGAAATACCACTTTCTATCATTAAACCCCCATCACCGTATAGCCGTTGAATAATCAGAAAAGTGTACTCTGGTGTACCAGCAGCCAAAAAGAAGACACATATCAGCGACCATACAGGCTCAGCCCCTCAAATATGCAGATAACTCCTCACTCATTACTATCATGCTATCAACACTAGCATGCTTATCAAGCCCCTGGCTCAAAATGCTCACCCTCTTCTGAATCGGTTTCGTGATGAACAGAGGTGGCGGATCTGCGTGGCCTTTTCCAAATATGATTGGGGAGAGTCCTGGACTGGGAAATCTTTCTCCTAAATTCATATCCTCGTCGTATATACTCACAGAGTATGTACTGATTGGTCTGGGTTTTTGCAATCGTTCGAATGCAAGTGTTTGCTCCCACAACTCAGCTTCAGAATAGATCGAAGAAACCGAATCCCGACGATCATCGGAAGTGGATGAACCACTTCTGCTGGGGAAATCAGTGTCAGAAGAGTCCAAGTTTGTGCCATCTGGATCGTGAGAAGAACGGGACCATTCGGAGGACGCATCATTTGCTGAAGTCGTCGACGATGTTTGTTTTCTGTTGATGCTTTGTTCTTCTTCCTTTAATTCCGTTCTCGAATCATAGGCATAATTGTACTCGAAACCTTGTCCAGACCCTTGAGTTAGTATTTCATGATGAGTGTTTCTCCGTGGAATAGGATGGTGGAGCTCCGGCATTATCGTCAAGGCGCCACTAGCATCAGCTTTAGCTAATATATTCCTGGTCGACAATGCGGTGTCGGCGGCACTTTCTTTCTTTCGCGACAGTTCAAATTGGTCTTTCTGAGCCAGGTATTCGCTGAAAGCAGCTATAACATCTATCGGTGTCTCTCCAGCATTGCAAGGGTTTGATCTGATCAATGAGTTCCTGTAGTCTTTATTCGCTTGAGCACTCTGCGTACGAATCAAGTTATAACATGAACGTCGGTCGTTCCACGGTGGACATCCTCCAGTACGAATGGAAATATTGTAGGAAACGTTTTGTGTAGCGCGTACTTGATCAGGTATCTCCGTTGCTTGAATAAGTATTTGAAGTGAAGAATATATCAAGACCCAACGAACCTTGCGGCCTTCCGCCTGGGAGATATTCTCGGCTGTTACCATTCTGGAATTGACTGGGCCAGCGCATTCTTTCTCGAATCGCAAGTAAGCACGAACTAGCGAGCAGTCCGTAAGATGCTGTTTCTGCCGATTTGTAGCCTTATCAAGGGCGGTCATTGGACCCAGGCGAGGTTCATTGTGAGATTTGTCACTCTTCGGGAACATCTTCGCGGTGAAAGTTAACCGCTTGCTGAGTGGTTTGGTAGATGGTTGTGCGTTATCATCTGGAAGCAGAGGTAAAGAGTGAGGTAACGGCTCGATCTTGCATCGGGCATTGAAGGCCCTTACCACGTGTAGGACGTCTAATTCTTGCCTGCTGGTGGTTGTAGGTTTTGCGATAGTCTCACTGGAGTCCGCCAGAAACTCATACAGTTTCTGAAATTCTGAACGCATTTGCTCAAAGATACTCTTGGGGAAAGCCCCACTCCCGGATCTTGAAGCTAATGATGGGTAGGAACCAAGTTTTGCGGTATAATACCTCTGCAGAAATGCTCTAAACCTTTCGAGGTGGATTTGAGCATCGGAGCCGAGCTGCAAGTATGCGTCCGATAATTCTTCTGTGAGGAATCTACTAAGCATCTTGCCACAGGTGTCAAGCCGAAGATCCATTTCCAGTCTTGCTCGAGAAATGAAAGCTCGATCTTGTCGACTCAATGACTACACGTGAGGTTAGATAACATGTTTCCAGAAGTGTGATGAGATAATTCCGCACGCACCTCGAAACCAGGACTATTGTGAAGTCTTTCGCACATCCCCGCACAATGTGCAAGTGCATCGATCCACATATCCTTAAAATGGAAATGTTCCGCAAAGTACATGATTCCAAGGGCATGGTCTGGCGCATTCCTCATATCCGCATATCCCTCTCCTTCAATGTAGGCTACAAAATCGTCCACATTGTTGACACTAACCGCCCTGAATTGAGACATACTGTCGAGAAGCCCAACCAACGCGCTGCCTAAATCTGGCCCAACCAAGGACTTCTTAAAAACCCAAGCGAAGAAGTTTCGAGTCGCCGTGTGGTAGAGGAATGCCTCTCCTCGTTCTGCCAACGCAGGAGCTGGGATATATAGCTCTACATAGCCAGCATCACTGGCTCCCGCAAAACATTCATCAAAATCCCCCTTGGCGTCCGAGGTTGGCAATGCTTTAGTGTCTTTCGGCATGAATATGTCCAGGAGTGGTTGGCATTTCGCAGCAATTAATGCACTGAGTGGCACTCGGAACGCTGGTCCTCTCATTGATTGTCCCCGGCCATACAAATAAATCAGGCAATCTCCTTTAGGGTACCATAATTCAGGATCCTATACTTGTAAGAATTTTCGTAATCAAGAAGCACATTCACGGACATACCCTTCTCAAGTCATCCCACGGTATCGACCTCCGCGCCTTCCCTTCCCACTTTTTAATTCCCATATCATTCGTCGTCAACATATTCGTACTCGATTTGTTTCTTCGATGTGTGTTTGTTTCCAAGCCCAGCGGCCAATTCTCCTTTGGTGAAGTTGGACTATCATCCGTATATGTATATTCTTCTTTGATAGAAGTCATGCCATGCATCTTTCGACCATATTTTGAGGGAATGGTTCTAGAGGATGCAAATGGTATACTGTCTATTGGAAAAGCCATATTGATAATGATGCGCTCAAGATCTTCAGCTCAAATGACAAAGGCGATCTGTAGTGGCTTGAGTAGGTCAATTAGGGGTGCTTCGGAGAGGCCTTAGAAATTCTTAGATTCGAGCGGTTTAAAGAAAGCGGGGAAACATATCAAATGAATCACGAATGTATTAAAAGAAAGCCCAATACCAGATTAGAGCAATAAGGAATGGAAGAAAGAAAGGAAGAAACTGTTTTCTCAATATCTTCCCAACAGGAAATTGTTTGGAAGCTTAGCCCGAAAGATGCGAGAGAGTCCATATGAATAATTCTGCTCGCGGCCCCGTAGACTGTCATCAAGTACGGGAGCATCTTGTCGTGCTACGAACATCCGTAATCTTATTTTCCTGAATTCTTTCGTTACGCAAAGTGAAGCTCCACGGACTTGGACAATTTGTATTCGTGCGTGACTTGCATGGCGCTTGAACTCAAGAAGAGTTGACAAGGGGTAATCCAGCGGACACGGCCCTCAACCTTTAAAGCTTTGATCTAAAGCGAAGTCTGAAATGCTAGTTTAGCTGATTTTGTACGTATGGGGCTGTATTATATTGTTATCAAAGTTTTTTTTTGTAGATTTTATGTGTGGTGCGTTTGGAAGTTTCCGCTTCTTCGTTTGTTCGATGGAATCGATATCATACAGAGCCTCGAACAAATTGGAACAAAATTTGGGCAGGCCAGGGCCCAAACGAGTTTTGCAAAGCACAACCAATCTACTCCAATATCCACGACGAGCTCAACCGGGAGTCTCTAAGCAGAATCTTGCTACAACTGAAGCTTCCAATGGAGCTGTCCATATACTTGATCGAAGTAACCGCGGGCTGTGCAGTACGAATCAAATTGACAAGTTTGGCGCCGATAGGAAAGGGACCAAGCGGTCTCCGGACTTCAGAAAAACAGTTGGCGTGATCTCTTGCGCTAAGATGCATCTTTTGCTTTCAATTGTTGAGACTAAGTAGATCTCGGGATGGTGTATGGGAATCGGAAATTAATACCATTCAATTTCGAAAAATGACCAGATTGAAAATATTTGGAAATGGGTGGTTGAACCGAGAGTTTTGTATAGGTTATTACGCGACAAGTCGTTCTAGCTTGGAACTACATTTGCAGACCAGAAGCGTCTACTTGGAAAAACAATAAGGATATTTCAATAATTCCTACCCTATCGCAATCCGGCAGTCATTAATAAAGAGCTCAAATTATATGTAATTATACATTAACATTCGCAGATTGTCTTCGTTGGCTACAAGCGCTTTGACATTACATTAAACAGTCGACTTTTCTTGCCTTCCGCTTGGGACATGCATATCTTCAAATACAATACATAGGTGATTTGAACAGTATAACTCATCTCATCTCATCTCAAACAATATTCTCCCGGCATCCAGAACCGTCCCTTTTAATCATCATCTCCAATCACCCTTAAAAGATCTGGTGACCTACACAGACAGCCACTTCCACAAGCGCCTGTCTTCGCTATGATCCCAGGTTCATGCCATATCCTCGCACTTATCAACAATAGGATGAAACTAATGAATTGAGAAGTTTCACCATTGATGTGGTGCACGAATCGGATGACTGTAGTTTATAGGCTTATATGTGAAGTATATCTTTAGGCATAGGTATTTCTCCGCAGTGATGAAACCACGAAACCACTAAGATTCTATCAGTCTTATCAGTCTATAGAATTGATGGCGCTTGGCTCATTAATGGGGATCCGTGGAGATGGAGATAGTCAGGGAATGGGAAGCAGTTTGACTGGGTGTGACGCGGTGATGGTCAAATTTATGAATGGAACACGTTAGCTAACTCCTTCAGAGGAGTAGTTGAGTAATCGTCGTGGGAAATTTTAGATTTTCCTTTGAGTTATCAGTCTTGGAAATAAAATAATATATATTTAGCTCGCATACTGGATACTTAAGCAGGAGCGTGCTGAAAAACTCATCCATATCTTTCGTCAATGCAGGCTAAACGAGTATCTAATGTAATCTTATATATAAACAGACAATCCTCGTCATCTCGATATTTTCACTGGATGTGACGGGGATATTGGACGGCTCTAGACGAATAATTTGGCCAGGTGAGCATACTAATGATATTTTTTGTGTGATGACCAGATTTCTGGGTGGTGAATTCCAATCTCTGGGGAGGATCATAGGTTACTTGAGGGTTTGTTGCATGTCTGAAATGTGAGTCATGACCTTAGTTCTCGCATCAGTGAATAGCATAGTGTGTATGATGGTATGTTGTGTTTTATTCGTTGCACATCCGTCTTCCATGCTCATAAATTCTCCTTTCCAATGACAGACAACAAGCGAGTTTCAATAAACCTCGAGCAAAATTCGCTGGCAAATACATACACATTCGTGAGCATGTCCTGCAAGAAAAAATTGTATTCATCATGTGATCCGTAGACCACAGGTTGAATTGAGTCGTATCCAAGTAAGTATCCACGCAGTAATATTCAAAGAAGGTAGAATATACATCCGCAACATCCAGCTACATATGCCGAGCTTGATGTGAAAAGTAACGCAAGACCTAGTGATACACCTTAATCGTTCTTACACCGTCTCCACGCTTATCTACCAATGTTTACCAGAACCAAGTTTTCTTTTGCTTCCTTTTAGATTCCGCAGCTTTTTCGCACACCACTCTCTTTTCTTCTTGTTCTCTTCCTTCATTTATGATTTTTAGTGCTGCTTCACCTTTTGGAGCTGTAGTCAAGTTCTCATATCCATCTTCGGTGATTAGAAGATCATCTTCGATACGTACACCCCCTACCGGGTAGTATTTTTGTAGGAGTTCCTTGTTGATATATTTTGCGTATTTGGGCGATTTGAGATAAACCTCTTCCAGGGCGTAACGGGAGAAATAGCTTGAAGTCAAATCGTTAGAGCATAAAATAAGGGGAGATGGAATGGACTTACATCCCAGGCTCGACCGTAACAACCATATCCTTTGAGAGGATAGCTCCACCACCTGAATTGATACCGGAGTCCGAAAGAATTTGGAAATAGGCATCAGTCCAATCGGCAGGCTTTCTGTTGAAGTCAAACAGACGATTCGTAATGATCATACCACCGGGTCCGACGTCATGAACCTCTAGACCTACGTAATGTCCCAACTATATTGGTCAGCTTAACGGATCGTGCGAAGGAAGAAAACGAGCACTCACACCATGAGGAAAGAACGCTACGGAAACACCCGCCATGTAGAGTTCATTAAATGTTCCCCCTTCCACAAGCCCCAACTCCATGAGACCTCTCAGGGCAACTTTGTGAGCATGCATATGGACGTCACGATAATTTGCACCTGGCTTCAGCATTTCAATACACTCATCTTGCATCTTAGCCACGAGATCGTAAATGGCTTGAGCTTCTTCGGTATATTCACCGGAGATTGGAACCGTTCGGGTAACATCAGAGGCATAACAATCCCACTCACAACCCGCGTCAAGACACAGTAGCTGTCTTCCTTTCAGAGGCTCATTGTTGGCCATGTAGTGAAGAGTGCTGGCATTTTCGCCGGAACCAGCGATTACGCCATATGCTTGAGTTTTTGCTTGTCTAGCAATACACGTCGCTGTGAAAATGGCTTCGATTTCTGCCTCGTTGGAAAGATAGCGGAGCCCACGGAGAACATTAATATGTCCTTGTGCTGTGATGGCACTGGCCTTCCGGATCATTTTAAGCTCGTAGGGACTTTTGATAGCTCTTGCTGTATTCATAGCTTCCTCTAACTTCGTGCTATCAAATGGAGACTCGCTCATAATAGATTGGCTTCCATTTTTGCGAGTAATCTGAAGTTCAACATTATTTGGCGTTTGATAATCGTGTAGTACATGAATTTTCCCCGGCTCGGTATGGGCATACCAAGTGAGATATGAATCAAGATGAGGTAATGTTTCTACATGGTCAAGATCGTATTTGGCCATTATCTCTTTAGCTGTGGGACGAGATCCGTTATAGATGACGGACCTGCCGGAATTTGGTGGTGGGATCCAAAGCCATAACTGATCACGATGGATGCTGTAGGTAACGATGCAGTCAGGAAAATTGACTCCAGTGAGATAGTAGAAGTAGCGACGTTGTCGGAAAGCAGGCTGCATATCAGAATCTTCATAATTGAAGCTTGGTAAACCAGGAAGATATATGAGACCCTCCTGGAGCCCTAGATACTTTTTGACTTGTCGCGCATGAAGCTTTGCTATTTTGACTAATCAGTATTGATGCCATTTTGAACGGAGATGACGATAAATGAGCTAGAGAGTTGATGCATTGATTGACGACTGACCTGGATATTTCTCAATTGGCTTGGGCTCATATTCTATTGACCTGCTCGAATATCAATACATCTCCTTCCAGTATGTGGTTTTAAGACTTGTTTACAAAGCATCAAACTCATCCACCTCCTTACAGGACCAACTCCCCCTTGAAGATGGACGAACTTCGAATTCCCTATCTTTGTCTTGAGCCACAGATGAAGCTATAAGCGATCGGAAATCCATGTTAAGGAAATGAAATGAAATGTTGTAAGGAAGGTCTACAATTGAAAGATAAAAGATAGTTTAGATAGTTTTTGTTGAAATGAGGAGGGTCTCTTGCAATTGTCTGTTTTATTATATTATCGTAATATACCTAGGGACGTTCGATACTGATTCAGACGAAGCACGGTGTCTCTCATGTCTCCATCTCCTATCTCTATCTCTACTTCATATCTCTCCTATCTCATGTCTCGGCTTTAGTTCGGTTTACAAGTTTTATAAATAATCTTCCCAATTTGATTGACTTCTCCAGATTGACTTCTCCAGATTGACTTCTTCAAGTTGACTCCTTCAGATACGTCGATACGATACCCTCCAACTTTCATCCCGATGCATATAATGTCAGTTTGAGTGGCACAGCAGGTGAGATGACATTGCGATGAGACTCTATCATCACCTAAGTATCGTCACCCGCCTATCATCACTTATCCCAACTGTTTCGTCTTTCCTCAATAAATCAAGTCAATATGAAGCCTTGTCAGATTGACTTTCATCCGTATCCAATGGTTCCTCACCGCCCCAGCCTTGAAGTTATGGACCCTTGCACTTGCAGATATTTCTCCAGCTTTCGAGCCTTCACCTATTTCAACCTCCAAACCCCGCACCAAAATATTGCGAAAAACAGACAACTTCATTTCTGAGATAGGTGCAAGAACTCCCTTCGATGCTAAATTCGTTTACAAACGTGTACACTGCATTTCCCGCCATTCAATCCCGTAGCAGTAACATGGCCGTGTATCAACTAGGAATGATTGGTTTCTCAGGCTCTAGTGCACGGTTCCAGAGCCTCAGCGATTTTGAGAAGGAGCAAGATGATTTGCAAGCGCAGTAAGTTCTTGAACGGAAATACCATGAAATTCACAGCATACTATTACTACAATTATCGAGTGTTGTTCTCTAATCTCACTTGGTGCATTTATGCAGTCAGTCATATTGATCAGCTTTGTAGGATTGACCGAGACAATTTAAATGCAAAATTTACAACGTCTCAAAGTGTCTCACCGGCCAATAGAAGGGCTAAGATTACACCAGATGTCGCTGGTATACTGCTTGAAAACCAAGCATTGGAGGAAATGGGAGGGATAAACTGGGTTGGAAAGCTACTTGGTTGGTTCTCAGTCACGAGGCTATATCCATTCACCGTGTATTCTAACAGCCTTCAGAATATCACCAAGCCAATGCAATCAATCCTACTGCAGAATACTCAGAGATCGAAATATCCCCACAGAGATTCACCTGCTCTGTAATCATCAAGCAAAAAAGCGAGCCTATCAGTAGTGTGACTTCCTTTGCTCGCAAGAAGGATGCTAAGCAGTTCATCTCCAAACTCGCCATCGACTGGCTCATCTCCCAGAAATTCATGCCATCCACCGGAGCCGTGAAATTTCCAAAAGCTCCTATTGCTCCCCAAACTCCCCCGGCAAAAATATACCATGCACCACTCTCTCCGCTAGATTCAACCTCAGCTACCGTCAGTCCACGCGAAAGAAGTACCTCACCAACTTCATACCCAAGCCTGATTCCAGATCTATGCCGTGCGCTTGGATTTAATGTGCCCACCTACAGAATTGTGCCTATGGTAGAAAATTCTCCACTCTACCACGGCTTTGCGGATTTTGGCTCTGATCCCAGGATTCTCGGCAAGGTTGGGGAGTTCAGTGGCATCTACGGCAAAAAGAAGGCGAAGGAGGTTTGCGCGAGAGAGGTTTGGTATTTTTTGAAGGGTATCGAGAGGCAAAGACTTGAGGCAACCGAAAACCGGGAGATGGAGATCAAGAGGAAGAGAGAGGAAACGCCTCAAAATCCGGATCTAAATAGGCAAAGTCATATTGTTGCGGGAATTTAAGTGGCTTTGTGGTATTTGTTTGAAACGAATGATGATTTATGGATTGTGATGGGATATTGGGAGAATCTGTTTGATGGATTTCTTGTAAGGGTTCAATTGAAGTGATGGAATACTAGTATTCAGATGTTAAGGTGGAATATCATTCCATTTCATTCAGATATATTTGATCTGTTCTTTTTCATCCATCCACATCTTTCGATGAACAACTAATTAAGACTCACGTTCAAATTTGAAGAAGTACCCCTATTCAGCTCTTCTTTTCTTTCATGGTAAGTAAGATCATCCAACTTCATAATATCTCACCTCACCCAACAGCTAGCCCACGGTCCCAGAGAAACAACCACCGAAACCCCCAGCCCCACTCATTTCCTTCCTGAATTCTCCTACCTTATTTCTCCATTCTTCTTGTCTCCTATTGCGCAGTTTTTCTTCCCGACTCAGTCAACAGTCAACAGACAACTCAACAACCATTAACATCATATCTCAGATTCAGCATCCCACCCAGTAGCAAGTACCCAGCAGCAGAAAATTAACATAGGGACATCACCGCCGAAGCCTCAGCCAAACATGAGGCGACGATAAGGCATGGGTCCGCATCTTTAGCCATCAAGCCATTCATCACGATATTTTTTCTCTCGGCAATCCCATTTCTCATGCGAGTTGACTCGGATTGAGAGTAATAGGTGCTCCGAAGGTTCGCAACGCAGACAATTATCAAATAATACAGATTGGTGATGAATCCACACGAGTAAATTGTTGGCGGGGGAACAGTTTTGCACGAGATAATCACATGATAGAATTAAAGAAATATATAGCCAGTAAATATCTCTTTTGGGTATATGATTTTATTCGTAGCCATCCACCAAGGAGCTCAAGCACATTTGATACAACAGGGAATTTTCCCCTTCTTGATTCATTGGCCTCATCATAGTCCCAAATGTTCCGAGCCTCAACCAAGTGAGTGCCCTGTTCCTGTTATTGTTCCTCTCCATCTCTTCCATCCCCGCACTCCATCCGAGAACAAAGGGACGATTCATTAAAATCTTACAGTGAGGCGGTAACGATGACCTGCCTGTTTATCCAACGCCACGAACTTATGCAAACGCCCTTCCATCTTCGTCCATCATGAGAAAACCCGGCGTATTGCTTATAAATTTGGAAAAGAGAAGAAAAAAAAAACAAAAAAAACGCCGAATGGTAAACCAAAATTTGGCATACAAATAAATGTGTGCTTATAATGCTTGCGAAATGTGGTATAAATAAAGCAGTGGTCATGGAAATTATGGTGATATTCTGTAGTATGATAGATTCTATGTGCTTTGCAAAATACTCAAAGGAAGTCATCGATAGATCGAGTAATAGTCGCTTCGCCTGTTATGGGTGGACTTCGAGGATCTTGAGCAGGTGGAAGGTTTGGATGGATTGCGACGGTTGGAGGGAAGAATGCCGTCCGCTGAAAATCAAAGCCACGTGGAGAGAAAAGACTGGGCGTTCCCTTGGAAGATTCTTGTGGAATGACACGTGAAAAAGCATGTTCGAGAGGATTGCGAGTCATCTCACTTATCCGAGGGGACATTATACCTGATTGCGCGTCATCATCCTGTGGTCGAGGGGACATCATGTCAAGCTGCCATTTGGTTTCCTGTAATGGTAGTCGCTCGATTTCAGAACTATCTCCGAACTTTGTGAAGGGTTCAATTCGTGGAATGTCACCAAATCCGAAGTCAAAACGACTTAGACGATCAATCGCAGAATTGCAACCAGAATTTATCTCTTCTTTGGCTGAATGATTCAGAATCACAGGCTCTCTGACAGCTGAATCTCTGGGTGGCGAAACAGAAGAAGAATTAACCCTGTTACGGCCGACAGACGATGCTGTATCGAGATCACTGGCAGATAACGATTGCCTGTGCCTACTCAGGCTTTCGTTTTTAGCAACCATTTTCTTGTCCTCGACGGTCTGTTTCTCTAACTTCTTTCTTTCGATGACTTTTTTGAAGTCGTTTAAGGAGAAGAGAAGTGACATATTTGGATTGACCCAACGTGATTTCGATTGTGCCAAATTGTATGCTTCATTAGCTGATAGGTCCTGGTTGATATACATCCCGTATGCTATTATCAAGGTTGCCGATCGGCTAGCACCCTGTTGACAATGCACCAGAACCCTTTTCCCCTCCTTAGCTCTTGATTCTATGGTTTGGCATAAATCCCACAATTCACCTTGCACGTCTGTATTATGATCCCAAGGAATGTGTATATACTCGGGAATCTTCATTTCCGAGGTGCTAGGTCGTGGTGTGGATGGGGACGATTCTGTGGAGCTCGATTCGGAACCAGCCGATTGAGTCTCGTAGGCAGTTTGGAAGGAGGAAATGGTTCCAGCTGTACCAGGTATCTCGGTGTAGGAATCCACAAAGTTGTCCCTGGATTCGATAGTGGTATGACTGAGTCTCTTCTGTTTCTCCTCTTCCTCCCTCTTCATCTCCCCAAGCTTTGCTTCGAACGGATTTTTGACTTCCCGCGCGACATTAATCACAACATCAAATTCTGCAGCCTCTTCCATCTTAGGCTCCGAATATAGATGGATGGTCGGTTCGTGCATAAGAATTGGACCGTCAGGATATGATGGAGACTTGCAGTCCTCGCCTGTAGGTGGTCTGTCAAACGAGTCACCGCCAATAGACATGCCTGGTGCTCGAGTTGCCATTTGAACTCCTGTTGGCGAGGGTGCGTCGTCTTCATTGATGGTGAATGTATCCCTCGGCGGGCCAGATTCTTTTAGCCTCGAACCACCAAAGCCCCTAGAAGGATCACCCAACGTCATTCCACCACTAGGGCCGAAGCCTGGTGTGGTCATTGAAAGCATTTGCGGCGACGAGACAGAGTGTTTTAACCCTCTGCGTTGCAGCATTGATGAGGTTCCCGGTTGTCCCAAAGGTTCCGAGGTCATATTCGCTGTTCCCGTATTTAAACTTAAAAGACTTGGCTTTCTCCTAGCCTTCAGTGGCGGTGGTTTGATAAAAGACGGGGAAGGTGGCTCTGAGGCGAATTCATCAATGCTTGGTCGGAGATTTAGAGCAAGACTTTTGGGATTCTTTTTCCTCGGGGAAGGCGAAGTCATAGGCCGTTCAACGGTGATGGGCGGCGGCCTTGTATCTATTTCACCCATCTTCAGATTTTGGAAAGAATCTAGGCCAAACGAAGATCCGGTGAATGAGGATAATGGGACGATAGTGATTGGTGATTCGGGTGACGAACTTGGTGATGGATCTGATAGTGAAGATGAGTCTATCGTCGACACTGTTGTGGTTGGAGAAGAGTCCGTCGAATCGGATGCTTGTGTTGAAGTGCTTTCCCGATGTTGATGGGAATGTATTTGAAGTAGGTTGCTATCGGTCTTGACTTCCGGAATTTGGTGTGTTTGTTGATTGTTATACAGACTAGCCGATAATTTGGTGGGAGTGCCGCCTAACGCTGAATCGTCCATCATGTTTGAATTCATGCCATACACTGACATGAAGGTAGGTAAATGATTCTCGTGTATTCGGAGACCAGCTGCTGATGGCATCTTCCGTCTCCCAGAGAGATCGCGACGCTTGACAACTGGAGCCTGCGCCAATAGTTCGCGTGTGCGTTGAATTGATTGTATGCCCCAGTATGTTTTAGATATCTCACTTAAGTCCGGAGAAGCGGGTGGAGAAAGTGTAATCGCAGTAAAGGACCTTTTCAAAGTTGCATTGTTAGCAATTGCAATGCTTGTTGGACCAGCCATCATCGATTGTTGAACAAGGGAAAATGAGCGTAGACGACTTTCTTTTGTTGTTTGTTTGACGATAGATACTATGATCAACGGAGGCAACAATAAGAAAGGAAGGCAAGCTTCAGGATTCAAGGCAAAGAAGAAAAAAATCCACTCACTAAAGTTATGAAAAGATGTTGAAACAGCTTCCCCAATCGAAGGACAAAGTCCAGAGTGCAAGTCGACAACAATGAGCAAGGTCAAATGCGCCTTGATGATTGCGATTGAATATGGGAATGGCGCAAGAAGTGACCGGTACAAGAGAATGATTGGAATGTATACAGCGAGAAGTCGTAAGAGAAGTTTGAGGACAAAGCAAGAATTACCTCGAGGGGTAACCTTAATCTTGCCTTACCTGGGTGATCCACGCGAGACGCCGCAAAGTTATTATTATTCAAAGTATGAAGTACCCAGTACTTCACTACTAAGGGACGTGAGGTCGGGATTCGTATGCCTGGGGGGTCAAATTACCAGAGAGCGAAATGACAGGATATAATGTAGTTGTTTTGAAAAGACAAACTTTTTTGTTTTTATTTTTATTTTTATTTTCAAAAATTGAACCGTTTTGGGGAAACAAGATTGAAGGAATTGAAGGAAGGATTTTCAAAAGTTAAGAGTTTCGAGAAACGAAGACGTCTCGACAATGTTGGTGGTGCTGGCCAGGGTTCTGAAAAGGTTTAAACTAGTCAGCGCACCGTTCTCAGCGAATTGGGGGTGAAATGCAGGGGGTTTAAAAATAGACAGGGCGGGTAAAAAAGCACCAAGCACCCAGTTAAAATCGTAGTAAACCAATAAAAAAGATCCCTTACGGTGAATTTGATTTGCCCTTGGTTTTAATTGCCTGCAACTTATTAGAGAGCAGAGTACTACCTACTGATGTACTCCGTACCTCTCAAGGGTTCTGCTCTCTTTAAGAGGGCGGGTGTGCCCAACCAAATCAAGCCTTCCGTCTGCAAGAAAGCCGGAGAGGATGGATGGGTGGGTGGATAGGTGGGTGGATGGCTGGGTGGATGAATGGGTGGGTTATTGATGAGTGGATGAATGGATGTATAGATGAATAGATTCGAGATTGGTTTGATTTGATATTATTTGATCGGATTTGATTTGACAAGATGAGGGAAGATGAGATGAGATGCGCCGTAGAAGTGTGTGGGCGATTGTAATTCAAGGTATGACTAGGTATGCGGACAGGTAGGTGTATCTACAAGTATCTGTATTGATATAATAAAGTTGAGTCGAGTCGAGTCGGTTGAGTTGAGGTAGTGAGCAGGAAGTGGTCGGTAGTTAGTAGTAATAAGTCCTAGGTAATCTGTTTATGTTGAGAATCTGTAGTAGACTTCCCTTGCGCGCGACAATTCCACAACACAAACCACTCGTGGGTATGATAGACAGATAGATAGATAATAGCTAAAAACCTTGGATGAGATACGAGACAAATTTATCCGATCACACAAAGATGAGGAACAGATGGTGTTATGTTTGATTCCCGTGGGGTATTTCCAGTAGGGCTGGTATATCGTCTGGGGTACCTCTGTAATAAGTGTATGTATATATATGTATGTGTACACTTATGTATCGAAGGAATCACTCGAAAGTCAATATGATGATTATGTGTATTTTCGGGCAAGGTAGGTAGGTACTAGGTAAGTCGAGGTCGAGAGCAAAGGAACGGCCACGGCTTTTTCAGTCGCAAAGAGAAATCGAGTAGGTCGTATGGGATGGTAGGTATTCAAAGGAGGAAATGATAAATAAGTATATGAAATTCAAGAAGCGGAGAAGGATGATGTCAGATAATGAAATACATCATGTAAAAAAGACAGTGAAAGGTAGGAAAACGGAGTAAATCAATTTGGTATAAAATGAAAAAGTAGATAGATAGTTAAAGAAGATAGATAATGAAAGATAAAAGGGTGTATTGAATTGGTAGGTAGGAAGGAATTGTGAGAAGAAAGTGGTGAGTGAGTATTAGGACTCTTGGATAAAAGATTTTGGGGATCTTGGGGGGGGGGGGGGGAAGAGGCAGAGAGTAATTCCGTAAAGAGGCTTAAAAGGAAAAATCAATCCAAATTCAAAGCTACAAAATTGACATCGGTGCATACAACAACCTGGAACCCGCTCCATGGATGGCTTTGTTGTCCAGGACTTCAGGCAAATGGGCCAAATCACATCCAAATCACAGCCAAATCATAAATTTATAAATTCATAAATGGATTATCATTTACAAATTAGTATTTGTATTGCCTTGTATTGCCTTGTATTGCCTTGTATTGCCTTCACACTTCACACCTCGCACTTTACACTTCATACTTCATACTTCATACCTTCCTCGATACGCGTCGCCGAAACAGATTTACTGCAACTTGTCTCTCCGGTTTTAATTGGTCATAAACATCCATGGAGATATATGAAACAAACTATGAAAAAAATGTCACATTGGAAAATATCCGACGCCCCCACCAATGAAATGCTGAGAAAGAAACCTTTTCCCTTGTCTCATATTTCGAAATGATTGGGAGCTTGTCAAGGGTTTTCAAGCGTTTTCGACATTTATCAAGGGACGGGACAAAATTGTGCTTCGCTTTGATGCTCCAAGAGGCAACTTTGAAGGTCATACCACGACCGGTACACCACCATTCGACAAACACAACTCTACAAGGCAATTTTTCGCCTTTTTCGTCTGGCGTTGGAGGAGAATTCGAAAGACGGAAAGAAAAAAAGTAAATCATAAATGAGGCTCAGTGTGGCTCAGTGTGGCTGGGGGATTTAATACCCTCAGGTACACCCGTCCCGTCCTCCTGACTTTGACCTCCATCAAAACTTATTTGAACATCCCAAGAGAGAAGAAACCCTATGAAGGAGAGCAAAAAAGTCAAGATACTCGTAACTCTTCTCGCTCCCGAATCATTTTCCTGGCCCAGTTTGTCGCCCGTCAGTGCCCAGCATTATCCAGCATTGTACGGCGACCGACGTGTGGGGGATGAAATTGAATCTCGACCTGCTATCCCAAATTCAGCTCAGGACGAAGCATGATCCAGGACACTGCATTTGGGAACCCCCCCACATGGGAGATCTCATTAAAACGGTTGGTAACGAGATGAATATCGGGTATTCAGTACGAAACCACGAAACTACGAGACTACGCGTACGAGATGGTCGAGGGAGCAGCTCAGAAACAGGGCGACATGGTGTATGAGAACTTTGAGAAGGTATGTGAGCAGGATCATCGACTAGTATCTTGGTTGGCTGTTTAGCTGGCTGATCTGCGAGTATATCTGCATTATGATATCCCCAAGCTATGGTCCAAGCGAGCATGAATCATGAGACGGATGTGAAAAAGTACAAATTTCATGCCCCGAGTTCGTCTCATCCTTTTTCTTGACCTATTGAAGCTTTGTTCATTTGAAGGCCTTCTCAAGGGAAGGGACTAATTTCGGATCCAAACGCGAGATAATTATAGATCTACTAAAGAGAGAATTCACCGTTATGCTAATGAGAATTTTATTCTGTTCAGGGACGAGCTCTAAAAACCCGTTGCTTTATTAGCAGGCGACCAGGTGGATAGGGAGCATGTTTTGTGCTTTATATACAAAAGTATGCAAACCGCGGTGTTTCATTTTAACATGGCAAAATTTAAAAATTTGACATTTTAATTTATCGAGGAATGTCTGGCAGGATTTTGTTCCAGAGACAGAAACTCAGCCGCGATCTACTTGCCTGTATCCACAAGTACGGTCATGTCAATCTTCAAATCGCTTCAAACAGTGATAATTCCATAAAGCCGGAGTTGAGACGAATATTTACCTAGTTGACCGTTGGGAGTTGGGAGTCTTGGGCCAATTGCTTTCACATGCAAATTCGAAGACTTACCAAGACAATTGGCTGGATCTCTTAACAACGTTCCATTTAGGAGACCAGATTTCATCTCCCTAGCCAATTTTCCCGTACACTTTTGGCCAGACCTAATTACGCCTCCGCATCAAGGACATCTTTTGGGTCAATAATTATTCTGCCCTCATGGTTCTGGGACATCAATGGGTCCTTGCCCCTGACTGTATGTGTAATACAGTGATTGAAGGGCAAAATAATGTAAAACATTTCTCAGCTATATATTCCTGGTTTTCCTGTAATTTGATGATGCTATTACGAATTTGAATAATTTTAAACCTTAGAAATATGACCATTATTCCTCTTTTTTTGTTGAATTAATCTTTTAACCTTGGTATTTATTTTGTTATTGTGTTATCATATACTCATTATATCATTACAGTTCACAAACCGTTGAAATAAATTTCTTTCAAAAAATTCTCAAGTATGCCTCCCCGACGCTTTTTAATGAGCATTTATAATTGAAGTGTTGCTTGTCCATTGGATAGTTGGATCAATCGCGACTTTATCTCTTCTACACAAAAACTGACACCAGCTGGACGTAGGGCATAGGTAAGGCATCGGCATGTATCCACAGGTGGGTCTTTCAATCCAATCGACTAAACATTACTGTAGTACACCCTCGAAGCGCGTTCCCGCCTTCTACACATTCAACTGGCCACTTTTAGTGTCTGGCTAAGAAGCTGCGCTGTGTGCTTTGGAAGTCTTAGCTATGTGGGAAGAAAAAGTTACATACAACGATAATGGATATTTACAAGCCGATGAAGGGATTTTTCCTTCCCGCTTCGGCAGTCAATCATTGACCACTTGAGACTCAATATCAGCCATGCAGCGATCCAAGAGATTTGACTTGCAGTTCAGGCAGGCTGCACGATGCTAACAAACTTTCTCCATGGCACGCACCAAGGCGGAAGCCTTGTCAAAGCACAGCTTCGAGTAGAAAGTTGGAATCGGGCTCTACACATCTATCTGTACTATACCTAGGTAGGTATGTATGGATTATATGTCACATTGATCGAAAGGTGTGCAATAAATGAAAGCAAAGCTATTTTTAAAAGTGGACTATGGAATGCAGGATTTGGATGACACCAAGTATTTCTCCGCCTGGCAGTGGTCACGGCCCGAACTAAGCCTGAGTACAGTGATTGAAAAAGTTCCCTTTGCTTCCCCTCATCATCACCACATCAAAGACATACATATTCCGTAGTCACTAGGGACATCAATCATTATGCACGTCCCTCGCTTTTAGCAGACAATGTATGCAGTGAGAGGTCATGGTGGAGAGGGTAATTGATTAATTGCATGCGTCAGTGTGAAGAGAGGGTCAATTTTCAAGACTTGAGAGTGTGAGAGGTTCGGTACTCTTCGAATCAAAAGCCAGTGGAAGCATCGAATATGTAGGAAGCTTTAATTATACAAAATTCTGCATGGAGACCGGTATCGACCATTTATTATGCTCCACCTTAAGTTGTCCAGGTCGATAACATTTCCATATCTTGATCTTGATCTTGATATGAATCCAGATAAGCATAGTACGTATGCGTATTCATATATTCATATATTCATATATACATCTATACATCTATACATCTATACATCTATACATCTATACATCTATACATCTATACATCTATACATCTATACATACATATCTACATCCATCTATTCATTCATCCATACAAACAGTAATACAAGACTGAATAACTATTTAATTTCCAAGGAATACCTAGACTTTGAATACGTAGTAAGTCAGTCTTACCTAGCACTTATTATTAATCCATGAAGAAAAATAGATTTTGCGCAAAAGCCCACCACGAACTTTAGGAAAGTTTCGGAAGCCCTAATGCTCACGCGAGCGAGTGCTAAGATGGAAATTACGGTTTATTGCATTTTTGACAGGGCCATTTATGCGAATGCTGCACCACCAAGAAACCCTTCCATTTCGATAAAAGTGACATGAACCTTGTGAGGAAGATAAACTATTGATAAAAAGAAAAGAAAAGGAAGAAGAAGAAAGCAAAAAGTTGTAGATAAGTAAGTGTATGGAGGGAAGCGGGAAGTACTCAAGTAGACTAATTAATATAATAAATATTGAAATGAGAAAGAATACAACCGAACCTCCTTTTCTTCATTCTTTTCATTCTTTATAAAAGAAATAGATGTATATAATATGTATAATATATATACTACTATAACTGCTTAGTGTCTAGACAGATGTTCATATTGTATATAGCCATACTCTCGTATCTATATCGTAAAGACTCTTCATGATTAATCTCCAATTCTCCAATTATCATCTATCTAATACGATTCTATAGCTCTGTTTTGTTATGAGCACGGCCATCTGCTATCAAATCTTGCCTGCGGTTATGCAGTAGCTAGCTGCATGCTTGCTTGATGACGGAACCTGACCTTCCTCACACCATTCTATCTAACCTTTTTCTTTTCTCTTCACATCCATACATAGCCACTCCTTACCTACACTTTCATATTCACATCCAATTTTTTTATTCCTTTTTTTACATTTTGACATACAATCAAATCTTCGCTTTGACTTGACATGTTAGACTATTTTTATTCAAGATGTCACAAATCCCTCAGTCTCCCAGCACAAGATCAAAACCAAGACCAAGACCCTTATCGTTTCACTCTCATCGAGTTGATCATAATTCCTCCAAATTACCCAGAATACGTTATGCGCCCGATATAATTACACAAATCCCAACCACCGGAGAAGAAGCAGCACATCATCCTCATTCAACATTATCACAATCAGCTGACTCAAATATGGCGACTGCAAATGCTGCAAATGCTGCAACTGCTGCAAACCCTTCCATGGCCGTCAATTCCAATGTGAATGCCGAGAAAAATAATAATCATAATAATAATCTAAAACTTAAATCCTCCAGTTTTGATTTGAAATTCACCGGGAATCACTCTACCGTTGCGACCCCCTTTAATCCGACAAATCCAATTAAGAAGGAGCCATTTCGTACGAGGATATTAAATTCATTCACTGGGGGTCCGGCTAGATCAGGGTCACCTAAATCAGCATCGTCGCGTCGAACATTATCTTATCCCACGCCTACACCCAACAGAGCTTCCGTCACGACCAATACTTCCACGAAACCTCAACACGAAACAGCATCACACATCGTCGCATCGGAAAAAAATGCAAGGAAAGTGCCTGCTTATCCCAATGGCAAGAATGGAATAGCGGCCGAAGTCTCAAAAGAATCAACTTCGACCATGTTATCTCCAGGAGCATCGTACGTCTCACAAACAACGAATTGGATTGCGGACCAATCTCACTTGGATCAATCTCCTCCTCCTTCTTCGACATCATATGCACCACAATCATCCTTGGAGAATACACCATCGCGACCGGTCCTCTTACCGGCGAGGGGCTTCAACAACAATAATAAAATGGAACACGACCTGGCAGAGAGGGAATCTGCATTGAGGAGTCTAGAGGGACGGAACCCTCGGAGAGAATTACAGGATGAACGAAATTCTGATGAAGCCGACTTGTTCTTGCAGGTTGCGCAAGAGGAAGATGATATGAATAGGCAGAAGAATCCAGTCTTCAATAGATTAGATTCTAGAAAGGTAATACATTTTTATCTTCTTTCCCCATGTTTGCAGTTGTACCTTGCATCGGGATATTTTCCAAAAATGGCTTAAATATCTAACTCGTCTCGATAGTCCCGCATTGCTATGCGCCAATCTCTCCCTGCTCCTAACTTCCGATCTGCGTATTTTCGTCGGGAAGCCGATCAAGAAACAAAGCCAACAGCTCGTTACGCGGAAGAAGCAGAAGGTCTACCACAGGTATTGGGAGATAACCCATCTGCAAGGACAGGACCTGCTACTTCAACAACCTCTATTCCGAGCGAGCAAAGGAAGCGATCGTATGCAACCGCATCCCTGTCAAACCCTACAACTCCACGAACGAATAACCGGGAAGGCGACTACGAATCACAGTCATACCTAGGGCGACGACCGTCTATACAGGACCGAACAATTACTGCCTACCGACAGTCCAGCTTGTCTACTTCGTACTCCATTCCCCGAACTACTACTTATCATTCTTCTCCACTTGTGGCGCAACCGATGGAGATCGGCGAACAACATGAAACACAGCGTGCAACAGAAGGCACTGCATCGACCGTGTCCACCACTGCGCCTTCAACTGTTTGGGACGAGCTAGATGATCTGAAATCGCGTATACATAGATTGGAATTGACGGGCAAATTGCCGACAACATCTGGTGCAGCTGTCTCTCGAGCCACCCACGAGCGACCTCCCACCGCTGCCACAACTGAAACTACCATGTCAACATCTCCAAAACGTGGACGTGGTAATAGCATATCGCCAACTGAAGCTCCTTCCGTAGATGTGTCCAAGGTGGAAAACCATCCTCTCTTGCGATCCGCATTATTAAATTCGAAGCCTCTATTGGACCCCGAAATATACAAATCTTTGGAGGCTACAGCAAATGACGCCTTGGCAATCTCTGCGATGATGGGAACCTCCGGTCAACCCGGGCCGATATCAAGTTCCCAATCATCCATTGGCGGAGCACATTCCAATTTCTCTGATCGACAAGTCCGCCGAAAAGCAGACAGTTTATGTCGCAGTTTAACGGAACTTTGTCTTTCATTGTCGGAACGAAGATCAAATGATCACGATGCTACTCTGACACAGCTTCGACAGAATGTTCGTGGTCAGGATGTCGAACTTCGACAAACTGTAGAGCCTGTTAGCCCAAGGCAGCCGCCTTCTATTGATATAGCAAAGTTGAAGGCGAGCCCAAGATCATACAGCCGTCTCGAGGCCCGAAGGAGCACCCTTCTAGGAACAAACGCATTGCCGACTTTGAGATATCCACCACCTGAGAACACGGCACCAGCGCAAAGCTTGGCAGCAGGACGTCGTACATCTCTGTTACTTCGCAGTCGACGCGCTGAGACCGAAGATCCCCAAGAAACAGTGGAGGCTCGATTTCGGGCACCCTCAAGAGCTAAAACGGACGTCGGACGCAGGGGAGAAATTCCGCGGGAGGAAATGCAACGTTCTCACTTCCCCGAAGACGATATGAGATCCGGCACAGCCACATCGTCACTAGCACTCAGAAGGTCATATACGACATCCCTCAGTCCCAACAGGGCGCCACAGCCCTCTCCGCTCACACAAATCAACACCGGCAGAAGATATTATGAACGAACACCGGAGAGAGAGATTCTCGTAAACTCAAGTCTAAGCGGCAGTGGTGGTGGTCGCAGATACCTAGAGCGAACTCCCGATAGGGATACTACAAGCCTTTCGGGAAGATTGGCCGAGGAGCGCGGGCAGAGAAAAGTATCTGGCCCCTTAGGATTGGGCGGCAGAAGCAGAGCCGGCAGCCTTATGAGAAGTAAGGATCCATTAGGCCCTTCGCAATCTGGTTCTTACCAGTAAATTTCATTTATGATTTCATTTGTACAAAGAAAAATTTGGAGTTCGGCACAGGTTTCTTTCAGCGCTTTTTGCGCACGGGTTTATCAGGAGGGTATTCCTTTATATTATTTTTGATTTTATAACCATAGGGAGAGAGAAACATTTTCAAGATACCCTGGGTACATACGATGGCACGATTAGAGGGGTTTGTGGATTACATATCAGCGAGGTTACATATTAGTGAAAGGGATTAGGGCATGCTCTTTAGGTACATACTACTGCTTAGCTTCGACTTGCGGTTTAGCCTAGGCTGGGGTTTTGGGTTGCTTGCTCTTGTGATTGTAAAATCACCTGAATCGTTGCTGGATATGGCTATTCACTTGGGATTCCGCTTTGGCATATAGGAGATGGGCCCAAGGTGAATTGGGAGGAGTCTGGATTGAGCATAACAATATTGGAGAGGTGACAGACTTTCTACTTATGAATGTATTATATTATTATTTACTAGCAATAAACATTGTAGAGAAGATTTTTACCAAATGATCTTTTTAATAATATCATACCGCGCCTTTTCTGTGGTGTAGTATTATAGATTGAATTTGAAGATTATGAATACACTGTAATGCAACTTGAGTTCCTACGAACAACCACCTCGAGAAGATCAAGTCAACTCTTGCCTGACGACATTATTCACGCCAAAAATATCAAATCTTCCTTGGGATTTCGTATTATACATACTGATCACGTCTCACCTCTCCTCATCGATAACTCTTCCCTTACTATTGCCTCCTTTAGAAATTCCTTCTAGATCTTATAAGCGGACTAAATATGTACCCCACCACTACAACCTCTTCACCAATTCTTTATACCCCGCCATAATGCATGCGTGCATGATCAAACTCATCAACTAGCTAGCTACTTAAATGTACAGACATTTCCTCCGCAACAAAATACCCGAAATTCGTTTTGAGATACCGAGATATTACGGACACGCATCTAAGATACGTCGTCTCCATTCACAAACTTTTAAGTTACACGGTTCAGCCTCGTGTTCTTGCTCGCAAGATTCGCGCAGGAGTACAAATATGGCAGATGTGAGCGCAACGGACGTGGTTGCTTTGGCGGAAGATATTGATGGGGCGGATTTGGTTAAGAAGAGTGGGAGAGGAGGAAAGGGTGGCAGAGGTGGAAAGGGTGGTGGTGGACAGAGTAGAGAAGTGGTTATTAGTAAGGCGCTTTCTAAGTTGTTGAGACATGCGGCCGAGGATGAGGGTTTGAAGTTAGATGAAGAAGGGTATGCTAGATTGGATTTGGTGGTGAGTTTTCTTTTTGCTTTGTATTTGATGGAAGGATGGGGGTAACCTGTGTAAGAGAGGAAGGAGATGGAACTGGAACTGGAACTGATGAGAATCACGTGGCTATTCTCATGCTCTTTCCATGGTCATGAGGTGTTACAAATAAGAAGAATCAAACTCATATACATACTAGATGCAATGGCCTCGCCTCAAATCTCTTAAACCTACATTCGCCGATATCCGCACCGCCGTCCACGATAATGCCAAACAACGTTTTTCTATGAAGGCCAATCCCGCACTTCCAACACCTCCTTCTCCATCCTCGGAGAACCCATCGGATTGGGTTATTCGTGCTAATCAAGGTCATTCTATTGCTATTGATTCAGCTACCCTGTTGGTTCCTATTACTATCGAGAAGGGTAATGTGCCAGAAACTTGTGTTCATGGTACTTATTTTGCATTTTACGAGGAAATTGTAAAAAGTGGAGGATTAAAGAAGATGGGCAGGAATCATGTGCATTTTGGAACAGGAGTACCGGAAGAAGGAGGCGTTATAAGCGGAATGAGGGGAGATGCGGAGGTACTGATTTATGTGGATGTTAAAAAGTGTTTGGAAGAGGAACCGGATGTGAAATGGTGGGTTAGTGATAATGGGGTTGTGCTGTCTGAAGGGAATGCGGATGGAGTTGTAGGAACGAGGTTTTGGAAGAGGGTTGAGGGAAGAAAAGAGGGTGGTGTGCTTTGGGAGGATGGAGTGAAGGTGAAGGAGTTGGATGAAAGTCTAAAGAACAGAAAGGCGCCGATGGGGAAGGGAGGAAGAGGTGGTGGGGAAAGAGGAGGTGGAAGAGGTGGAAGAGGACAGGGAAGAGGGGGGAAGGCTATGGGTGGAACTGCCGATACTAATATAGAAGAAGCTCAACCTGTAGCGGAGACATAGAGATGCCAAATACTACAACCAAAAGTAGTAAATCCAAACTCAACACTTACTATTCAACCTCGCCCCATATTTCCATATGGAGCAATAGACGTATACCTCTAGTCAAATTCACAATTATAATCCTAATAAAGTCTTCTAGTACTAATATAAAAACACACAATCAAATTCTCCAATTAACAAAATTTTATCTACTGAATAGTCGACAATATCAGACCAGCGAATGAAGAAGCTCCAGGTGACGGGTTTCCGAATAAACTGACTTTAGGATCACCCAACAGTCTACTTGCTACACATCTAGAAAGAAAACCAACTCACCTAAGGTTATCTGCATGTTCTTTTTTCCCCTCTTCTAAAAGAGATAGAGGAGAGTAAGGTGAGGTGAGGTGATGCACATCCCGCTTACTAGTAGAGAATCTATCCCTGGACCCCCGTCAGAGGCTGTGTAGATGAATAAAAGGAGATACATCAGCAAATAATTCCCATCCAACAGAGAATTTTCATTCATCGATAACCTCCCATCCAAATGTGTGCTGTGATATAATGTTTGATCCTATATGATCTTATTTATGTATTGTATCGTAAGTCATATTTAGATTTAGATATAGATATTCAATTCACATAACACAATATAACATGATACTCTATCTACCTACCCCAAATATCGTTTGTAAATAAATCTAAGAACAATCAGTTGGGTTTTTGTGTATCTCTTCTCCCTTCACTCTTCTTGTTTCTTCCTTCCCCCTCCTCTCTACACCCATATCCCATCCCTCTCTCTAAATTTCCCAAGATTACAATAAAAGAATACGATATACCAACTAACCCAAGGAATAAACCATAACTTCCCTTAATTACCCATCAAAATCAATTCCCCATCCACCCACCCATTCACCCTCTAAACCTAAACCCAAACCTCAATCCATACCCCAACCACTCTAAAAAAAAAATACCAGCAAATCTCCTTCTAATACGCCTGCACGCACACCTCGCAGCCAGCTGCTGGGCCGTCAAAGCTAATCTTCCATTTATGAAATCTACTTCCAAGATAGAGATGGTTTGTAAATGCTGTGCTGAGTGTAAGGCGAAGGCTGAGATGGTTGCGGAGAGGGTTGGAGAGTGCGGATAGGGGGAAAAGAAGGAAGAAGAAGGGGAGATTAGAGTGCATGTTGTTCTATATATGATATTAGTATTTATGGTGTAGAGTGGTAAGTTAATTGTATATGTGTTTTGTCTTCGTATAATTCTGGAATTTCTTTGGGCGTTGCTATCCGAATGTGTTTGTGTGAACTGCTGTACATTTCCAACGATATGAGGTGATTTGACACTTGTACATGAAAGCTATCTTTCGTCATCTAAATTTCAACTTTCCCTCATGTTCCTGCCAAAAATTCCTACACAATCTATGTCCCCAGTGTTCAATCCACCATTCCCCAAAGCTATCCTCAACTTTAACATCTACTTTAGTCACTCTTTCTTCTCTCTTCAGCCCACAAACCACACACGCTTTTGGCGCCGTCAATCCTCCTTCCTGATTCTTTACATGCATTGTATCCCCTATTTCCGGAATCGCCAGATGTTTTGATACATCTTTAAGACTCGTATTGGCTACAGCTACAGCTGAGCGAAGTCGACCTAGCTGTTCTTTCCATACACGGATCGTCTCGGCGGCCTCGCGATCTTCACGAGCGATTTCCGCTTTGTCGACGCCCGTTAGTTTCATGCCACCTTTACCTCCCGCAGGGCCAATACTCATACCCTGTGAGAGATGAATATCGCGCTTCCAGCGAAATTTGCGTCCCGCGAGAATATGCGCTGCGACGGTGGCTATAAGAAGATAGGCCCGGAGAAAACTGATGGTGGAAGGGTCGGATATGATGCGATTTTTCAGAGAGAAGGGCTGGTTGGCTACGGCTTTGAAGAGAGAGGATTGGGGGAGATCGAAGAGCTGAGGGAAAAGGGTCAAGAGGATTGAGGGGGGTGGAATATTGGTGGGAGGCGGAAGATCAGGCTCCGCTGGGGTGGGATCCGTGACTTTATCGACGGCGTCCCAGTCCCAAGCATGAGCTACTATTCCGGAGTTAGGCTTTGTGCTAGTTACTGCCGGTGATTCAGCTGGAAGGTCTGAAAAGTCACCCCAGTCATCATCTATGTCTTGGACAGTGGAAGGTATGGCAGGTGAGTCAACAAAAGGTGCTGCTTTTGGAGCTTTCTCGTCATAGGATGGCCAAGCTGTCAAAGGAGAAGCAGATTTAGGTTTATCTCCAATCTTGGTTTTGGCTATTTGTTTGACTTGCTGGGTAGCAAGAGCTACCTTGGGAAATGGATTTCTTTGTTGGAATGATGGTGATTTGGGTGCTTGTGGGTATGGTAGTGGAGTACCGAGGTTCGGCGACTTCGTCATGACATCAGGGGACTTCTTCAACGGCTCTGTATTGATGGTCATTGAATTGAAAAAGTCGTCGAGGGGTCGTGGAGGCCGGGTTTGGGACGCAGAAGGAGTAACACTTTCAAAATCCCCGAATTCATCATCTTCATCCACTTCTTGCTCCGCGTCAAACAGAATTTCTCCGCCCGACGAACCCTTAGTTGGTGGTAGCGTTGGTCGGGAGTTTGAATAGCTCATATGGTTATTCGACGCAGCTAGAGACTCTGGCATATCATGAACATTATTGTTGATAAGGTCAAGGGTGGACCTGCGCACTATCCCAGGGTTTGGCTGAACAGTATCACTTTTAAATATGTTTCCTCCCTGGTAATTCGGCTTTGCTACATTGACGGTTGGCCTTGGGGGTGTAGCTGTGATGCCAAAAGAGCCCCATAGATCTTCTTGGGGAGTTACACCTTGTGCTGGAGTCGTTGGACCCGTGAAGCTGTTCATATCCCCCCATATATCATCATTTTGCTTCGCAGTATCCGCTGGCTGCTGTTTTGACTGTGCCTGTCCTAATTGATTACTAGAGGTTATACCATCGAAAAATGAGAAACTCTTGCTAGCTTGTGGTTGAGTATCTTGAGATGATTTATAGAATGTATCAAATTCGGCGAGAAGATCGGACGACATGGCTGTGGAAAAGGCAATTTCTGGTAAACTTTGACTTGCTATGACTCCATCGAATTCGTAAGTATCGGTACTTCGCAAGTCACTTGGATTTATCTTTCCAAGAGTTGTGTATCGGTGCTCGATAGATAATAGTATCGAGGTAGAATTGATTTGGCGGTGCTTGAGACAGTTGATCCAGAACAAGATAACCAGTCTCTGATTTATATATCTTCTGTATTCAAATACCACTTGCACGAAATAACGGACTTACCTACCTATTTATAGACTATTCTTATGTGAGCTTCATCCTAAAATAAACACATAGATATCTTCTCTGAACAGGAAATGAAAGCAACTTGCGAAGAGTAAGTGTTGGAGTGAATGGAATCACTTAGCAGATCATGATTGGGCATGGAGTCCAAGATGCCCCTGCCTAGGTTGTATCTTATGAGGAAGGCTGACAACAAGGCTGTCAGCAAGGCTGAGACATTTGAGAGAGTTTGATTGGTACTTATTGAGTGAAAGTGACGCTAAACAAACATGGCTTTAAGTCCGAAGGTTGAACAAAAACAAGGCTCAGCCTGAACTCCGGAATCAAGTCAGTGGTCATCCCTCCAACACTCCCCCCCACTATCCATGATTTAAAAAGCATCATTGTCAAACCTTCCTTTCCGGAAATCATCACTGCTTGTAGTAATGAGGTCGTTGAACGATTCCAGGTAAGGGATTATGGAATATTATCGTTTTTCTGCTCAATATTGTTCTAATAAATGAGTGAGAAAAGAAGAAGATGGCAGGTGACGATCAAGTCCGCATCAAGCCTTTTCGAACTCAAGAAATCAGTGAGAATCGAGGGAGTAGATAACCCGTGCAGAGGCGGGTTGCGGTCTGTCTGTTGGAAGGTAAGGTCTTAGTTTCATTTTCTGTCTCCTTTTGAGTAACATTTCTATAGACGTTCTTGTTGTTTCAAAGTACCGAGATCACAACTTGGACACGCGGGCTTGAGGATTCACGAAGCGCTTATACCTCTTTAAGAGAACATTTTTTGAGATTTATTGAACACCCAAATGATCTAGGATCTTCATTAGATCCTTTGGATGATGATGAGCACGTGAGTTCTTTTACTCTCGCACTCGATTAGTTTGTAAATCTTGTCCAAGTATGCTGAGAGACTTCAAGTCGCCATGGAATACCCTTCGAAAAGATGAAGAGATTCGTGCCGAAATATTTCAGGATATCGAAAGATGTATGCCAGAAGAACCATACTTTCGTCAAGCCGACATACAACGGTTTATGTTAGATGTGTTGTTTGTTTTTTGCAAAATCAATCAGGATGTAGGTTATCGCCAGGGCATGCATGAGATACTGGCTCCTATCCTATGGGTAGTTGAGCGAGATTCTATTGATCCTGGAGACATTAATGGTGGTGACACAACCGAATCTGAAACAAGTTCATCAGACTCAATTATGAAGCAGTGCCTGGATCGTAGATTCATCGAGCATGATGCCTTCACTCTCTTATCCCTAGTGATGAGATCGGCTAAATCGTTCTACGAACTCGGCGATCCCGGTCAAAAGACTCCTCAAAATGGTATTGGAACACCTCAAAACGGCGCTTCCCCTATCGTTGAAAGGAGTAAGCGAATCCATGAAGTGTACCTGGCTCGTCTGGATCCGCAACTGGCCAAGCATCTTACAGATATCGAAATATTACCACAGATATTTTTGATGTAAGCAAAAACACTCGTTAGGCTCTTTTATTGTTCACCTCTTGACGATTCATGTAGACGTTGGATTAGGTTACTTTTTGGAAGAGAGTTTCCTTTTGATGATCTGTTAGCAGTATGGGATATTCTCTTTGCGGAAGATCCAGAACTAGATCTTGTAGATCTCATCTGTGTAGCGATGCTACTTCGGATCCGTTGGCAACGTAGGCGACTTAGCTTCAGTTATTGATACACACGGCTAATCTGATAAACTAGTATTGGAGTCGAATTACTCACTGGCCCTCATGCTATTACTCAAATATGATTGCCCGCCAAGTCCTCAAACATTGGTCGATGATGCAATTTTCCTGCGAGATAATTTCAACGCTACTGGAGGCTCTAAGGTAATCCATAAATATAGTGGTAGATCCCCACGGCGAGATAAATCGTCAACGCCACCTGACACTCCTCTTGAAGGAAGTCTCAGCCCTAGACAGATACTCATGCGAAATAGATCGTCATTAACTACTCCTACTCGGTTCTTACAGCAACAAGGGGGTGTTGAGGCGTTAATCCATGGGGCTGCGGGCGCCGCAAAAGGGGTGTATAATAGGGGAGAGCGCCTCGGCATCAATCAAGCTGTACGCGATGCAATGGAAGAGGTCAAGAAAAATATGCAAGGACTACAAACTCCACGAAGCATTAACTCCTCTAGAAGGGCCACTGGTGCTTCACGGTGGTCCCTTGACGACGGGCGTGTGCTGCCTGCCTCAACTGCTATCATGGCAACAATGAATGAAAGAAATAGGCAATTGGCAGTCATGCTAGATCACGCAATGAAAGATCTGAGATCTATTTCTGTGTCACAAGAAACTGACCGGGAGAAGTACATCGAGGCGATAGACATAGCCATCGCGAAAGTTGATTTTGTGAGAGTATACTTGGAAGACTCTACCATGCCACTTCCAATCACGTCACCAAATATCGATAACGGAAGTGAACCTGCTACACAAGAAGCAGATATACCGAAAGTGCTATTGCCACCAATTCCAGATCATGTACAGACAACTCCACCAGAGCCATCTAGCATAACTTCGGACTTGGGAACGGTTCTGATAGAGAATGCAGATGACCTAGACACCCCCTCTGTATCAATACCTGACATCAGCCAAACTTCAACGGACGTAAGGGGCCCTTCCTCCTCTGAACCGCTTGTAATCATTCAGCCAAATACGGAAAGGGATGGTATGAGATCAGCGATATCTGAGCGGCCCGAAGCACCAATTCCGACCAGGTCCAGCATTGCTCAATCATCCTTCTCTTGGATGTTGGAACCTGATCAAGCATCTATTACTACTAACAAACCATCGTCTCCAAAGTCCTCTTCTCCATTTTTGAGATCTGGAAAGCGGCCCACTTCTGGAGGTCGCGAAAAGGCGGCATTTCTGTTTGGTGAAGATGATGGTGACTTTCAACTCCCATTACCAAAATCTTCTCTACTCAATACCGAAGAAGCCTTCAAGCTTGGAATATTGAAACGAATGGAGGAGAAGAAGTTGAATGAGCATACAGAAGAATAGTGTGATTCCTATCTCATTTGTCCATCCAATACCACACTTCGTTATTCAGACCTTTAGTAAAGGCAAATCTATCAATCCACGAATCACGACTCGGCATTGTCATGATCACTTGTTACAAGCCATGTACAAAATGTGATAGAAAGGGGCGAATGAAGTGATCTTCTCAAAGCAGCTGCGAGCCTGACCTCTTTTGAACGTCGGATGGCAGAACACTACTGCAAGCTGGCAATGCAGCTATACGCGAACATGTAAGAAGCCTCCACTTTGTCCAGGGTTCTCGAGTAGCACGATTCAAAGGATGGTTACCCACCAAATTTTGTAGGAAATTCTTCCGGATTTGCATGCCCCAGATATAATGAATGTCACCGAAGCGATATGGATCGGCATCGTGAATCAGGCGGTGATGGCCATGAGAGCCAATTAATATAGAATTTGCGAAGTTCCTAACTCAATTTTCTCATCCTCATCAAACCTACTCTCTTTGATTTCTATTTTACCATAGTAGTCATGTAGACATACGTGCAAGTCCTTTGTATGTCAGCAGCGGCATTCGTATGAAGCAGCCCTTTATGTAGACAGAGCTATCACATCCCATCGAGTCTTACTTCAAAAGTTTTTGCCTTGGTTTGAGAACTTGGGGTGTAGTATGTACCAGGAACCGTTGACCTGAATGATACATTGTCAGCTCTGTCCTATTAGAGATCTTTTGATATATAATGAATCTGAAATATTTATTTTCCAAGATTAATAGAGATATTTTGATGTATATTATACTCATTGTGTATAGAAGATAATATATAATAAAGTATAAAATACTACAAGCAACAAGCTTTATTTGTTGAAGTTTTGATGATCCTACCCCTCCCCCACTACTAGAGACACGGTAGAACCCCGCCCTCCAATAATTAGCGTCAAAAAAAAGCACTTTCCACCTTGGCCATTTCCTCTCCTTCAAACAAAAGATCCTTCGATAAAGAGAATATCATCAATTTACTCCTCCCTCCTCCTCTTCTTCCTTCTCCCCCTCTTCTTTCCTTCCCACTCCTCAACTCCCAACTCATCCTTTAAACACAACCCACCATCTAAATCCTTTCCCCTCGTCGAATCACTCCGGTCAACCCTTCATTCTCCTTTATCTTTGCGATAACACACCTCGACTATTCCCACAAAGCTCACTCTCATAACTTGTCTCTTTCTTGATATTCACAATCAAGGTATGCTCATAAATTAAATCCTGTTCTCTTCCCAAAGTTGCGATGTTCGAATTTGCATTGCATTCCACCGGCGCATTCACTATCGCCTTCGGACAGTAGCATATGTCATTGTCTTCGGATTGTGAACCCTTCAATCTTACAACTACAAACCCAAAATTCTAACTTTCATCAACCAGATCTATTCTACTCAACGTTACCTCCTTCAAGTTTCCGTATTTCAGAAATTGAACCCGAAACAAATACAAAATGTCTTCTCAAGATAATCGCGACAATGCTCCTAATGGTGATGAGCTTGCTGATTCCATGGATCGCTTACAAGTCAACGATGAGGCTCGCCTCGGCCCCGATGGCGAACCGCTCCCAAAAACCGATGAAGAATATGCAGAGTCTCAACTCACGTTGAGAGCTATTGTTTCTTCAAAGGAAGCTGGTGTCATCATCGGCAAAGGTGGCAAGAATGTCGCCGACCTTCGTGACGAAACTGGTGTGAAAGCCGGTGTCAGCAAGGTTGTCCAAGGTGTTCATGATCGTGTCTTGACCATCTCAGGTGGATGCGATTCCATTTCAAGAGCTTACTCCATCGTTGCGAAAGCTTTGTTGGAGGGCGCACCACAAATGGGAATGGGTGGAGTTGTATCCAACAATGGCACTCATCGTAAGTTGAAAAAATCATATTTGTCATATCAACTCTTTATCTAACCTTGCTGCCTAGCGATCAAGTTGTTGATATCCCACAACCAGATGGGCACCATCATCGGCCGACAGGGACTTAAGATCAAGCATATCCAGGATGTTTCTGGCGTTCGCATGGTCGCACAAAAAGAGATGCTTCCACAATCTACCGAACGTATTGTAGAAGTTCAGGGTAATCCCGAAGGGATTCAAAAAGCCGTCTGGGAAATCTGCAAGTGCTTGGTAGATGACTGGGCAAGAGGCACCGGTACTGTTTTGTATAACCCTGTTGTTCGCACTCAAACTGGTGGCTCGGGTGGTATGTCTCAAGGCAATCTCGGAGGAACTGGTCGCGAATATGGCAGCTCACGTGTTATGCGCACTGGAAATGGAGCCGACTTCAGTGAGGGTGCTCCACGATCATATAACCGCCGCTCCGACTCAGATGCTGCTCAACGTGGACCACCTACCCACGATGAGAATGGAGAAGAACTTCAAACCCAAAACATCAGCATTCCATCTGACATGGTTGGATGTATCATTGGTCGGGCTGGCTCCAAGATCAGTGAGATTAGAAAGACTTCTGGAGCTCGCATCTCCATCGCTAAGGTAAGGATTTCCTATCCCAGAAGGGTTCACAACTCCATCTCCTAAGGTACCTGTGCTAACATGTAACTTAGTCTCCTCACGATGAGACTGGAGAGCGCATGTTCACCATTATGGGCACTGCTAAGGCTAATGACTCTGCTCTCTACCTTCTCTATGAGAACCTTGAGGCCGAGAAGCAACGCCGCAGTCAGGGCAATGCTCAAGAATGAATCGCTGGCTCAGTTTGAGCACATCAATTTTTTTTTCTGGCAGGCAAGCTTTGTCTCAGGTCTATCCAGATTTGACTTGCCGCAAGGCTGATATTGATGCGATGGTGGTTCTACCTTGGGATTCTTTGATAATATTTCCTTGGACCGATGTTCATTTCCCTCATAAAAGCAGTTCCTTTTACCGTTTTCACATTTCCATTTCTTGCGGCGTGGAATTTTACCGAAACTATGGTCATTGACAGTTGCATGGTGCACACATGGGTTGCCCTGATGCAAATGTCATTTTCCTATTCATACAGATGATTCGCCTCCACATTTGACAACCAGAGATACCGACCTCCTATCTCGACTCTCAGCTTTCCGACGTCCCAAATCGAACGAACGAGAATCGACCTAATCTCGTCATTCATGCCGGCTATGACCTGATAATTCTCTTACGTTACGAATCATGATATGCACATTACCCGTTGAATCACCTGCCTTCGACACAATTTTCAAACTCGTCTTCCACATCGCTCCTTCGATCACAAATACGGCCGCATCACAAATAGCCTTATGTCTTCTCGGCTTTTAATCTTTGCACTATGAAATGGGCCCATCGACACATCCAGATATGTTCTGAGAATGTAGTAGATAGACCATTTGAGTAGACTAAGAACAATACGAGTATTCCGAACTATGAATTTACACCAATTACATGTCATAAGTGCAACAACAGTGAAATAAATGCAATCCAAAATGACCAATTGCGAATCATCATGTGTGCTGCATGTTTCAAACTTTGAGACCATAACCTGTGGTAGTCTATTCCAATGTCTGTATGGTCTGGGGTATCTTCTCCATTCTTTCCAAATCATCCTCTGCTCTAATATTGTCACTTTCAAACCCCTTTCCCTTTCGAAATATCATCCTCTACCACCATTATAATCTGCACCCCCTGCCTTCCTGCACAACTTAACTATGTCGGCCTCATCCAAATCCTCCGTACCCCTCGCATCTATTGTCACACTGTGATGACTCAACACGGCCCTGACGGCACCACTCTCAATGCTAACCCTTGCCTTCCTCATAACCTTTGTCTGTTCCCCAATCCACACAATGAAGGCGAACTTGATTCTTGAAGATTCGCTATCGTTGGCGTATTCCACACGTAAATAAGCGTATTGTGCTTGGGTAGGGTCTAACTTTTCACGCAATTCGGTAAGGCCACCTTCTCCGGTGGCCGTAAGGGCGAGAGAGTTGCCGGTTTTGGCGTAGGATATTATGAGCCAGTTGGTAGGGGATTTGTCGGAGCGGACATCATCATAGGCAGCGAGGATTTCGGGGGAGTTTGCATTGGCCATTTTTGGGATTGGGTTTTGGTTCTGAGGGAGAAGGAGGAGAGGATGGTTGTGCGGGGTGGAAGAGTTGAATGGGGTTCGTAAGTCTGAAGTAGAATAGTGGGTTGAAGTGAAGATGGCTATTTGCACTTCTGGATGGTGGAAATATGACGTTTCGAAGTTCAGTATAGATTTTGGTGGTTTAGTGACAACCTTGGGTACTTGTAGGAAAGAAGAAAGTTTGGAAGTCAATTGCGAAGCAGAATAAGCAGAATAACCAAAGACCACCGGGAAGAAAATGTGAAAAGGAGAGCCCCACGAACAACAAATGACAGCTAATGGGTCCTCCCTAACTTACCTAGAACAATTGCGGATTGAAACTATTCCACGTCTCAGCGAATCTGACCGCCTTTTTTGTGCTGTACAGAGGATAAGGTTATGGCTTATGGAGGATCGAGTAATGTAATGTTATGCAAACAAGCATAAAAAGGGAGGACCGTGTGTGTGGCTTGTGCATCGGTTTTTGGTATAAATTGTGGCTGGTAGATGCACGTGGTGATGTGGCTTGCAAGTGGAAGTCAAGGCAAAATGGTGCGACAACCTCGGACTTTACATGGGGAAATAAGTTGAGGACATTTGGCAATTGGAAATATATTGAGTAGGTACCGTACCTACCTAGGTATATCTTTATCGATTTTCCCATCGCATATTTTCTTATGTACTTTCTTTTCGCTCCTTTCTTTTCTTTTCAGTCCTCTTCTTGATACCCATTTCCTTTGGCTATTTGAAATCTGCTTTGCTTTGATCATTAGCGATCTCTCTCCTTTACTCTTGAACTTTCCATTTTCCCAGTAGCATCTGCAACAACGGTTTGTTGAAAGATGGCAAGAACAAAACAAGCTGAACCTTTGCGTCGCAAACCATCCTCAGAATACACGAGTAAAGCAGATGAAACTGGTTCAAAAAGTTTAAGTGCTAGGAATTTGAGCAAGGAAATGAATGGGAATGCGTCGGCACAGAATGGTGCGCTTAAAGGCGATGCGCCGTTGAAAGCGAAGGCACAGAAAGAAGCTGGCGCATGGCAGTTGATCTTTGCTGTTGCTGGAATTTACGGCAGTTTGTAAGTGACAGCACCAGAGGAGACTATCAAAGGCTCAATTGGAGGGGATAAGAATGCTAATTGTATGAATGTATAGTCTTACATGGGCGCTCCTTCAAGAACGACTTACCACTACTCCATACGGACCAGAAAATGCACCCGAAAAGTTCAAATTCCCCGTCTTCCTTAATACAGTACAATCTCTTTTTGCCGCCACAGTAGGCTATATCTATCTGAGATTCGACACCCCCGCCAACAGCAAAACGCTACCCATCTTTCCAAGCCAACGAATTCTCCTTCCCCTGTTCGTCGTGGCCGTTACGTCCTCACTCGCCTCCCCTTTTGGCTATGCATCTCTCGCCCATATTGACTATATAACGTTCATTCTCGCCAAGTCATGCAAATTGCTACCCGTCATGTTCCTGCACATAACCCTCTTCCAGAAACGTTATCCATTATACAAATATCTCGTCGTCCTTGCTGTAACAAGTGGTGTCGCAGTCTTTACTCTTCACGCCGGTTCTCCTCATGCCAAACCTAGCAAAGCGGCGCTCAACCCTGATCGCAACACTTCATGGGGACTTTTGCTCCTAGGCGTAAATCTTCTATTTGATGGCCTTACAAACACGACACAAGATTGGATCTTCCAAACCTTCCAACCTTACAAAGGACCACAAATGATGTGTGCAAATAATATCATGAGCACTTTGATTACAACTTCATATTTGTTACTGTCACCATATCTTGTTCATACCGGGTTGGGAGAGTATCTAGGTATGGATTTGACAAGTGGAGCAGGAGAATTGGCTGGCGCAATGGCTTTTATGCAAAGACACCCCGGCGTTTGGAAAGATGTACTTGGATTTGCAGCTTGTGGTGCTGTGGGACAAGTCTTTATCTGTATGTTTTCCCCTTACATCCTGATTCCCTCTTCTTTAAAATCCCCCTCAATCTTAAAATTAAAAACTGACCACCAAAATAGTCTACACACTTTCGACGTTTTCATCTCTCCTGCTAGTAACCATAACTGTTACCCGCAAAATGCTCACTATGATACTATCAGTAGTATGGTTTGGTCATAAATTGGGTGGTAAACAGTGGATGGGTGTAGGTTTAGTTTTCGGTGGGATCGGTGCAGAGGGCGTCATTGCCAGGAGAGAAAAGGCGGCTAAGGAAAAGAAAAGGTTGGCTGAATCCGGAAAGAAGGAATTGTAAATACAATGAATGTAGGATATTGGAGCAGTCAAACGATTTCCGGAACATAAACTCAAATCTATAGAGGTGGACGGAAGGCGTTTGGATTGCATGGTACATGCTATATTAGTATTGAGAAGGGAGGACTAGATTTCAGTAAGAGAGAGAATTGGAAATAGATATGCAAAGAAAGTTTTTCCATCGCCAACAATTTGCTTATTATGGATACCCAACATATTCAAAATACGACACACAATTTCATTTATTTCCTTCAAGTTATTGGCTGAAATTTCATGATTACCTAGTGGTGAATATACTTTGCCGCAAAGTGCGGACACAATCCTCACATCATATCCTTGTATTTATTTGGATATCTCATCTTGACTTATCTTTTCCCAATTTTACTTCTGGATGTAGTGGAATCCAAAATTCGATTTAAGTTGATATCTGAAAGGAAGCAGAGATATTGCGGTGATGACAGGTAAAATCAGATGGAGGATGAATATGATCTTGTTATTATCGGAGCGGGGATTGGACTTTCTATTCTAACTTCTCTTCGACTCTCTTCATTTACATATTTACTGCTTTACCCCTTTCCCTCCAGAACTGTTTAGCCAGTTATTGGCACAAATTTCACACTCCAAATAGGTCCATCCGGCATCGTCCTCGTTCGTTTCTACCTCTCAATCCATCCTACCCATCATCTCGCCATTCTCGAACAAGAAGACGTTATAGGTGGTGTTTGGAGTTCAGGCAATATCACCCTCCTTTCATTTCTCCAATTTCATTCCCCCTCCTCCCCCTTAATTACCTTATCTCAATCCCCACGCACAGCACGCCAATACCCGGCCTTTCGTTCCGAGTCTGGTCTTTGCATGACGGGGTCTTCGGATCGTCCTATTGTTCTTCCTCCAGATGCGAATACGTATCATGATACTTTCGAGGCGAAATATGTCACGTGGTACATAGAAGATTATGTAGATGTGCATGTGTACGATGGGAAGAGTTTAAGAGAGCGAGTGATTTTCGGGTTCAAAGTTTCACGGATTGAAGAGGTGGATGGGGAATGGTGGGTGCGGAGTGAAGGGGATGATGATGGAGAAAAGGAGAGGAGAATAATAAAAAGTAAAAAGTTGGCAGTAGCTATAGGTCAAAATTCCCTACCTTATACTCCCGCTTTCCCCAATCAAGCAAACTTCAAGAGTCCCATCATCCACCAGAAAAATTTTGGACAAATCGCCATATCAGCCCTCGCATCAGATTCCCCTTACACATCAATCACAGTTCTCGGGGGCTGTAAATCTGCCGTAGATATGGTGTATGAATGCGCCAAAGCGGGCAAGGAAGAGATCGGGAGAAGGAGCCGCCATCTTCGCCGGTGCCAAAGGACGTGGCCAGTACCGAAATGGAGCAGAGATGTCCACCACTCGAGCTTTTGCTGCTTTGAGTCCCTCCTGTTTTACATCTCAGACATGCGTGTCTAGATTCATTCACCAGTCATCTGTCATCAATAGTATCGTGTCGAAAATATGGAAAGGAGCCGATGAAGATGCTGCGAAACTTGCGGGTTTCGAGAGGGAAGATACATTACTTGGATTTAGGGGGTTGAAACCTGAGAGCGAAATTTATTGGTGTAATGGTCCCATTGGACTTATCCACCATGATGATTTTTGGGACACGGTGGCAAAGAATGTGAAGGTTTATCGGAACGATATTCAAAGACTTAAACCTCGTGCTGGTATCCTCGAAGATGGGTCCGTGATTGATACAGATATGTTATTATGTGGAATGGGATGGACGCGAGGGTATCCCTTCTTACTCCGCATCAGAAACGCGAATTTGGACTTCCACACCCAGCGGAAGAAGACGCACCATGCGAGTCCAAAATATGGGAATCCCTCGCCGAAAACGCAACTCGAGAAATCCTCTCCTCTTACCCCAAACTCCGCGATCCCCCAATCCCCCAACCCAAACACAAACCCAAAACAAACACCCCTATCCCTAGTCTAACCCCCACCTGCCTCCACAACCTCCTTACATCACTCTCCGACCTCCCCACCACCTCCCTAATCTTCCTCTCATATCTCCACCTCTCCAACACCTTCCACATTACCGAGGCCCAAGTTATTTGGAGCATCATTTATTTCTTGTATCTACAACCAGCTACCCAGTCCCTCAAACGCCATACACGAAACCGCATACATGGATACATTTTCCCGGCTACGGTATCCGGCGCACGGAGGTGCGGCTAATTATTTTCATCTGGATTTGGTTGGGTATACGGATAAATTGATGGGGGATGTAGGGATGCGATCGTATAGTGGGAAGGGGTGGTGGGGGGATTTGGTGGGGCTGTGTGTATCTGGGGTTTTTAAAGGGACAAGAAAGGAGTATTTGGGGAGGTTGGGGGGTTAGTGGGGAAGGAGGATGGGAAAGGAGGATGGGGACGAGAGGAGGTGTTCTGTATCTTTGTAGATTTTTCGAGTAGTTACTTAGTGAAATGATTACAATCATGATTATTGTCTTTTACCCAATGTCATCTCATCAGTATTTCTCTTTCCACTATTCCCATTTCACCATTGTAGTGTCGACAAGTAAAACGAAAACACAATCAAGTGAAGTTAGAATAACATTCCAGTACCGTGATATCATACCTACATGTAAATCATAACCTATTCACTGCTCCTAGGAGTAGCTGTGCTATCAATCGACTTTCGCGTATAGCTACCTTTATCTCGACAGAACCGGTGGGTGGAGAAAATGAGCGGCTGAAATTCATGGGTAATGTTATTATAATCACTAAATTGAACAAAAGGGACTGCAATTTATCTCCTGAGAATTCCTACCATTTTCAGTCGTCAATATGGATCAATTCAAAGCGCCATGAGGCCGCATATTTGGTTCACAATCATTCTTCTCCCATCTTACAGACAATTGTCTTGAGTCTAATAAATTGACATCATCATCATTCGTATACAATACATCCCCTACTGACCAGTTCCCATCAAATCGAATCATCACTCTCGCTCCCACTTCCATCCATCGCATCCACCTCTATCTCCTGGTTCATTTCTATTTCCTTGGTTGCATTCATCGAAAATGCCGCTTATATTTCTTGATTCCCTAATTCACCCAATTTCCCAAACCCCAAACCCCCAATAAACCGCGCAATGAAAATAACCCAGTATGACGCACATGCGGTTCCTCAGGTAATGTAGGTCCAGATTTCGCTAATAAAATCAAATCTCTGAACTTTGCCTTCCTTTCCATAAAGGGGGTATCTCTTTTCATGACATCATGAAATCTAGGTATTTCTTATCTTTCGTGTATTTCTTCAATTGTTTCTTTCAAATGACCAAAATTTCCTTCGCCGGATTCCCTCCATATTTGGTTTTGCTTGTAATTTGTTGATGATATAAATTTGGTTGTAATATTAGCCAATAGACGAAGGTAGAAGCAGACAACTACTCGTCATTCTCTACATCCGCACACCAAGGATGTTCCATCACTTGCTCGATCGTGATTCTCGAATCGACGTCCCGATTTAACATACTTTTGATGAGGTCGATGCTTTCTTCGCTCATGATATAAGGTATCCTAAGATCACGGTCCATGATCTCGTCAATACTATAAAATGGGTTTTCTTTGTACACGATGGTGTAAAGAAGAATTCCAAGAGCCCAAACATCTTGTTGTTTGCCTGGATATGGCTTGCCAGAGAGAACTTCGGGGGCGGCATAATCTATGATGAAATTAGTTATAATTTTAGCAGGGTGATAAATGCAAGCTTACCAATGGTTCCCACGAAGACGTCAAAAGGACCGCTCTTGATGTAAGCGGCACTTCCGAAATCAATGAGCTTAATGCTTCCTTCACCATTTATGACTATGTTCTCATCCTTGATATCACGATGTACCACAAGTGCCTTGGTGTGGAGATGATGGATAGCACGAGCTACCTGCACGAAGATGCTGCGGCATTCCTTTTCCTCCATGTTGACGCGGAGCTCAATGTAATCGAAAAGATCCATTCCTGGATATCCGTGTGGTACCATTTCAATGTAATAGTTAACAGAATCCTCGAAGAAATCGGACATCTCCACTATATTGGGGTGTTGAAGACCGTCCCGACGCAGATAATCAAGAACATGAATCTCCAGTGGCACAGTCCCCAGTCGCCGATCCCGAGTCCACGTATCGACAAGAATGCGCTTTTTGGTGACATATTTGAGGATCACCTTGTTGTTACCATTCTTCTTGTATCGAGCAAGTTTTACCTGGCCATAGGCTCCCTGACCCATTTCTTCAAGTATTGTGAAATCATCAATGCACTTTTTAACAACAGGTTTGACCGTTTCCGAGACGACTGGTTTTTCCTTCTCTTGGGCTTTCGAAAAAGCCCGGTCGCGACCTGTAAGCTTAGCTGCTGTTTTCTTTGCTGCTGCCTTGAGTTGTGCCGTGAGCATAGATGCATGCGAAGCTTCATTTTTGGGCTCATCGGAATCCGAAGAAGAATCCATTTTCATGGGAGCTGGAGGTCCCGTCTGACCAGGCGAAGGTTGATGCAATGGAGTTTCGAGTCCAGATAACAAGGGAGTTGCCATGCCGTTGGCATGTTTTGCGGCATGTATGTTCCTTGAGTACGTGATCCACAAGGCATAGACAAGTTCGGAGTGGATGATAGGCTCACAGGGCGAAGGTCCGTCTTCTTCATCGCTCCTCTCTTCTATGACGTTCTCATCGTAAGCGGACGTTTTCGGATCTGATTTGACAACCCGAAGTTGAGCATCAATTTTGATCTCTGATCCATCCCTATGTTTGGCCGGTAGTCCATCTGGCCTCAAAAAGTATGTTGATGCATCGGCCTTTCCATCCCGCAGTGCAAGAAAAGCTTGAGCCCGTCTAAAGCTGTGTTCGGGAATAACAATCCCGTCAACCATGTCCACACCATCTTCTTCCGTAAGAATTTTCAAGATTCTATCGAAATTAGGGATTAAATCAGTAATGAGCCGACCGTCGGGTTTGTCCTGCCCAAATAACGCGGCTGAAAAGACGGAATTGGAACTCGTGATCTTTAACGTTTGCGCAGAAAGAACCATGATACCAGCAATGTGAGGAAAGCTAGAAACGCGGAGATCCGTGCCACCAGGAATTCTGTCGACGACTGCAGGAATATTTGCACGTCCAGAGGTACGAGCGGTGAAATATCTACGCTTACTGACTTCAGCATAATCGATTTCCCCACTTCTGCCATCAATTCCTTGTCGTGGAAGTCTCGGAAGGAGCTTCCCAATATCCGCGCCCGTCCAAGTTATGTCATTCCCCCATATCGCATCGATAGATCCAGATGTGCTCGTAATGGTTGCATCGTCGTCGAGGCCTATGATTGCCACATCTTCGTGAATCTCTTCCAAAACCCAAATGAGGCCACCTCTCTTCTCCTTCACCCATAGGCTTGCTGATCCTGTTGCGCCGTTTCGTTTTTCAATAGGGACTACGTCGCCACACAAAAGAACGCCCCTAGATTTATTACTTTGATGATTTAGACCGGCCTTGGCTGCTCGTGTTCTCGAAACAAGACTCAAGCCTGCACCATCATCGGTCTGCGCTCGACGGCTGAGTTTCTGTACTTGACGTGAATTAGGTTTACTCAGGAGGCTAGCCGTGATACCACCAGGCCGTCCAAGCAGCATTGATGCTGCAAGCCCTGGTCAGTATACCAGCAACGAAATAGAGGTAATCAAACGTCAGATGTTCAGAGAGTATTATACTTACTGGTTGGCGTCGGGCTTGATTGCTGACTTTGGCTCGATGGTGATTGCGTAGTCTGTTTCCCAACCCTGTGAAGACATCGTTAATATATCATGGGGAAATTTTATGGCCAGTGTGGGGTAAAGTATGTGTGCACCAAGATAAACCGCTATGAGCACTGAAATAATTGAGAAAATAAGGGGCTCACTTACTCTGCTTCAAATTTGTGGGCACTTAACTTTTCCTCTAACCACGCCCTTCTTTCTTGTTTTATAACTTCGAGGATGCCCATCTTGCGAACTTCTGCTCTGGTGACACCAAATACAAGACAGGCAAGGTCGTTGGCGGCTAAAATTGTATATGGCGAAGTGCTTTCGGTAGTAAAAATAGCTTGTGCAGCAGGTGCCCACCTACTCGAATGACTGTGGTTTGCAGGGCCTAATGAATGAGGTCCGAAAGTAGAAGCGCTATTGGTTTGTGGCATTGCAGGAGAAAACATGGAATCGTGTAGCGAATCTGTGGCGATGTAGGGTTGTGACATAGCGTCCATCAGTTTATTCTGTAGGCTCAAAGGTTCTAAATCAGTGAAAGTTCTCTTTAGACTTTGCCGCCTAGTGACTGGCGGGGACGTTTTTGCCGTCGTCCGACTTTCATTGGTCGGAGTCCTAGTTGAAGGTTCAGAATCCGCTGCTAGGGCTGATACTAAACCATTCTTGGGTTCGGTTGACTGCGATTCGTCTTCCTGCAAGGTGCGTAATGACGATGTCACTTTCTTAGCGCTGGTGGGTGAAGGTGGAGAACTTTCCATCCGATCCGGACTCTCGCAACGCATGGCAAAGCTACTATCAAAAATATTTTGTGAGTCTTGAGCTGTTGCCGGTCCAGTGAGTGGTCCACCCCTGGCGAGTTCTTCTCCAGTGCCAATGTTGTTCGCTCCGACCAATTTGGCTTTCGCCAAAAGCTCGAGCATCCCTTGCATCTCCGCATCACCATTAACTCTTGCTTGAGCACTGGCTATTCCCGCATTTGTTGTTCCCCAGCCCAGTTTCTGGGACATAAATTCGACGGACCTCTTCAAGACATTTTGACGGTTGTGGATAAACTCATCTGATTGGTGGGCGAAAGAGAAGGAATGTAATGACTCGGATGGGAAACGTGTGAGGTCCTCCGTGAATGGTATGACTGGAGAGGATGGACCTGAAGGCATCGCTATAGTGGCTGCTCGGCCGGGAAAAGGAAGGGTCATTGAACTCGATCGGGCACTCACAGAGGCGGCTCTAGAGGAATTCTCGGAAGAAGGTAGAGTTGGTGCTCTGGGAAGTTGTTGTCGGATTCGTCTCAAACCTGAAGCACCGAGTCCATGCTCATGTTCCGTCACGATGGGTGATCTAGCACTGCAGACGCAATTTGTCAGTCCCGATGTCTCCAGTGTTGTGTTGCTAGTCATTTTAAGACAACCAGGCGCAAAAATCGCTCCATGACCTCATAAATGCTCTCCTTGCAACAGGCAACAGAAACTAACCTCGACATTGTATCAAACTCCGCCGCCAGCCCTTCATCAAAAGAAAATCGTATTCTAGCTCTGTCCACTCCTGCCGAAGTATGTGCGAGAAGGTTTCCAGTACTTCTGTTCTTTGGGATTGACAGGTTTGAGGAGCAAAGGGGGACACTGCGGTCATGATCGGATTCCCTAGCTGTTTTGTTCTCGAAGGCTAAAATGTGTTCCGATTAGTTTCCTTGTTATCACAACGTGGAAGGAAAAGAGAGAAACATGTAAGGTACGACTGGCAGGTTTTACCATTGCGCCGAATTTATGCGCCGATAAAAGGGAAACCTCGGACAAGGCATTTTCGAATTTGGTTGTTATCACTAGGTATCTGAGATTAAGAAATGAAGACCAACCATGATTGTTTGAAGTATCCGTCTTCAGCATAATTGTGAGGACTTCTGTAACTTCAGGAATTTCTTATGTCTTTCAGAAGCCAGACTGATGGATGGTTGGTTCGGCGGTTACAGGTAGAAGAAGGCAACCTAGTAATGGTAGTATCACTCGGCAACCTCTAGCTGTTTGTTACTTTGTAGTGATGATGTCGTTTTGAGTCGGGACAAATGTACAAATAAAATAATTGAGTATTCTGCCGGACCAAAAAAAGCAAATCTGAGGGTTGGAAGAAGAGAATTCTCTGTCGAAGCTATGCAAGTATGCAAATATGTATTTTTAAAGGATTTGTGAGTTGGAGACTCGAAACGTGTTGCCCTTTGTGATAGAAAATTGGAAATTGAATTTTGAGAGAGTGGTATGGAAAATGTGGGGTCGGAGTGGTCAAAAGTACAAGGCTTGCCTGCCCTCGATGTATTGAGATATATATATACTGCGTGCGTATTGCTCTATCCGAAAGTATATATAAACAAATACAAAATACACACAAGACGTTTAATTATCCAGATGAGTGACAATGAATGTGGGAATGATAATGAAGTTGCCGATGAATGAATAGATAGATACTTTGATTGGCAACTCTCGGAGAAAGGTTATTAAACGCTCTCTCACACACTTCTCTCGTTCGATCATGCAGTGAATCAGGCGGGATTAGATTACCTATCCAGCAACAGCTAAGTATGTTTCCAGCTCCTCACGTGAAGGAAGAAGAGTTTGAGGTGGAGTCAGCACAAACGGTTTTAGATGGAGAACAGAAGCTAGACGTGACGCCAACTGGCCAAATCAGGGTCTGATACCGGAAGGGTTTACGATGTGATGATGGATGATCCATCCAACCATCGTTTTATTATTAACGCAATACCCCACTGGAAAAGATATGTACAGAGGAGTATGTTCAAAGACAAAGGAAGGCGAAAAACTCAAACTTCTCCATGACGGCTCCATGTTGTTCAACAGCTCGAGAAATGGAAAATCTACATGTTCATCGTTCTATTCTGGCCTATGGCATTTGTTTGATTACAGTATGTTTAAAGCATCGAATGAACCCTGAGATACTGTTGATCAGTTTACTTTCTCTATACTCCGTGCTTGATTAGGCACGGTATTTCCTTTCACCTGATAAAAGTAAAGCAAGGGCTCATATAATAAGCACTGCTACTAAAATCCTTAACGTACTTATTGCTGCTGTTACTCCTTGTTACAGGCGTGGCAGGCCCTCGAGATTACATTCATGCCGTGTTCTTCATTCAATCAATACAGCTAGCCAGCTACCTTTGCATTGGAATGTTATTATACACAGTGCACACACATGCACACACGTGGAATTCTCCAGCTTTCATCTTTTGCTTGAAGAAGCTTGCCATTTGTAAATTTGATCCGAGATGGCGTGCAGGATCGTAATACAACATTTCTTGCTCGGGCCCGGATCTTTTGAATCTTCTCCGGCAATATAATCCAATCACTTATTTCGCTATTTCTGTCCTCGAGTAACATCTGATGGCATTCGCGTAACCCCTTCATGAGGTGGTGTCGTCGTAAAGTCTCTACGTATTACATAATAATATAGCTCTCTGTGCTCTTTGTCCTGCGATGCTTTTTTGAAAATGATCGTCAAGTGAATTGATCGTCTGGTGTCCTCGATATTGATTTGGGTCTGACGATGATCTCTCTTTTATGGAATTGATCCATAAGTACCTCGGGTATCTGCCATTTTCACATTTGACGAACACATCCTGGAAGATCTACGAGTTGTATGATTGACCAAAGGCAGGCATGAAAGCGTAGCCGTAGAAACATTGTTTAGCTTCAAGCTTCAAGTTTCTTCAAGTCACAAGTTTTCGAAAAGAGAGATAACGGAAAATGAATTTTCCATTGGCTGCTGCGAGATAATAGACCCGACTGCCAAAGTCGACCCCTCTATCAGGCTAAAGAATCGATCCAAACAAACTTCTCCATCTACGCAGGTCTCGCCTCGAAATCTATATAACATCCTGCTGTCTTTGCGGCAGTATCACGAGCATGTCGGAATTACAATTGTAAAGTCCATCAGATTGGCGTTCGAGTTGGCAAAAGAACGAATGTTATCGATTGACCCTTCAAACCTTGGCTAACAGAAAGTGGAGACTGGAGAGAATATGAAAAGATTCCGCTTTGACTCTTCGGACAAATTCTCCAAGCTACGCTGTGCCCCTTTTTGGTCTTCGGGAGGACTAACCCCGCATTAAAGCTGCACCCCAGAGGGAAAGATGTGGTGTTGATATTGGTATTATTGGTTGAAAGATTCTATCCAGGGGTTCCAAAGATCAAAAGTTAAAAGAGTCTTGCATGGAATGTTGTTGATAAGTAGAAGATAACAATGGTAACATTCTGTCAGTCAATACCCGCGATTGAATCTTCTAGACCTACTCGGTACTTTAAAGTATCCAAAGTGGTGGAGCAATTGGCCCGAACCCAAAATCCATCTTTTTTGCAGCAATTCTGACTTCGGTATAGCCGTAGCCGTATCAACGTCTTATCCGATCTTATCCCATCTTACCTATCCACTTATCCACCTGTTATTAATAAAGACCGACCAGCCGATTTGGCTCAGCCATGAAAGCCAATTGCTCAAGTCGTACAAGGGTGGTTTAGCTTGCTTATCCATCCACATCCACATCCACGCCATCAAGGCACAGCAATGGAAAAGATCACCTAAAATCCTCAACCCCACCCACATATCTTCCGCTGGCTGGGAGAACGGGGGGACTGTTGAAGAGGGTAATCCGGGCTTGAGGAAATTCATGAACTAATTGATTTACGTGTACTGTACTCGTAGTTTGGTGTTTGTTTTAGCTGACTGACTCGATGTGGATGAGATTCATGAGAGCTCGAGGCGAGACTCTGTTTATATTGAGTGCATCCTGCTTTTACTTAGATGCATTTCTATCAACGATGGTTAGAGACCCTTTTTTTATCCAAGATAACGTACTAGGTAGGTAGGTACCTAGGTAGGTGATCACACAACCCAGAGGCTGAATTCAACTCGAATCCAATTTCACTCACTCGTATACGTACAAAGAAAAGTTAATTGAAGCCAAAGTCAATTGTGTGATCCAACTGCGAAGTTTATTATAATATAAGTTTTACTTTTTTTTAATAAAGTAAAATATTTGCTTGGATGGTTTGTGTCTTCCGGGCCATCGCTGGTCCCTGATAACTACCTCCCTAGCCTAGGTACCTAACCAGACAGAACCAAGGAAAAATAATGGGACGAGACCACCGTTCCAGCCTTATTAGTGCCATCGTCCACCGCCCATTGGACTCCAACTCGCATGTCGGATTTGTATCGTCAACCTATCGCTTCCCTTTTCGAGTCTTCACCGTGGTGGCCGTACATGCTACTAGGAGGATTAGCTATTTATTTTCTCCTCCTCCTCCTCCATTCGCTACCTGCTTTGTTTACCTCAAAAACCTCCCGCATCCCCGCCTCTCGCTTTCCTCGTCAAATTCTCGAATCTTGAATCTCGAATCTTCCAATTCCAATTGCAGTGCAACTTTCCTACTCGTCATCTCAAACCTCCCTCACACTTTTAATCTCCAAAGCTCGTCGCATGCTTGAGATTGGAACATCTGACCAAATTTCTTGAATCACGAAACTTGTTCATGTGCGAAGCCCAATTGAGCCGATAAGGAGAATCGCGATAAGGACTCTGGAAAAGTGATCGATGTTGATAACGGCCGCTATCTAGACTGGTCGACACATCTATCCATCCACATTGCGCCATCCTTCTTCCCCTGGTGGTGAGTTTCTCATGCTAGAATTGTCATATTTCATATGCATGCGCATACACCATTCACTTGACGAGTTGAGGCATTAATTCATAAAATAACAGGTTCAATCTCTCAATCTTCCCACCCCCGATTCATCACCTCCCACTTGCATCGCAAGAGCTCAGGAAGACAAAACATTCATTGGCTGGTCCATGCAAAACTAACAAAGGAATTAAATATTCCCTTGTCCCCCAAAATAATTATTACTCTTCGATTCGCACATATTTCGTAATCGATAAATAGCATTACAGTACAATTGCGCCTCGTTTACGTTGGATTCTGTCAGCTCAGATTTAAGGTCGTCGGTGAATTGAAATCGAGGAACCCCACAATTCAACCTCAGTCAGACCTTAGCTATCAAATACCTCCATCACTTGCCTGCTTCTAAGATCGAACCTCGGGCTTCTGAACAAGGAAATTATCTCAGTGTGACAATTCGGATCTGACAACCAAATGACCTCTCAGGCTTCAGTCAACGCGATGGCGGGGTTCTCAACTCCAGTCGAAAGTCCAGCGTCGACGATGAACGACGAAAGACCTGTGAAGTCCAAAGGTAAATGGCTTCAAAGGATATCTTCCTCGCCTACACTCGCACAGTTCAGTCGGAGACGAGCGAAGACTAGTCCATATAGTAGCAGGTCTACGCTTTCCTGTATAAGTTTCGCTCCTCTGATATCGGAGAGTCCTGCAACACAGTCAACAACAGAAGGACGTTCCTCTGGAGCGCCAGCCTCGGGCCCAGCCTCAGGATTAGCCTCAGGACTAGCCTCAGAAGTAGATTCAACGCCAGCCACTCCAGGTCCCGATACTCCATATTATGACCCAGTATATCGTCACATTGCTCTTCGGCGTATCGAGAACGAAGCCATGGCTGGCGTATCAACTCTTCCGCAGGAGCTGAAACAAATGTCCATCGCAGATGTAAAGAGACCTGCGTCTTCTTCATCTGCGATTCTGGAAATCGTCGAAGATTATTTTACAGAACCCTTGACAGCAAAACCTAAACTCTGCAAAAATAGCAACTTCAAATTTTGGGAAGAAATGCCGCACGAAATCAAGTTGCATATTTTCGCATTCTTGAAGCCGAAGGAATTAGTAAGAGCCTCCAATACTTGTCGAGATTTTCATAAGACCTGTTTTGATGGGCAGCTCTGGACATGCTTCGATGCTTCCGAATTTTATGCCGAAATACCCGCCGAGTCTCTGGCGAAGATCATAGTATCGGCAGGTCCCTTTATTAAAGATTTGAACCTCCGAGGTTGTGTACAGGTCGAGCATTATAAACGTGCAGAAGTGGTCGTGAAGGCATGCAAGAATCTCATAAATGCAACTCTTGAAGGATGTCGAAACTTTCAGAAAGCAACTCTACACAACCTTTTGAAAAGCAATGGAAGATTAGCCAACCTGAACCTCACTGGGTTGTCGGCTGTCACAAATGCAACGTGCAAGATCATAGCACAATCTTGTCCACATCTTGAGATGTTCAACGTTTCATGGTGTACTCACATGGATGCGCTTGGTTTACAGCTTGTCATTCAAGGCTGCCCGAAATTGAAGGATCTTCGCGCCGGAGAAGTCAGGGGCCTCGAAAACGAGGATCTGGCACTTCTAATATTCGAGACCAATCAACTTGAGCGACTCGTTCTTAGCGGCTGTACGGATATCACTGATAATATTCTCAAAACAATGATCCACGGTAAAAACCCAGAACTCGACGTCTTTACTGATGCTCCGTTGGTTCCACAACGAAAACTTCGACATTTGGATTTGAGCCGCTGTAATAGATTGACTGACGCGGGAGTAAAATCACTTGCCTATGTGTGTGGGGGTTTGGAAGGCCTACAGTTGAGTGGATGCCTTGCATTAACAGACAGTGCACTGGAGGCCGTCTTAGCTACCACTCCACGTCTAACACATCTAGACTTGGAAGATCTTATCGAACTTACAAATAACTTACTATCTAATCATCTCGCCAAGGCTCCTTGCGCTTCAACCCTCCAACACCTCTCGCTAAGCTACTGCGAGAACCTAGGCGATGCTGGTATGCTTCCTGTTATCCGTGCCTGTACCAGTCTCCAAAATATTGATATGGATAACACGAGGATTAGTGATCTAATTCTCGCCGAGGCAGCGACCATGGTTCGTCTGCGATCTTCACGTACAACAAATTCACGATCACGTCCCTCCACTGGTCTGCGCATGGTAGTATTCGACTGTTCAAATGTCACGTGGACCGGAATTCGCGAAGTCCTATCTCGAAATTCGGAAATAACGAAGCCAGACAATGATGTAAACAGATACACATTCCCCACGGAAATCATAACACTCAAATGTTTTTATGGTTGGCAATTAACCGTGGACGAACATACGAAGCGAGTGCTAAGGGGTGATCTTTCCGCGGCTGCAAGGTTGGAGAGAAAGTGGACCGAGTATATGATGGCGAATGAGGAGGCGGGGGCAGATGGTGCGGGCATCAGAAGGAGAAGGAGAAGGGCCAGAGAAGCGCAGCTGATGCATGCAGATGAAGAGGAAGGTGGGGTAGCTGCCGGTGGAGTTGGAAGGAGAAGAAGGGCGAGAAGCAGTGCGTGCGCAATCATGTGATTGTGAATATTGCAGATGTTATGGAGTGTGGATATATGAAATGAGAGATGGTACATATGATGGGATATGAAGTGGCGATCAACACAATAGGAGTATTATTGTTTGGGACTAGGGTCTAAGCAGAAATTTTGGTAGATGAATAGGTTTATTATTATGGGTTTTGGCTGCTTGGTTGCATGCCCGGATGGATGCAACAGCATTGGGCTGCATTAGGAGTCAATATTCATGGAAACGGAAAAAGGAACAGGGCGGCAGGGAATTCTCTCAACCGGAATGCATAACGCCCACAACTTCGTTTTCTTTTATTGCATGACTGCTAGGCTTGACCATTTGAGATGAGTTGACTTGGAATATCAGAAGATTGAGTTTTTTGATGGAAATGGATGAGACGAGATGCGATGTGTATTCTTTCTTTCCTTGTTTGTTACTGTTGATTTGTGACCCTGAGTTTATCATGTTTAGAATGGCTAGGATGGATGCGATGCGATGATTTGCGATGACTTGAAATGAAATAATAGGATAGGATAGGATACTGTGGATAGGACGAGATGAGATGATTCTGGGATGATATGACATGGTTGCGCAGGTAGCTTCAAATGAGATGAGATGATGTTAAATATGAGATGAATTGGTGTTTGGTATTTTATATATTTCATATGAGATGATCGATACGTGGAGATGCCTTTGTTTTGCATACCTATCTATGTTACGGTGTTTGATACATTTTCGAACACATTTGGTGACCTGTCCAATGACTGGCTGATCTCCTTTTAGATTGGCTAGTTCAGGAGTACCGTGTAGTGTAGCGTAGTGTAGTGTAGAGTCTGTAGAGAATCATGAAGATTGATGGAAAGATGATAAATGGGGGAGTGGTATCTATGCAGGCCACCTTTTTTCTCCATGTCTTCTCGCAGACTAAACAAGAAGTGCACAAGTGATCACGCCAACTCACTCAGCCCAAGAATCTCAATTCCCTCACCAGCTCCCAAAACTTATGTTGACCCTCTACCCCCCTCTCCTCAAGTCCGATCGGTCCTCCCGTATCAGTAATTGCATTATCCACCAACTCCTTCGCGAGGCCCAACTCATTATTCTCCACCAGTGCCATCAACAACGTCCTCATCGTGTTCCAACTAGTAAATTGTTTGGATTTTTGCACTTTGCCCAAGTAATGAATGGCAGTTGTCGTATCTCCTACGCTCGCATAGCCCTCTATGAGACGGTCCCAAAAGATATGGTCGACGGAGCCCACCGTTAGCTGAGCGCGTTCGATGAGAGTGGTTGCTGCTTGGAAATTGGGCGGGGTTTGCGCGAAGTAATATTCCAGGAGGATGGTGTAGATGTAGGTTGAGGGCGTCAGTCCCTGTTTCGCCATTCGTGCCATGACCTCAGATACCGGGCTGGTATCCTTCGGTATGCCTCGTAATAATAAGTAGATCATTTTGCTGTATAAGAACAAATTTGGCGCTACATTCATCTTTTCCATGGTAAGAAAGGTGGTGTTGATTGCTTCTATTTGTTCTTCAGGAGTCAGTACATCGACATCGGCGAAGGTTTGCTCTAGAATTGCGACGAAGGTTGCGGCATCTGCTTGAACACCTTGACCTTCCATGGAAGTCAAAATCTCTGGAGTCTTATCTGCATGGCCGGCACGGACTATTGACCAAAGAAGTGTGTTATATGTTTGGACGTCAGGAATGATGCCCCACTGATCTGCCCAGGCAAGGATGCGATTAGCAGCTCCTATTTCTTGCATCTTTATGAGGCCAGAAACTGCTGCATTGACAGTTGCAATAGTTGGCCTAGCGGCCACAGTATGGATGTCCTTAAACTTTTTGGAATTCTTTAGTTCGAATTTGGGATATTTTTTCCTGACCGCAGCTAGCCATAGGCGTCCCATCTCATCCAATGCGCGTATGCCATCTTCTGCCTTGTAACAGTGAATAAGTCCGCTGATCCTGGTGGTCCAACAGGTAACATCGGGAGTTGCTCCAGACGCTATCATCATGGCCCAAACTTGTTCAAGGGCTTTTGGATCGCGGGATGCCTTGCAACCATTCAATAGGGCATCCCAGGCACCAAGGTCTGGAGTTACATTATTCTTGATCATATGGTTCCAAACATCAATGGCTCGAGGTTGCTGCCTAAGACTCATGAATACCAAAATGAACTGGTTGTAAAATGCAGGCGTAAGATAACCAGACTCAAAGCCAGACTCAGAACCAGGGTTGGCCGCTGAATCATAAACTGGAAGCTTCTGTGCCTGCGACCATAGTTTGTCAAGTGAAACCACATCTCTCCTAGCATGCGCATCAATAACTCTCTTGTGTATAAGCTGGGATCGCTCAGTTTCCCTAAGTTTGAAATCCTTAGTAATTTTCTGCTTCTCGGCGAATTCCTTGATGGTGGACCAGTCATTTTTGACTAGATTAACCACGGACTCAGGGACATCCCGAAAATATACAGCGGCATCACTTAGAGTCATCGAACATGCATTGACCATACTTGAGAAACTGAATATGAGCGGCTGCGCATTCTCTACAGTCTTTGCACCAATTCCAGCCATATCAAGTTCAAGAAGAAGCTTGAGTGTCCCCAGTGCGATTGTAGGCAGCTGATACATCTCACCTGGGGAGAACTGGGGAGTGAGAAGACTAAATGCATGTTGAATTCCATTTTGTTGCTTTTCCACAAAAACGCTGTGGAGGGAATGCTTTGGCAGATTTGACCAGTCAGATGAAGAAGGAACGATGCTGGAGTCTAGCTCGTTGGATAACTCTTGGCTTCGATATCGTCGAGGTCGTCGGCGACAGACGACGTTCCAACTTTTAAGAAGCTCGGTTAGTAATTTCTGTCCCTGTTCTGTCGCAACACCGACTTCTGAGATGCTGACAATCAATGTAGTTAGCATTTTGGCCCATTGCGTGCCACGCAGTAAACCCAGCTCAAAAGTGACCCCTATCATTTCTGGAAAAGTAGGGACATCGTCACGAAGAGGCTGCTCCTTTTTTTTTTCTACTAAAAGCCTCAGTAACAAGGGTACTCCAGACTTGAGAGAAGGAGGCCATGAGCTTCGAGTGATGGAACCACTTTTCCAAGCAGTAGGCCCAAAATGTTCCAGAAAGAAGGACCAGCAGTCATTGAGAGGGCGTTCTTCGCGGAGCATTTTTTGTAATTGTTCTCCATGTTGGTAAGACTTCACCGAAGATGACGTCCGCTGGAAAGACTCCGATACACGAGCTGGTTGTCGAATCGACTGTTGCTTGAGGCTATCTTCAAACATTGACTCCAATGCATCTGCTGGCTCTCTAGTAGCATGCCGAATAGCTGGTGGTCTTCGGGGCAGTGTTTGGCTCTCTCTAGAATCGGCGCCTTGAAATCCTCTCGTTGACGCGGCATAGTTCTGTTTATGCTCCTCACTCGTGGAGCTTGGGAAGGCACCGATTAGAGAGTTAAAGGCCGCTTTCGAGTGCAATTGGAAGGATTTGCTTCGACGTAAATGACTAACTGTTCGCCGGCATGTTATGCAAACATATGGGGAGCTCATATCAACCGTTTCACGCTCTCATTAAGGCCTGTGCCACGGAGCAGGAAGTCGTGAGAGCTGGCAAATTCGAGAAGAAAAAGTACCTAGTTAATAGTCGAATTGGTGAATTATTATACTTCAACAATAATCATATGCATGGATAAGATAAATTCTAAGCACGGACTTTTTTACTAAGCTACCCCGACACCCCGACACCCCGGCTGGGCTTCAAGCATTGTCATATATCGAGCTTGATAGAAAGAAGCTCAGGGCATCAACATCAAGGTTTAGTTTGCAGCTTGAATCTTCAAGTGCGCACGTACGTACGTATTCCGTCACAATACCTAATAAAGGTGTTACAAAAAATGACTACGTTAGAACCCCGTGGGCCATATTCACAAGAGGAGCTTAAAAGGCTGTATCCCGAAGATCTCCAGTTGCAACTTGTTCAGGTTCTCCTTCGACATGGAGAGCGAAGCCCAGTTTCTGCGAGATTTCAAAATGCTGGATTGAGGCCCTACTGGCCGTATTGTTCGGCAGCCCGGCGAATGGTGAGTGCTACAATGGAAGCTAATTCCTCAGACTGGACTCCCCTTCAATGGAGACGTCGCTTGGAAACATTTGATAGTGATGATGGCCCTACTATTGCACGAGGGCCTCGAGGAGAGGTCGATGATGTTTGCAATCTAGGTGAATTGACAGATAAGGGGAGAGAAACAACCTCACAGTTGGGAACACGACTTCGAAGACTTTACATTGAGCAATTGCAATTTCTACCCCCAATGATTCACAATACCGATTTTATGTACCTTCGCGCGACGCCCATTCCAAGAGCTCTGGAATCACTACAAGAAGCCTTCTTGGGCATGTATCCACCTAACTCACGCGCTGCATCTTGCCCCCCGCCAACTATCATCACACGCGCGCCTTCTGGTATGTTCTGCAAGTCCTCAATATTGAAGCTCGCTGCTAATCACTTAGCTTCCAGATGAGACTTTGTTTCCAAACGATAGTGGCTGCAGAAGGTTTGCGCAACTGTCGAGAGCTTTCGCGCAACGAACTGCCGATCATTGGAACCAGACAGACGAAATGGAGTATCTAAATAAACTTATCAGCAAGTGGATGCCCGATTCAAGTAAACGAGTAGCTGTCGATTCTCATCCCAGGCTTTCTGGTATAATGGATACTATAAATTCCACCCTAGCCCATGGTCCGGAAACTAGATTACCAAAAGAGTTCTACGATAAAAAAGGTCGGGCCATTATAGAAAAAATAGGAGTCGAGGAATGGTTCAACGGATATAAAGAGTCAGAAGAGTACCGATCTCTAGGCATCGGAGGGCTAATGGGAGATCTAGTGTCGAGAATGGTTGGTAGTGTTGAGCACAATGGGCAAGATGGACTGCTGGAGACCGGTGGTGAGGATGGTTCGACTGGCATTGGTAGAGGAGGTGAGAAGGCTATAAAGCTTGGCTTGAGTGGTTGTCATGATACTACTCTCGCTGCCGTTCTTTCTAGTCTAGGGGCGTTCGAAGGCGAGCCTTGGCCACCGTATACGTCTCACATTGCTTTAGAGATGTTCCTCAAAAAACAGTCGTCGTTTGAGGAACCGGAATATGATCCGCCCAAAGCTGGCAGTACCGGAAAAGGACTGCTTTCGATATTCGGATTGGGTAAAAAAGCTGAAACAGGTCCAATTGGTATCGCACGGAGGAAGCTTCGTGATCTTTCGGAAACGGAGAGGTCTAAGCTAGATGGTTATTATGTCAGAATTCGGTACAATGACAAGGTTATGAAAGTTCCTGGTTGTAGGCCACAAGGCAAACATCTTGAGGGCGACGACTCATTTTGTACATTGGTATTTTCCCCTCCTCAAAACAGCCTATAGAGCATTAACTGATCATTTCTAGGCGGAGTTCAAAAATATAGTGGATAAGTACACTCCTGCTCACTGGAAGAAGGATTGCTTGAACAACATAGATGCACCGGCCTTTCCAAAAGTTAAAGAGCCCGCAGGATATTAGGTGTGAGATTTGATAATCAATACTCTTTCAGGATAATTGCTTATCTAGGATTTTATTTTGGTGCGCAATTTCATTCGCCGGATGCGGGACATCCGCAGGTATACACGTACTGCATTTACTAGTTTTGCATGGCTTGATCTTGTATAGACTGCTTTATGTAATTTAAAAGAAATTGTTGTATTATTTCTGGTACCTAAGACACCAACCTTCTATGATTCTCTTGTATACAAAACTAACCACCGTGGTCGCCGGGTATCGTCTTCTTCCATATTCAAAGTTTGATCTAGAGTATATCCAAGATTTCTTCAAAGTTGTGAACCTCTAAAACATTCCACTCCAAAGTGCATCATTACAATCTAGATGGTTCAGGATGGTTTGCTGGTTTGTTCCCTTCGATAACAACCCCGAGCGCAGATCCAGCGTCTAAAGCTGGTAAGGCTGGAGTGGTAGAAAATGATTCGTCTCCAGAGAAACGCCTGGAGAAGTTAGTGCACGTCATTCATATATTCCAGTAAAAAGGAGCCAACTCACCATCCTCGCTCTTCTCCTCCACTCAAGAAGCTACAATCACCATTTTTCTCAATATCCCAACCACCACCCACACCGTTACCATTTCTCCATCCCACTTCCGGGATTTTCTCTTCTGGACCCTTCCACATATCCACTTCCTTTCCTATGTCACCTCCACTCTCCTTTCTCTTGAAGACACTCAATCCGCAGGTAAAAGGTCTGAAATCCTCCTCGCCAACATCCTCTGGCATTCTTCCAGTTAAACACCTTCCAATTGCTATCAATGTCGCCGCGTGCGTGCATATGACAATAGCCTTGACACCCTCCCTATCCGCATCTTCTATGACTCTATGTAATGCATACGCTGTTCTATCATGCAAAGTATCTATACTCTCTCCATTAACACTAGGTCTAATCTTGGGCACATACTCTTTGTCATATGCTGGGAAAAAAGAATGTAACAACTCAGGGGTTGCAGGACTGGGATGATCGAATCGAGCGGTGCCATACCATTCACCGAGTCCGTTTTCGCCGCGGATCTTGAGAGTCGCAGGGTCGCTTGTGGTGGAAGAGAGGTGTGGTATAAGAGGAGAGATGGTTTGGATACAGCGGTAAAAAGGAGAGGAGTAGATTCGTTCGATGGGTGGAGACACTGTGCTTAGATGGAGGCCAAGTTCCGCGGCTTGGGCTTCGCCATATCCTGCAAGCGCAGGATCGCTGGGTATACCGGTGGGAGTTGGGATATTGGCAGTGTATGTACCTGTCACAGCTTTGTGGATATATAAGCCTATTGGTTCCTATTAAAATGCAGCCAGAAAGAAAATGAAATGCTTACGATCGACAATCCAGTTTGAGCGAAACTTGAGAAAGTCAGTTTTGGTTGAGCGCAAACTTTAAGAGACAACTTACGCCATGGCGAGTTACGTAAATTGTTGTCAACGAACGTGGGGATTCGGAAGACATTTTGGTGGTAGGTTAATGGGTTTGTAAAATAGAAATATACTTTCAGAGACTTTAAGTTGTTTTTCACGATGACGTTGTATGGAGAAAATCAATATGTACCTGCGCTTTTCTCCCCGCCTCGGCTGCGATAAGATAAAGAAAGGGGCCGCCGGTTGGAGGAGTTCCGGAGTTTTAATATTACAGAGGGACTTACAACTATGTTACATCAAAGAGGAATGTCATTTGACTTTAAGGGCAGGAGTTGATTTCTTTGTCATTTAATCTATTTAAGAGTTCTTCTACATGGTAATGAACATTGGAATGGATCTAACAGGGTTGTAGTTATACATCAAAGGAATTTATACACTGGTTGAATGTGAATCCCTACAGCGAAGGGCTTATCGGACGTATAGAACATTCTTTTTTGGCGGCTATAATTCGTTTCATAGTGATTTACTATTCTTTGCCCCTTGTAGTCTCATATCTATGGCAAGTCAGCACCGAGTCATCGTTATTCGTTCAGGTGACAACATACCTCTTTCCTCTGAATGCCCAAACACCCCAGTTACCACAGCTAATGTCTTGAGGGTCCATATCATTCAGATCCCATCTCAAACTTCGAAAACGATTCTCTCCTGGTTCCATGAGCATGTCCATTTCTCCTCCTACAGTTTTCTTGACCCAATCAATATCGCGATCCATGTCGTATTGTGTGTATCCAGTCACCAGAATTGGTACTTTGGTCTCTAGCAGTTGTGGGATGGTTTCCGCCCACTCATGTGAGCTAGCTGGGTGTCCCAAACCAGGATGGAAAAGCATGAAGCAGTCAAAGTAAGGATCATAAGGATAAAAGTGACCAGCTTTGTGAAGGGTGTGATAATACTCCACAAAGGTACTAATCTTCAAGGAGTTGGTTATGCGATCCTCAACAATTGCGCCAAAAGGATTTCCCGGAGTTCGTTCAGGTAAAGGAAATTCGGCATCTCTGTTCGCCATACTTTCGGGGCCGATGAAGATCAGATGGAATGTGACCCGAGGAAATAGATGTGCTAGCTGCACCCACACTTCTCTTGGCAATGAAGATTCTGCGCGAGCACCTAAAATAAAGATTCTCACTGGTGGAGGCGTTGGTCTAAGATTCTTAATCTCAGATCCACCACCAGTTCGTGCAGGATGTAGATTGTAACGAAGAGCTGGATCTGTTAGTTATAAGTATTCCAAGAGAGTTGAAGGTCTGGCATACCACTCAAACTCTTAAGACCTTCGACCGTCAATCTTCCACCTTTCTTAATGTTGTAGGGACTCAACTCATGTAGCACACTTCCAATAGTAAGAGGATATGTCAACAACCTAGTCGCTTGCCTCAAACTCCTTTCATCATTGATAGCCTTGAACTCTCTTGAAAAGAGTAGAGTATCCCAATTCGTCATATTAACCATGGCCTCCTCAATCTGGTCAGAAGGGTATTCGAACTCGGGAAAGAACCGGCCGGAGCGTAGATCATGGTCATCCTCATTTATCTCTCGTAAGGTATCACATATCTCCAAATGTGTCTCATAATCATCCGCCCAGTGCTCTTCTGAACACGACACAGGTATTCCGCAATCTGGGCATTCGAAACTGACGTGGGCAGGTGGTAATGCGCCGGTAGCAGGTTTCCGTGCTTCGTGATCATCTGGATTTGTTGGCAATCGAGTCTGGTGATGATCTGGGTGTGGGCAGTAGGCGTTTTGTTTCATGAAAGCTGCCCGTCTCCTGATTTCGGGGGATGGCGAATTCGAGAAAGAGTGGAAGAGGTTGTTCGGCTTCAAGAGAGCTCGCCCCTCAACCTCTGAAGGCGGGGTTGATTCCAAGCCACCTGGACCTCTATACTGCGGAGGCTCATTCCTCGCTACCTGACCTTGTCCAAAAGATATTGCTCGACGACCTAAGTCTTTTTGCGCCAATTGATTTCCCGCTGGCGCATTCGAGGAGAGTTTGGGGCTCCTACTGCTACTGCCAGAAGTGATGTTTCTTCTTCCCAAGCCGATCGACCTAGGCGTTTTTCTTAGCGCATGTAAGCACTTTTGACAAGTATACGAAGCTGAGGAACGCATAATTCTTAGCCACCGTTGGGTTCCGTATATTTCGTAGAAGTAAAAGTGCTTCGCAAGCAGTGTTTAAGAAATTTGATACATGAGGTGATTTCGATGTTTAAGTGGTCGCGTATTCTTGCTTAAAGCGGCATGAATCTCTTTTAGCTCTGGAATATTTGTAGATGCAGGAAAAACAACCTCGAGCACCCAAAGCTTTGCGACAAGCTACTTGTCGAACCCATTACAAATGATACCATCTCTGTTATTCTGCGCCAAGTGATCAATCTTACCTGAAGCTGCGCAGACTTTCTGCGCCGCTGCCAAAATATGGCGACAACATCAAACCAATTCCTGTACAGCTTGACAATCAATCCTCCTACCGCCATCACCCAGGCGATCCTCGGACAATTTGCTGGAACGAAAGAACAACAGATTGTGACCGCTTCTGGTTCACGTCTTACTCTTCATAGGCCAGATCCATCACAGGGAAAGATTATTACGGCGCTTTCACATGATGTCTTTGGTATAATCAGAGCCATTGCAGCTTTTAGACTGGCTGGTAGCAATAAGGGTAAGTCCTTCATCTCATCCCATTTGAGCTTCACTTAGTGATTTGAAGCATCGATGGCAGCACGAATCATACCGACATGAACAGGCTATTGGGGCGAGTGTTATGGAAGGTCGGCCGCAATGGAGAACTAAGCTAAAATAAACAATCGCAGATTACATTATCATCACATCTGACTCTGGCCGTATAACGATTGTGGAGTTTATCCCAGCACAAAACAAATTCAATCGGCTACATCTCGAGACTTTCGGCAAGTCGGGCGTCCGAAGAGTAGTTCCAGGTCAATACTTGGCTGTCGACCCGAAAGGTAGAGCTTGTTTAACTGCATCGGTGGAGAAGAATAAGCTCGTTTATGTCCTGAATCGCAATTCTCAGGCGGAGCTTACTATATCATCTCCTTTGGAAGCCCATAAAGCTCAAACTTTAGTATTCGCATTGGTAGCCTTGGATGTAGGATACGCAAATCCGGTCTTTGCTGCTCTCGAGGTTGATTATGGAGAGTCGGATCAGGACCCAACAGGTCAGGCCTATGAGGATATTGAGAAACAGCTTGTTTACTATGAACTGGACCTTGGCCTGAATCATGTGGTGCGAAAATGGTCGGATCCTGTCGACCGAACGGCGAACATACTCTTCCAGGTACCTGGAGGAACAGACGGACCAAGTGGAGTTTTAGTTTGTGGGGAAGACAACATCACCTACAGGCATTCTAACCAAGAAGCCTTTCGTGTTGCTATCCCTCGTCGGCGTGGCGCAACCGAGGACCCACAAAGAAAACGAAATATCGTAGCAGGTGTTATGCACAAACTCAAGGGTGCTGCTGGAGCCTTCTTCTTCTTGTTACAAACAGATGATGGGGATCTCTTCAAGATAACCATCGAGATGGTAGAGGATGACAATGGGCAACCCACCGGCGAAGTCAAACGTCTCAAGATCAAGTACTTTGATACAGTGCCTGTTGCAGCGAGTCTTTGCATTCTTAAAAGTGGATTTCTTTTTGTTGCAAGCGAGTTTGGGAATCATCAATTCTACCAATTTGAGAAGCTTGGCGACGACGACGAAGAAATAGAATTCGTCAGCGATGATTTTCCAACAGGAACAAATGAATCATACACGCCCGTCTATTTTCATCCAAGACCGGCGGAAAATTTGAGCTTAGTCGAAAGTATCGACTCGATGAACCCTTTAATGGATTGCAAAGTCGCAAATCTTACCGATGAGGATGCACCACAAATTTATTCAATTTGTGGCACTGGCGCTCGAAGTACTTTCAGAACACTAAAACACGGTTTGGAAGTTAGCGAAATCGTTGAATCTGAACTGCCCGGTGTACCATCTGCAGTTTGGACGACAAAGCTCACTAGAAATGATGTTTATGATGCTTACATCATTCTATCTTTTTCAAACGGTACTTTAGTCCTCAGTATCGGCGAAACGGTGGAAGAAGTAACTGACACTGGATTTTTATCATCTGCGCCGACACTAGCGGTACAGCAACTTGGCGAGGATTCTTTGATTCAGGTTCACCCTAAAGGTATCCGTCACATTCGTGCGGACCGCCGCGTGAATGAATGGGCTGCCCCCCAGCATCGCTCAATCGTTGCAGCTACTACGAACGAACGACAAGTTGCTGTAGCATTAAGCTCTGGAGAAATTGTCTACTTTGAGATGGATTCGGATGGGTCTCTCGCTGAATATGACGAGAAGAAAGAAATGAGCGGCACAGTCACCTGTCTAAGTCTTGGCGAAGTTCCCGAAGGACGTCAGAGAAGTCAATTCTTAGCTGTTGGCTGCGATGACTCGACAGTCCGTATTCTGAGTTTAGATCCCGATTCAACGCTAGAGAACAAGTCGGTTCAAGCTTTAACTTCTCCTCCAAACGCCCTTTCCATTATGGCCATGTCGGACTCATCCTCTGGTGGCTCAACTCTATATCTTCATATAGGACTTTATTCCGGTGTCTATCTGCGAACCGTTTTAGACGAAGTAACCGGAGAGCTCTCTGATACGCGAACACGTTTCCTAGGACCAAAGCCTGTAAAGCTTTTCAGAGTATCTGTTCAAGGTCAGACTGCAGTGCTTGCCCTCAGCTCTAGACCATGGCTAGGATACTCAGACCCCGTGACTAAGGGATTCATGCTCACGCCACTTGATTATCCTGCTTTGGAATGGGGCTGGAACTTCAGTAGTGAACAATGTACCGAAGGAATGGTGGGAATTCAAGGACAAAACCTCAGGTATGTCAACATAGCTCCACGTATCTTCAACGGCATCAGATATCATGATGATTTTCTTATCGTTAAACTTCCTACGTCTTTTATGGCCATGAGGATGAAATATTATAATTCCAATTGTTCCTTCTGAAATATTTGACACAAATTAAGCCACAAAATTTTACACTTATACTAGAGCAAAAGCTAACCCACCACAGAATATTCTCTATCGAGAAACTCACCAATAACCTCTTACAAGAATCCATTCCTCTAACCTACACTCCTCGTCGTTTTGTCCGACACCCTGAGCACCCTCTTTTCTACGTGGTTGAAGCAGACAACAACATCCTTTCTCCAGCCACAAAACAAAAGTTACTCGAGGATCCTTCGGTTGTAAATGGTGATGCCACAGTGCTCCCCGCTGAGGAGTTTGGGTATCCAAGGGGAACAAATCATTGGGCTTCTTGTATCTCTGTTGTCGACCCCGTGACCGAAAAGAAAGTTTTGGCTACAATCCACCTTGAGGACAATGAATCGGCAGTCAGCGTCGCTGTTGTTGCTTTCGCCAGTCAAGAAGACGAAACATTCCTGGTTGTCGGAACTGGTAAGGATTTGGTAGTTAGCCCAAGATCATCCTCTGCAGGTTTCATTCACGTATATCGTTTCCACGAAGACGGCAAGGAGCTTGAGTTCATACACAAAACAAAGGTTGAGGAACCACCAATGGCACTACTTGCTTTCCAGGGCAGATTGTTAGCTGGAGTTGGAAAAGATCTACGCATATATGATCTTGGAATGCGTCAACTCCTACGAAAAGCACAGTCCGAAATTGCACCTAATATGATAGTTGGACTGCAAACTCAAGGTAGTCGCATCATTGTAAGTGACGTTCAAGAGAGTATCACCATGGTTGTGTACAAATTCCAGGAAAACAGACTCATTCCATTCGTGGATGACACAATCGCAAGGTGGACGTCATGTACTACCATGGTCGATTATGAGACTGTTGCAGGAGGGGACAAGTTTGGTAATCTCTGGCTTCTCCGTTGCCCTCCTAAAGCCAGCGAGGAAGCGGATGAAGAAGGTTCCGGTGCTCATCTCCTACATGAACGCCAATACCTAGCTGGAGCTCCACATCGTTTAACATTAATGGCGCACAACTATGCCCAGGATATTCCTATGAGCATTCAAAAGACGAACCTCGTTGCCGGAGGCAGAGATTGCTTATTGTGGGCTGGACTCCAAGGTACACTTGGTATCTTGATACCATTCGTTAGTCGAGAGGACGTAGACTTCTTTCAGACTTTAGAACAGCATCTCAGATCAGAAGACCCGCCCCTGGCTGGAAGAGATCACTTAATATACCGAAGTTATTACGTGCCAGTGAAGGGCGTTATTGATGGAGATTTATGCGAAAGATATACCCTCTTGCCAACGGACAAGAAACAAATGATTGCAGGAGAGTTGGACCGCTCGGTTAGGGAGATTGAGAGAAAAATTTCGGTACACTACCCCAATACACAATTTAGGAAGAACATGAGGCTAACAAATCATTTAGGATATTCGGACACGATCGGCATATTAACCTGGCGTAGTTTGCTGCAGAGGGACTGTACCAGACGGTGTTGTAATTATACAAAGCGCTCAGTATGCATCATATAACGAACCTCATGATCCTTATTTTAAATGCGAAAATCAAAAAAGAATCTGAAACCTTGAATCTTACAGCATCTATTGTATGCGGGTCAAAATTTATATTATCTCTGTCCTGTGAATCTTCTTCTCCCAACATCAGATTTTGTCTTCCCTTTGCCCTTCCCTTTATCTGAAATAGGATTTTCCTTTTCCCATCTCTCGTCATCTCTATATACTCCCATTGCGAGCTCTAGATCGTAGTTGGCTTGCTCAAGATAGAGGACTGCGACATCATATCTAATAAGAAACCTAATGTTAGCTCTCCATTCTTCGTTTCGCATTACCCAATTCCAGATCTTCCACTTCACATTCGCTTATAAACCTAGAACCTCTTCCCTATTCCCCATTCGAGCACCCAAGCAAAAATAATAACAAGCAAACTTACTCGTAAACTTTACATCCTAGCATAAACCTCCTCACACTCGCTTTCCTCCTCTCCTCCTCCTCTCCTTCCACAGGCCGCGGACTCAAACTCGCACCGCCCTTGTACCATTCCCCAGGTATCAATATTGTTTTCCTAGCAAGAAGGAGGTGATCACTTGTTATACCGTTTTTCTTTCGCAATACCTCGATTGGGACACCGTAGCGGAATGAAAGGGAAGTCATAGAATCGGTGCTGTGAGAGAGGAAGTGAAGTATATCCTCTGATTGTGACTGTGACTGCGATTCTTTTTGTGATTGTGTCAATGATTGCTGTTGTGATTTGGAGAAGAGAGCGTGACTGTAGACCGGAAGGGAGGTTTGAGAATGCGAGGAGTGGCTACCAATGGTTTCTTCATAGGAGGGCGGCTTATCCCCAGTTGCTGGTTTGCGTCCTGTGGAATGGGATACGGTGTCTCCGTTTGCTACCTCTCCGTTCCTAACCTGACAGAATGGACAATAAACCTTGAATCTTTCATTGCGCTTCATGCATTCACCGCAAATAATGCGGCTACAGCATGGTAATCTTCTGTCGTCTCTCCTGCTACCACCTTCTTTTCCCCAATCATATGCTTCACTCTTCTCCGAAAATACTTCGTCTTCTTTTGTTTTCTCGTCGGAACTCAAAATCCTTCTCCTCGATTCGAAAGGGGGGTCGATTCCCGCTGTCGATGCCGAATAAGAAGGTGGTTCACTCCCCAATCCATCACTTCCTATCTGTGCAAGCAGACGCGCACAAGTACAGCAGGACTCCTGATTCATATTATCTGTATCTTTGATCTTTGTGAAATTGATTATTCAAAAGGAAACTCAAGATAGTATGTAAAACAAATGAAGGGGAATTTCGATGGTGGTGTATCTGTGATATATGTCGATGATGTAGTTGTTATCTATCCACTGATAGTGATATTTGCCCCTCCCTCGCTTTAAGCGGGTAGGCGGGGTCGCTTAACCGATTACCTTATCGGAATGCTTAGTACATGACCTTACTATATATTTTATATTTATTAAATACATCCCCAACCCAGTATGAATACCTCGCACCTTCATCAACACCTCATCAACTCACCTAAGTCCAAAATTCTGTCAAAGTTTCTTTAGAGAAAAATGCAGCAGAGAATCTAACATATAATTCAACATCACAGGAATACTCATCCCATGCTTCCCCACACATGAGCTTTCGAAAACCGGGTTGATCGATCAAACCGACGAGATCCTATCGCAAACCTACATACAACCCTCCTAATCAATCGTCATTGTCCCGCAACAAACTCTCGATTTCCCTTCCTACTTTTATCGAGCGGTGCAAAATCGAGCATGACTTCGCAGACGGATTCTTATCTCGATATTCTCGCTCTAAACCATATACATTCGATCCATTCCAACAAAAGACATTTACGAAAAACCTGGGCTATTCCCCAGTGAAAGTTGGTCGCTGGTGTATAGTAGGGAGGATTGTGATAACTGTCAAGAGATCTCATTACAACTTCCCGTTATCGTTAAGTTTCTAGTACCGCTTATATTACTCACATCAATGTTCTTATAGAATAGTTACATATAAAACATTACCATGGAGGTCCTATTGTCCTCTCGTTTACTGTCTGCATATTTGGTATCTTCCCATGCGTAGTCTGCTCATCCGCTATTTGCTCAATTGAACTGCCTGCGATCTCGAGTCTTCTTACCGTTTTGTACCGCGTGCTTTGTGATTAACCTGCTTTTCATATTTATCTGCTAGTATATTCGTCGTCTTCAATTGATTGCAAAATAGAGAAGTCCATCAGGTGGACATTTCGGGAAGAATTATATTCGGGGGAGGAGGGACTTTGTCTTCAACTAACGACAAACCAGAGAATAAATCCGGCAGGAGGAAGATATTCTCAAAATTGTTCAATCAGAAACGAGGACACTCTACAGATTATTACGATAGAACTTTCAGTACATTTAGTACCAACTATCCAAGTCGAAATTTAACTGTTACCACCAGGTACTTTAACCATACAAATACATTCACCACACTCCTCCTTTTTCACAAACGACGATCAGACCAAAAAACCTACAGTACGATCGCCTACGTCTATCATGATCATTTACCTCAAGAGGGAGGGAAGCACCCTCGAAAAGTCACCATCTAGTCATATCATGGATTCGATTTCACCAAAACCCAAGAGTCACAGGGTATCTAAAATTCATTTCTACAATCCATAAGTGTGAGGAAGACGCATTTTTAAAAGGGAAAGCTGTGTCGAACCACGAAACTTTCTTCACTATGTATATACGAAATTTCGCCAAAGGCCTGACAATACGCATTAATTGCGTCTTCAATTGGCGTACGGTTTTCAAGGCGTTCCACACCCTTCCGCACCCCTTATCCCGGCCGTTTTGGAATTTTCTTTGCCGAAGACGCCATCACTTCCTGATTACGGCCACTGCTATCTCAGACCTTATGGATGTTTGGGATTGGGATTGAGATGGGAATTGGATATGAAAAAGCATCCGTTTGCCTAGTCTTTCACAACATTTGGAATCTCGATTTGTGTACAATAACGTGGTATCGAGGATTTTGCTTTAAAAAAAAGTGTCATTAATTTACATAGTATGACACTCCGTTGCCGGGGAATATATACACAACATTCCAGAGTCATACTGCGGGTATGCTTTATATACAATGCTTATTTAACAAGCATAGCAAGTATAGTATTACTACATCACTCATTCCAGTATATCCGCCGTACGCATGTTTCCGTTGAGAATAGTGGGTGCTCCGTTCGGTAGATCAAGATGATGTGATAGGTTGGTTACGTCAGAAGTAGATTCTTGAATCAAACCTTCTTCGTGGAGCGATCTAGATCGGTCAGAGTGTGGTGGGGTGATATTGTCTTGATCCTGCGGTACCATGTATGGCCGATAATTCGACCTCGAGTTGCAAAGCATTTGTGACCTGGCCAATGCTAAAGCGATTAGCTCTTTGTCGTTGGATAGTTCTCGTCTTGATACTTTGGATTCCGGGAAAGGTTTCGTACTCGTTTTTGTTTCGATTTTCGAATGTGTAACTAGCAATCCATCGATGTATCTTTGGGGAGCAGGCCAGAATGGATTGCTGGGATCGTAATCCAAATCTTGTTCATATTTGTTAAGAGGATGTGCGCCTAGAGGCACAAGCTCCTGGTATTCAACAGCCATTTCAAGACCTCGTAGGTGAGGGAAACTTGGTACAATGAACATAAATTCAGAGACCTGTGATATTGTTAGTAAGCAAACCATTTCCAGAAAAACAAGGCACATACTTTCACGAAGAAAAGATCGAGCCCAAAGAATAAAGATTTGGCTTGTTCTTCCAGGCGAAGACGTTCATGCAAATTGAGGAGGATGTCTGGTGTAAAAGGATCACGGGAATATTTTGCGTGCGCGAGTGGCCATATAGCTTCTTTGACTTCCATCTCTAATGGGATACGCTCCCACGCTGTATCTATTACAGTCAATAAATATGAACTCCTTTTCGTGTTCCTTTGAGTTTACTCACATCTCGATAGTTCCAGATCTTTCTCTCCTAGCAGTAACGCAACGTCAGTATTAAGCATCCATTGCTCCCGACCACTGGGTTGGCCTGTTGCCTTTGGTCTAATCGTATCATATCGATATCCTTTTATAATCCTAAACTTGGACAAAGAAGCAATTTTGAGCGTCTCAGATTGCGGAAGTTGATCAAACGCTCGAAGTAGAAGCGGCAGTTTCGATAATCTTTCTACTTCCTTTTCCCGCGCCTGTCTTACTTTCTCAAGTCGTTCTCGTTCTTGCGCAGCAGCCCGCTTTTGCTCCGACTTCTCTCGATCTATTCTTTTCTGTTCATCATACAACCGCCTTTGCTCTGCCCTGTCGCGCTCTTCCTGGGCTTGTCGTATTTTCCGGTCTTCTTCTTCCTGTTCTAGCTTGGCAACTTCCTCCTCGAAGGCTAGTCTTTCCTCAGCCTCCTTGGCTTCATAGGCTTCCTTCGCTTCCTTCGCTTCCTTCATTTCTCTTTCTTTTGTTTCTATCTCCTTTACCTCTCTCTCCTTCGCTTCTCTCGCTTCGTCTAATGCTATCGCCTCACGAGCTTCTCTCGCTTCTTTGGCCTGCTGTTTAGCCTCCCGAACTTCACGAGCCAGTCTTGCCTGGTTCTTGTGTTCTAGATCGGCGAAAATGGCTGCTTGAGCTTCTTCATTCTCTTTGTTGAAACATGTCTCACTCTCTTCCGCGCTCTTGGAAGAAGCTTTCGATGTGTTCTCCTTTGTAGTCTTTGGATTTGACTTGTCCTGAGAAGTTATTGAATCAAAATTTGGCTCTGGACGCTCAGGAGACGAGTTTGGTGTGTTCTGATCCATGGCTACGTGTTTCGAAAGTCCCTCTAACCTTCGGCGTTTCGATGGAGCTCCATCAACCTCAGTGGTAGCTATTGTGTCAAGTATACCTGTGGGAGGCGGTGTTGTGCTCCGACGTTGTCGTTTTATCGGGCTTTTTTCGCTGCGGATAGAGGCGAGTCTGTCTTTGGAACTATCTCGTTTTGTACCTTTGGTTTTGTCGTGTCTTTCGCCTTTGTCAGAACCTGTCTCCGTGCCTAGGCGCTTTGACGCTAGGTCTTCATCGGCAGGTTCGCTTAATCGCGCGATGCTTGCATTTCTATCTGCATGCTTCACCTCGTCTACCCCGCGTCGATCTGAAACAGATGTCGTAGACACATTCGATGCAACACTTCCACGTCTTTGTTTATCCCGCTCTCCTTTCAGCTCTTTTCCAGAAACAAGCTTACGCCGTGGCTTCGAAGGTTCATTCTCAGATGACATTGCAGCAGCATCGGGTTCTGTTACCTTTGGTGCTTGCAACTTTTTCTTAGGGGGTCCTAGAGGAGTGCTTTCCGTGTCCGAAGCCAAATGCAGTGCGGTATTTTCCTCCTTTCTTGGTCGTCCTGGACCCCTTCTTGCTTGGTTTTGCGCGCTGTGGCTTTGACGAAGGGATGAACTACTTCCATGCTGACCTTTCTGTGAGTCTGTGCCTCTGTCCAACATTTTTGAAGGGCTTCTCTTTCGCGACGGTGAAGACCGATCACGGGCATTCCTTACTGGCCGTTTGGAATCACGGCCGCGATCGGCGTCTCGGTGGAGTTTAGGAGACCGAGATTTAGAGGGCGAAGGTTTAGCTGGTTTCGAATAATTATTGAAAGCTTCTTTAAGTTTTTCAACGACTATGTCATAGTTGTGACCCTTCTTCTCTCTTTCCTGCGCGATTTCATAATAAGTTTTGTTATTCCATCTTCTAGTCGGGTCGAAATCTCCTGAAAGCAGGCATTTAATCACGTCAATATGTCCTTTATCAATAGCACAAAGCATTGGAGTAGACCAGCGGGGATCTTCACTCCTTAAAGGTTCGGGGTCGCGATCAAAATTACCTAGTCCAAGCATTAGCTCGACAGCAAAGAGGTCGCCAGCTTTTGCCGCTATGAGAAGAGATTTGGCATCCTTCCGACCCTGATTAACATCTAACCACTTGGAAACATTTTGGTAATCTGCGTTTTGACATGCCTCACGAAGCATTTCCACCTTACTCAGGTCTCGATATAGATCTTGGTCCGTAGTTTTGTTCGAGCGTGCCCGTATACGGTTCGGGACATTAGGATATTCGGACGTAGGGCTGTGGCGAGGGCTATATCTTGAGGAAGTATCGTGATCTACACTTTCTACAGTTGCTTGATCGCTCGAGAGATTATTTCCGGACGCATCACTCTTAATCTTGGCGTCTTCAATAAGCCGTTGCATGTCTTTCCTCGTTTCCCACGCCATGTCGTCTTCTCCCCCACGATAAGCCGCTGCTAGGTCACTAGGCTCGTCACCCCCCACCTTTTTTGCCTTGCGCGGGTTAGCACCATGCTCCAGAAGTAGTTTCACAACTTCAACATGACCATTTTCAATGGCATCATGAAGGGGTGTGTCACCGGCCTCATTAACTACGTCCACAGTGCATCCTTTGGCCAAGAGCAATTTCGCAATTTGAACATAACCTACAAGACTTGCAGCATGCAGTGGTGTGTTCAATGCATTATCTGCCTGATTTAAGTCTTGAGGGTGCTTGTTCAATTCATCTGTCACTCCTGTGATATTGTCCTTCCGGACAAGTTGCAATAACGTCGTTGCGCCTGAGCTATCTGTCCGTTTTCTTTCACGGAGGGCGGCGGATGTCATGATAGAATCTCTAATAGCAGGGGCTGTTCGTTGCCGCGGTCGGGAGCTGCGAGGATGTGAACGCCCGCTGGCAGAAGAGTCGTCGGATTGGTACTCGGTAGATAGAAGAGGAGGTGGTATTCGCCCTCTCCTATGGCTCGAACCATGGATAGACTTTAAGGGGAATTGAGTAGAATTACTGCGTTTGTGAGGACGTCCGTGGTGAGGAGACTCCGACCGTTCCTTCACGGCGCCTGCTGTACTTTCTGGATGGTTGTCTAAGGATGGAGTATTTTCTTTACTTTGAGTACCATTCAAGGCAGTATTGTGATGTCGCTCTGGTTTTCGATCCTCGCGATCCACATGGTCATCACCAGAGTCTGATGTATTCTGTTTGTCCCGTGGAAAAGCTCTATCAACGGATTTAGCCTTGTCAAGGCTGTCAAGAGTGGATAAAGGTGGCGATGGCGATCTGTCAAGTCTCAATTCTGGCGCAGAGGATTTGGGCAGAGACGAGTGTCTTTTTTCTTGTAGGTTGGATAATCTTCCGTTGCTAGGATGAGATTTGCTTAATTCAAATGATTCTACCCTGGGACGTTTGCGCCTTCCTGCGTTATTTTCGTTTTGAGAAAGTGCTTCCAGTGATAGACTTTCCCGCTTCCTTGACTCGGACGGCTTACGGATATCTTCATCGTCACTCTTGTCTTCGTGTTTAATCGATTTTCGAGTTTTCGAGGGCGAGTGGCCATCCTTGCCTGGTAGTACGATTGTTTCTGCTTCTGAATCACTCTTCACATCAATATCCTCAAGAGGCGCATCGGGCATGTCCACGTCCACCATAGTCTCCGCATCAGCTACAGTCACCTTTGGAGAGGATATGGTTCCAGAAGAAGTCGAGCTTTTGATAGTATTAGTGGTGGAATTAGTTTTATCTTTTCGAGCGACCATGCTGGTAGGCAAGTCCCCATGTCCTGTAGCCGTCGTTCCATGATGATTTTGAGTGTCCATAACATCTAGGCTATGTGTCGCTGTATCCTGCGGATCATCCTGGCCTGTATTATGGGTAGACACTTTGATTGTATCTAATTGTAAGGACAAGGAGGAGCATCCGAGTCCTTTAAAGTGATAATTGGATGGATTAAATGCGCCGGTTGAATGGTTTGTCGCAGTAAGAATTCCAAATGGCGTGCTTTCGAGGACTTATGTTTGTTGATGTGTTGAATAAGGTATGAAGAATGTCATTAAAATCGTAATCATGGATCGTTGATGTGAGGTTGAATTGTAAGAGTAGATTTTCGAGGATGGGTGGAAGGAGAGTGGTGGTTTTGTAAATAGCGAGGGAAAGATAAGTTGAGGCCATAGAGACTAGACACTAAAAATACGGTGACCATTTACCGGAAGTAGTTGCCAAAATCATCGGTAAAGGATTTGGGTGAATTGATGGCACATTGTGATAGGGTGGAATGGAGACAAGCAAAATAAAATAGACTAGCTTCATGATAATAATAAGTTCATGATGTTCCAGTATTATCCACCAACCCACCTAGGAGGATGAAGGTATCGACCTAATGGTAGTCTTATCCACCTTCAGGTCCTACTGTACCTACTACGTGGGAGGAGAAAGTACGGAGCAGAGGTAGGAGGTAGTGGAAGTAGGAAGTGGTAGGAAGTGGTAGGAAGTAGTAGGTAGATAGTAGGAGTATTAAGCAGTAGTTAGTAGCTGACGGGGATAGCGAGTAGGAAGTAATAGATAGACGATAGAAAGTATTAAGCAGTAGTTTAGTAGTTAGCAACTAGGAAGGTATAGTAGGTAAATCTCTCGGATATCTAGAAACCTGATGTCCGAAGAGCGAACGAGACGACATTGTTGGTGAATGTATCAACATATAGGTACCTAGTACGCAGTAACTAACAGTTAGAATATACATACTACTCGAGCAGATGGAAAGAAGTTATATATTACCTACTAGGTACCTATATACAATACAATATATATTATATTAGATACTCTGGGTGATGGAAAAGAGAGTCAGAATTGAAATGTCAAATGTCTCACTCCTTCATCTGATAACGCTACAGTACTCCGTAATCGGTACCTCCTCCGTACTCTACCTACCTAGCAATCCAAAAACATCGCCTCCTTGGTTTCATGGAAGAGCTTACCACGCACATAATCACATAAGCATTACTTGGATTATTTCCTGAAACTTAATCTTTGAAGTCTCTTCACTCATGTATGTACGACCCCATTCGTCTAGTTCGATTGATGACGCTCCGCTTGACCATCGCCACTGCCGTCGAGGCTCCTTCGCCTTGTTCTACTCTGTTCTTGAGTAAGGGACACCAGGAAGAAGAGATCTAGACATGTACCGATATACCTACCTCCTACATACAGCGAATAGCGCATCCATTAAGGGGAAGTCTAATGGAAAGTCTGACTTTAAGGGCATTTTAGTCGACAAAAGCCAAACAAATCTCGCATAAGTCTGGTCATACTACTCCGTACAACCAAGTACAAACACAGAGTACAACGCATCAGTTGGCAAACCACTTTTCCTCTTTAGTATGTATCAACTTGCTCTTCCGAGCTCTCTGGGTCGAGTAAAGATTATCATAGCGAACATGGATGACTTAAAACTCAAAGTTGCTTAGGGTACACGGTACGGAGTCCATTTTGTGATTAATAAAATCAAAGGCTGCTCACCTGTACCTGTCTGCCGTAGCGCCCCGTACAATTAGCTCGAACTACCTACCTAGTAGGGACCTACTGAATAGTACTCACTTGATCCTCGGTTTAAGATTCATTGCATCCAAGAATAATTATCTCCTAAAAGCTAGTGGTAACCTTACTTTTGTTGGTCTGTATTAAAGATTCCCCTCTTTTCTCTATGGTTCTGTCACTGTATCGGTCGGTAGGTATCGTTTTTACATCATGGAAAAGTGTTTTCCATGGAATCTGTATACTGTACCATGGCATTCTTACCCTTTTCTTGCCTTTCCTTGCCTTTCCTTGCTTTTCCTTGCCTTTCCTTGCCTAGCTCTTTACCATCCCACACAGTCCCTCATTGCAAGAGTTCCGAAATATCTCACCCGTGCTTTGCTCATCATACTCAACAATGGTTACTCAACCATTGACCTTACCAACATGTCTCGACGAGGCGCAAATCAAGTCCCTTCCCTCGAAAGCATTTTATATTTCCGATTTCCTCACGGAGGATGAGGAACAGTTATTGTTGCACAAAGTAGGTAAATCCTGAGCTCATCCACCATTATCAGCTTGAGATTCGATATTTGACACCATCGCATTTGCAGATTGCGACCGCACCAAAACCACGATGGAAGCAGTTGACGCATCGTCGCCTTCAGACATGGCCCTCCGATTTAACGAAGAACACTTTATTGGATGCGCCTTTGCCCATGTGGCTTACAGATCCTATTGTCTCTCGGCTCCTCTCCTTGCCTACCTCGCACAAAGATGAAGGACGCCATACCTTTAGTGATAGTCCCCATGGACGTCCGAACCATGTCCTAATAAATGAATACCTACCCAATCAAGGAATCATGCCGCATAAAGATGGATCGGCCTATCATCCTGCCGTCTGTACCGTAAGCTTGGGCGCAAGTCTATGTTTGGATATATATGGGGACAAAGAGGATGGCACAAGAGAGGAACAACCAAGGTGGAGGATTCTTCAGGAGCCGAGAAGTTTGTTGATCACAACAGATGAGCTATACACAAATTATTATCATGGGATATCTGAGATTGAAGCGGATATCAATCTCAATTCTACAACAGTCGCAAACTGGGATCTTCTACGGTCTGAAGATGGAATCATTGACGGAAGATACGAAAGACGTGAGCGACTAAGCCTTACGTATCGCGACGTACTGAAGGTATCGAAGTTGGGTACTAAACTAGGTATATTTGGTAAACGCTGATGGTCTTGTCTCGGCGTGGTCTCCTTCATCTATCTTTCGAGCTATCTATCCACATATTGTGAGCGGACCTCATCTCAATACACATAAGGTAGCATTCTCCATCTACCCTTCAAATTGTCTGCGCCAAACTTCGCGACATACCACTTCCTAGTAGAATCTGCTGTCACACCGAGATTTGATATCACGAAACACAAACCTGCCAAAATGGTTCTGTTCAGAGTCTGTCCTTGAGGCGCGGCCACGATGGCAATTGCAATATACAACAAGCATTCGCTAGTGTAATGGGGGCAGACGATGTTGCGGAAGAATGGGTGTGAGGGAAGGGTATACTTCCTCAAACTTGCCAAGTGCTCATGACACTCATGCTGGATTAGTGATGCAATCACAAACAGAGGTACCGCCACACAAGTCTTCATAGAAGGCTTCGAGATCTCTATTAGATCCAGTGGATTTTCAGTCGCATTAAGTGTGGCTTTCGAAGTTAGCCACAAGCAACACAGCACAAAAGCACAATCATTGTCACCCACCAATACCTTCAATCCAAATTGAGATGCCCATGAAAATATAGTACGCAATGCCAACAACCCAAAGTCCAATCCACATCTTTGACTGAGAAGGCTTGGTAAGCGCGAAGCTCTCATACAATCTCCGGCCGCCCTGTAAAGCCATAAATCCCCATGCCAAAGCTATCTGATTAACCGTCATTGATTTCGTGCTATCATGTTGAGAGTACGAGGCAAGAAATTTGAAAGCCGCTCCACGTGCGATGATTTGATGTGCCCAGAAGATCGAAGAGGCCACGGACACAATATAGTAATGACTAAACCAGGTATGAGGAACTTGGATGGAGCCAATGAATTCCAGTATATTAGCGGGCTTGCTCAGGATGGAAGGGTCTTTGGAAGCGTTCGGCGTGATTCCTCGACTACCATAGTTCATGACATGCTGTCGAAACGAAGGTATCAAGATTCCACCTAAGTCAACCGTAGTTCCTAGAACGAAAAAGGCTATACAGATATTTTGCATGTCCATAATTTCAATAAAATAATCAAAAATTGTAGGTGAGAGTTTGGTGAGGCCATTTGAAGCTCATGTGAGTTACCATAACATTTAGATCAGAAATGGAGGCTTCGGTGCAGGTTGTTTGTGAATATTTGTGCCTGAGGTTACAAGGTTAACTATGCGATCATAGAAATAATTTTTGATGCGGAACCCCACAATGAAATTCACATCACTTCAATTCCAAAATTTGATACCAGCTTGAGGAAAATCGCATTATATTCTTTCACCAACCAAATTCTCTAGCAATAAACTTTTTCCGAATAAGACTTCTGGATTCGACCAGAAAAATCCGCAACCATGTCGACAACCGCTGATAAGGTATGCTCCTCTCTTGGCCACATTTTTTCAATGCTAATGCCCCGCTACAGATCAAAGCAATTGAGGATGAGGTATACATCTTGGACCCGGCCGATTCACCCCCCGATAAATTCTAACGGGACGATAGATGGCCAAGACGCAAAAGAACAAGGCAACGAGTTTCCATCTCGGTCAACTTAAAGCAAAGCTCGCCAAGCTCAAGAGAGAGTTGTTAACCCCTACGTCAAGTGGTGGAGGAGCAGGTGTAGGATTCGATGTAGCACGTACGGGTGTCGCCAGTGTTGGATTTATAGGATTTCCGTCGGTGGGAAAGAGTACATTGATGAGCAAACTTACCGGACAACACTCGGAGGCTGCCGCATACGAATTCACGACCTTAACGACAGTACCCGGTCAGATCTTATATAATGGAGCCAAGATACAAATTCTGGATCTTCCAGGTATTATTCAAGGAGCAAAGGATGGAAAGGGTAGAGGTCGACAAGTCATTGCGGTCGCTAAGACCTGCCATCTGATTTTCATCGTACTGGATGTCAATAAGCCCTTGACGGATAAGAAGATTATCGAAGACGAACTGGAAGGATTTGGTATTCGAATCAACAAATCACCACCAAATATCGTGTTTAAGAAAAAGGATAAGGGTGGAATCAATATCACCAATACTGTGCCGATGACACATATTGATCATGATGAGATCAAGGCTGTCATGAATGAGTACAAAATATCGTCGGCAGATATCGCCATTCGTTGTGATGCAACTATCGACGATCTAATAGACGTACTAGAGGCCAAAGGACGAAGTTATATTCCTGTCATTTATGCATTGAACAAAATCGATGCTATTTCGATAGAGGAACTTGATTTGCTTTACAGAATTCCTAACGCATGTCCCATTTCGTCTGAGCACGGGTGGAACGTTGATGAACTGTTAGAACAGATGTAAGTTCATGATTTGCGAGCCTTGTTATTCCATTTGCCCTGGAGTAATGCCAATAATCCTATTAAACGGTGCGGCGTTCCAGTGCTACAATCCACTGGCTCAAGAGAATATGCAAGGCATTTACCAAGGGCTAGCAAACTTTTACAGCTACTGCAATTGCCTAACAACCTTATACTAACCTTGAACAGGTGGGAGAAACTCAACCTTGTCAGAGTTTATACAAAGCCCAAAGGAAAATTGCCTGATTACACCGCACCAGTGGTGTTACGCTCCACCAGGTGCACAGTTGAAGATTTTGTAAGTCGCTTCTTCATCATTCCGAGGAATTACGTAGCACCATATCCAGTGACTGACTGATTATCGAAGTGTAACGCAATCCATAAGACTATTGTGGATGATTTCCGCGTAGCTATTGTTTATGGAAAATCCGTCAAGCATCAACCACAACGTGTAGGCCTTAGTCACGAACTAGCGGATGAAGATATTAGTGAGTTTCACATGTCGTCTAATTAAGTCGAATTTCACTAACTCTCCATACAGTTACTATTGTCAAACGATAAAAGACGCAAAAGATTAACATTACGGTGTAACAACCAAGGATCTTCCGGTTGTACGAACACCGCAGAGAGGGATATCGAAGAAGTCAGGGATCATCGGAAGATAGATAGATGAGCTGAGCGGTATATATAGCAGCGTTCGTCGGGAGTCAATGGCTTTAAGTCTTGGTACAGACACAGTCGGACATTAGATTCTGGGCTCTGAAAGAGAAGATCGGTGGTTAGCTACTAGTAGCCGCTTCGTAGGTTTGTACCTGCGCACCGGCGCCCCTCCTTAATTGACACATATACAAGGCCACAAAGGCAGGAGATATGAGGTGGGTATGAATGAATATACAAAAGACAAATTTTCCAATGTGCTTGAACGGCTAGGACATGGAGCCAAATACAGATGTCTAGTCAATTGTCCTGTATACACATGACGTTATGCTCGTGGGATATATTAAACTGATAGTGGTGAGATTGTCTCATCGGATCAATGATCTTCAGTCGATATAGTAATGGAATCGCAAGAACGCCTACAAACACATGATGATTATGATGATGAGCCCTGGATTCCTTTGTTCTTGTGTCAACTTAAACGAGAAGCTTGGATGAGATGATTGAAAGATGAGATTGAGTCGTGGGGTGAGTATGAAGTAATGGTTATTTGTTTACTTTGATTTTATGATGGGTTCAAGGGGGGAAGGGGGGCATGTTAATGTGTTTATGGGTTTTGCTGTTGGTG